CTCAATCCCAGGACCCTGGGATCATGACCTGAGCTAAAGGCAGACGCTCAACTGACTGAGCCACCCAGGCGCCCCCAAAATTATTTCTTAATTAACTTCCTCCTTACAGTGCACAATTCTTAAGTCCTCAAGTGACATAATGTGGTATTCCACGTGAAATCAGCTCTCTGCTGATCTGAAGGGTATGCTACATATATCAACCCAAGGATTTTAGCTGAATTCTAATTGTGTGGTGATAAATGACATTACTAGAGCCAGAGATGACAAACCAATTTTATCTCAAGTGCCAGCACCTTCCTGGAATGCTACGGGTTAGATGTCATCTTCAGACTCAGTAGAAAAGGGTGCCGTGATCACTAAGATGTGTGTGGAAGATGTGTAACTAGTATCTGCTCTCTCTTAAGAAACCCCAGGAAGCATCTTCTCACAACCAGATTATATACTGTGGAAAACTGGAGAAAGAAAAATTTAGAAGTCAAGTCATTTCCTTCCCACTTTTCTACCTAGAGGATGAGGTCTGGGATGAGAACAGAAGCTCTGGAAAATAAAAGGTTAGTCAGTTTTCTGGCCCATACCCTAAGGTACTGAATGATTTATCACTTGATAAGAGAGGAAACCTATGTCAAGAGGATGATAAGACTATGCCTAGAGACTTGACAATCTAAATCAGGGTGGAGGGACGCTTGGGTGGCTCAGGTGGTTAAGTGGCTGCTTTCGGCTCAGGTCATGATCTCAGGGTCCTGGGATCAAGCCCGGTGTCAGGCTCCCTGCTCAGTAGGGGGTCTGCTTCCCCCTCTCTCTGCCCCCCACCCATGCTCTCTCTCTCTCTAATAAATGAATAAAATCTTTAAAAAAAAAATCAGAGTGGAGAAAATGAGAGAAAAATGCCCACATAAATTGAGATGTCATTGGGTATGACATTAAGAAAAATTTTAAGACAATAATGGAAGAGGGTCCAAGTAATTCACAAGAGGAAACAGCTGAGACAAGTCCTGGAAAGAATATTTACAGCGACAGATACACAACAGTGCAGGTAATAATAAGTGCAGTATTATCACAGGGAAGCAAAACGACCTCATATGAATTACCAGAACTTGTGGCATGAGACTTATGAGTAAAATATATTGGTGTAAAGGAATAAAGAGAGACAGAAGGGGAGAGAAAATACAGCACACTTTGTGTATTTATATGGAAATTCACAAACATGCAAGAAGAATGCATTTGGATGAAAATAAACAAAGAGCAGAACAGATGTAATCTTGTCACGGTAATTAGACTGTTACCTGACTGTATTAATATATGATATCTCATGTACACATCTCTATTGGGATACAGATAACGTCTAATAGCGAAGAGGATACCAACAATTCAAAAAAGTGCTTACATCAGTTTGAGTTCAGTTTTCTGTCACTCCTAAAGGAAACAATCCAGACTCAAACAGAAACTAGGATCAGAGAGAGGTTAAGTGACTCATTCTAAGATAGGATTCTATACCCAGATAAACATTCAACCCAGAGTGAGAGAAAATAAAGGAATTTTTAGCCATGCAGGGTCTCCTAAGTTTACTTCCCATGTAATGCTTTCCCAGGAAACTACAAGAGAATGTGCTGCATCAAGGTGAGTGAGTAAACCAAGAACAAGGAAGACGCAGGGTCCAGGAAACTTAAGTTCCAACTCAAGAAAGAGGCAAAGGGAATTCCCAAGACGCGGGCGAAGGAGGGTAATTATGCAGCCGCTCGTGTGAACCACGGTACGGACGAGCACAGTGGGTCAAAAGGTGGCAGGACTCTGGCTGGAGAGGGGAACTTTCAGATGCTCTGATACAACCGCCTAGATGGAGATTATACAGAATGCCTGTTGGGGATTGTGGAATCAGCAATATGTCGCTGGGGAGCCAGCTTCAAGGACGGTCCCGAATGATCCCCCTTGCTGGTGGTATTCACACCCAGGTGTGGTCCCTTACACTGTACCAGAGTTGGTCTTTGTGATCAATAGCTTATGGCAGAAGTGATGACACGTCACTTTCCAAGATTAGGTTATAAAAGGCTGCAGCTTCTATCCGGGGCACCTATTCTCTTTTGGATCTCTTGCTCTGGGGGGAAGCAAGCTGCCATGTTGTACGCAGCCCTACGGAGAGGCATGTATGTGAAGAATTGAAGCCTGGCCAACGGTCATCAAGGAACTGAGGCCTCTTGCCAGCAACCATGTCAACAAGCTTAGAAACTGATTCTCCAGTTTAGTTGAGCTGTTTAATGACTTTAGTCCCAGATGACATCTTGACTACAACTTCATGAAAGACCCTGAGCCAGAACCACATAACTAAACTGCTCTCAGATTCCTGGACCTCATAAACTAGGTGAGATAATGTTTGCTGTTTTAAAAGCTGTCATGTTGGGGTGCCTGGGTGGCTCAGTCATTAAGCGTCTGCCTTCGGCTCAGGTCATGATCCCAGGGTCCTGGGATTGAGCCCCACATCGGGCTCCCTGCTCTGCGGGAAGCCTGCTTCTTCTCCCTCTCCCTCTGCTGCTCCCCCCTGCTTGTGTTCCCTCTCGTGCTGTGTCTTTCTGTCAAATAAATAAATAAAATCTTAAAAAAAAAAAAAAAAGCTGCTATGTTTTAATTTATTATTAAGTAGCAACAAGTAACTAATGCATATAAAAACTAAGGTACATACACATCAAAGCTAAGCAAATAAAAAAACAAGGCATTTAAAAAATTCTGAAAAAGTTACTCAAGAGAAAAGAAGTAGGGGCGCCTTGGTGGCTCAGTTGGTTGAGCATCCAACTCTCGAGTTTGGCTCAAGTCAGGATTTCGGGGTCATGAGACTGAGCCGCACGTCGGGCTCTGTGCTGGGTGTGGAGTGCGCTTGAGATTCTCTTTCTCCCTATCCCTCTGCCCCTCCCTCTGACTGCACACACACTCTAATAAATAAAATCTTTAAAAACAAAACAAAAAAAGAGGGGCCCCTGGGTGACTTAGTTGGTTAAGTGTCTGACTTCAGCTCGGATCATGGTCTCAGGGTCCTGGGATGCTCTCTCCAGGACCCTCTCCAGGGTCCTCTCTCTCAAATAAACAAACAAAACCTTTAAAAAAAAAAAAAACAACCAGGGGCGCCTGGGTGGCTCAGTCGGTTAAGCATCTGCCTTCGGCTCGGGTCATGATCCCAGGGTCCTGGGATCAAGCCCTGCATTGAGCTCCCTGCTCTGCAGGAAGCCTGCTTCTCCCTCTCCCACTCCCCCTGCTTGTGTTCCCTCTGTGTCTCTCTCTGTCAAATAAATAAATAAAATCTTAAAAGAAAGAAAAAGAAAGTAATCCATTTGGCTCAGCAGCAAGTAAGTTTTAGAAATAATAAATTAACATACTGATTTAGTCCCAAATTATAACAACTATGTTGCAGATGGGGGCTAGAAGTGAGTGTTTAAAAGAAACAACTAGGGGCACCTGGCTGGCTCAGTCAGTAGAGCATGCAACGCTTGATCTCCGGGTAGTGAGTTCAAGCCCCATGTTGGATGTAGAGATTACTTAAAAAATTAAAAAAAATCATAAAAAAAGAGCTAGAATTAAATACTCTTCTACTATTATCAAAAATTCAACAGATAATGTCTAACATTTTAAGTCTAAAAATAGCCTATAAGCTATTTCATAGATAAGTAAATTATTAAAAAAAAAAAACAGTAAAAGCTATTAAAAAGGCTGCTTTAAGGAGAGGCCCTGAACAATGTGGAGAGGTTCAGTGATTTACTTTATGTACCTTTTAAACCACGTATGTGAATCACTTTAATAAAAGTAATGAAAAGTACAAACAGACTGTAACAAAGGGCCCAATCTAAGAAAATTAAGGACAAAACAGCATATATGAAAAAGACAGATCTCAAGCTCAACCTTAGTGAACAGGGTTATGCGATTACTAGAATTCTCCTGAGAATTACATATTAGTATAATTCCAGTTGAGAGTTACTAAAATCATGACAGAAAATCCGTGACTGATACGGAATCCATGACACAGAAGGCATGACCGAAAGAAATGAAGATATTAAAGCTGAAACAGACTCAGGGAGACAAGTGGTTGCCATTAATTATTTGAAGGGCAATTTTAAAATATCTGAAGGTTTAAAAAGCAGAAGAAAAATCAGACCTATTCCTATACTGTTTCAAGTCAGAATTAGGACCAAGAATTAGGACCTTGGAATTAGGAATACCAAGTATTTGTATATTTTTACAGGTCAGAATTAGGAACATTGGCAGTTACAATGAAACGCAGGTTTTCTTGTAACTAGAAATTAAGGAAAATGGAACAAGGCTGCCTTGTGGAAGACAACTCCCCCATTGCTAGAGATAGTCAACCATAAACTATATGACCACTGTTTATAGTGGCTCTTACTTAACCTTTTTGAAGGTGCTAGAATGCTGGGGGAACCTAATTTCCCATAAAAACACACTGATACACAATCACACACAATTCTGCATACATTTCTAGAGTTCATCAGCCCTAAGACGTACCTCCATTGACCCGAGTAGAAGGCTAGAGTATCTACAGGTTTCCTTCAGTTTCTGCGACTCTAGTTAAAATAAGTGAAGGGTAAATGTATCATACTGTATCCGGTCCATGTTTCTGTTATCTATATGCGTGTTTCAGCTGTACAAGTTACCAGAACTATGGCCATCGGATTAGCATTTATGGTGCTTTGGGGAAAGAGGACTCTTCCTCCAGGTGGTCTAATTTGAAACAAGTGCTCCTCCGGGCTGCTGTGGCCCACGTCAGAGCATACCACTTGACAACAGAAGTGCCCAGGCTGGATGTTAGTCCCCACTCACCCATGCACAGGACACCTTCATACAAGGCACAACCAGCTCCAAGGTAACCAGCAGGCCAGAGACTGGTTATCTGGCTGAAGAGCTGAAGTATCCAAATTTTTACCCAAGTATTACAATGAATTTTACCATTGGTTGTTAAATCATCATAATACTTGGGGGAAAAAAGTAGGAAAAATGTGCATTACCCCATTTTTACTTCCAATGAAGAAAACAGATTTTTCTCCAATTTCAAGTCCATCACCTTCACTTCCACTACTTCGTTTTTCCACTTCGGCTTTTGCAATTTCCCAGAGAGTTTCACTAGGAGAGGCAGAAAATAAAATTTAGAGAATCAAAGGGAATCCTTTCCAATATTTATTTCAAGCTCAGAGAAATTTTATTTCAGTTAAATTTATAAAACAAATCAACATTATTTCCTGGGGGACAATAAGCTGATAAAACCTCTGAGGATTAGTCATTTTCTTTGTCCTGGTTCACAGAAGAAAGCTGAAAATGATAAGCAGAGCCTTTGTCGCTAGGATCTGAGGCTGCCTTATTTTGGGACTTCCAGCCAAGGTTGAAAGCTGTCTGGGTTAGTTTCTCAGACATGTACATGAATGTACAAAGCATTTTGGACATCTACAACTTGAAAACCACCACCATCTAGGAAAATGGGGAGCATGTAAAACCAGCACACCAAATAATCTTTGTTTTCTGAAATTTTTCTTTTTTGTTTTTAAATTATATTTCTGGCTCAAGATTCCCTGTTTTAATATATAAAATATAATGAAAGAAAAAACTAATCTAAAACCACATTTTGAAAATCATCTTCCCATTCATCTCTCTACGAACATATGTATTTTTTCACAATTATACTTTTTTTTTTAATTAAAGCCAAAATGAAAAATGGAGTATTGAACTAAAAAAATACAAGATTTGATGTGTTCCAAGCATGAATCTGCTACTTTCTACATATACCAACTTGGGCAAATTATCCAACCTCTCTGGATTCTTCATTCCTTTATTAATTCAACAAATATTTATTGAGCAGCTAATATATGCAAGCTTCTGTGCTCTTCCCCAGGCTCACTTCTGTTTCTTCCCTAAAATGCCAATAAAGAAGAATACCAACCTTATAAGATTATCATGATTGATTGTCAAAATGTGGTAATTCATTCCATTTAGGGCTTGACCTAAATATAATTATCTAAAATTACTGAGAGCTTATAATAATTATTCAAGAAACAGGGATGAAGAAAGGGGCTATAAAAGACCAACAGAGGTGTCCCTAAATGTCTGCACTAAAATGTCTGCACTTATTTCACAGGTGATCTCCCTGAAAGTCAGTCCAGGCCTGTCTGCTCTTCATTTACACACCATTCTTTCAAAACGTGATTATCTGCTTTCCAAGCTCCCAGCAGAGAGGAGAGCAGGAGGTGCCCCCGGTGGAAATTTGTAACTATAACCATGTGCAACCAATTATCCCACGATGGGAAGTAAGCTGACAATTCTTCACATTAAGGTTCGTAAACTCAACAGAGATCAGGCCCTGATCCACAAGGTGAGAAAAACAGATTTATCCTGCTCTGGACTCCAGAACCCCTCTCAGTTCCTGACCTCCTTGTAAGTTGTTCAGAGAAGGTTCAGGTGTGATCTTGAGAGCAGGAAATTAAAACTGACATCACAGAACTGAAGAGCTAAAATATATTTTACGGGCCCCCCTTCAAACGCCATCTCACACTTTTCACACAGCTTTCCCAAGTTTCCCTCATTTATTGTTGTCCTGAAACCCTGCACCACGAAGGGAGATGCGGAGAACTCTGAGGAGGGGGCTTTGTGGTCTAATTCACTGCCTGAACCCCTGCTTCTAGAACATTCCTTGGCCTGCAAGAAATTTTTACTTAGTAAGTGAACGGTTGGAGTTTAATGATCTTTCAAAATCTTAGTTTTCTACCCGGGGAACTTTTCTACCTGCTTGTGACTGAATCCATATGCTCGAGGGTAGTTCATAGGGATCCTTGACCATCCAGACAGCGGTTGCAAGCAAAAAAGATTCAGAATTTTCTTCCACAGGCAGGACCTCCTAGGCTCCTCTCCCTAAATAGACCCCCAGCGGCCCTCCCTCCCCTGCTCCTTCCAGGCTGGGGTGGGAAAGAGAGGAAAGCCAGACTCTCGAGGGGAGCATAAACCGGGGGGCAAACAAGGCTGCGGGGGATACCTGGGCATCGTGGCTCGACAGCCCCAGCGTCGTGGGCTCAGCGTTTGGGGCCTGCTTAAAACCAGGACGCCAGCGAGCTCCGAGACCTGCCGGATTGTGCGGACTCTTGGGTTGCCATGGGAGCGACGTCACAGGCTGCGTTGCGTGCGACAGAGGGCATCATGGGAAATGTAGTTCTCAGCGTTCCTTTTCAATTCTCGCTCAATGCCTCATCCTCTATGTGAGAGAATGAGGTGAGCCGTCTGACAGACCTGGAACCTAAAAGCTCTGGGCTGGAAGTGTTCTTTTACTTAAAAAGTATCCTACTAGGGGGCGCCTGGGTAGCTCAGTCGTTAAGCGTCTGCCTTCGGCTCAGGTCATGATCCCAGGGTCCTGGGATCGAGCCCCACATCAGGCTCTCTGCTCCGCGGGAAGCCTGCTTCTCCCTCTCCCACTCTCCCTGCTTGTGTTCCCTCTCTCGCTGTGTCTCTCTCTGTCAAAAAAAAAAAAAAAAAGGTATTCTACCGAGTACCAGACTATATGGCAGGGATGTCTGCTCTCTCTTTTCAGTCACTTTTCTCTCCCCGCCAGCGACACTTGGGAATGGAGGGTGAAACAAACTCCTGAGCTGTTTTCTAGTGATTTACTAGAGAATTGTGATTTTGGTATTTTCCAACTTTATGCTTGTTTAGTTCTTTCTGGGTTTATGCAATAGCACATCATTTATTAAGTTAATAAAGCAAACGCATCTCCATGATACTTCATTTACTTTATCTCCGAATCAATAGCAAACATTGAGTTATTACTGTATGCATGAGCGCTACGCAGAGTATGGAATGAAGAGGTAAGACAAGATCTCCGCTCTTGAGAAGGATGCACACAACTAAAAGAAAGCCAGTGCTATAAGCTATTGTAGAGAGGTATAAAAAAATCACATCATAAGAGTAAGTAATTATGCCAAAGAGGGTTGAAACCTTCAGGGCAGTGGCAGTATTTGATCTATTTTGAATGCTCGGTAGACCTAGCCTCTCTGGCCCAAGATGTTTTGAATATTGAAGGAGATACTCTCCTTATACCCTTTTGCCATTTGGCTTGGTGTAATGAATGGTGTGATGTTCAAGAAGGTGGGCTTTAGATGGACTTAGATTTCCATTCTGACTCAGCCACACTGGCTAAGTTGCCACATTGCCACGGTGGGTAAATCATTCAGTATCTCCAAGCCTCAGTATCTGATCATGTAAAGCAGGGGAAATTTATGAGTTTGAAATGAAATAAATATATGTAAAACATAAATTATGTGTGCCTGACACATTATAAGTGCTTCATGCTTGGTATTATCATGTTGTAAGCTACCGATCCGCAACTTTGAACAAAGAAACACAAAGATCACATTCCTGGAAATGAAGCAAAAAAAATTTTTTTAAGGAACAAAAAAAAGCATTCACGACATAAAATCTTTGGGATCAAAATCCTCCCAACACCTAGGTGCATTCTGAAGACATAACAGACTACAGTTGCACATAGAAAGGGATGTAAAAGGAGTGCAATTCAATAGAGAGAGGATGATCGCAAGGGAGGTTGGTACATCTGCCATTGAATCAGCATCTATATCTTGGAGCTAGCCTGCCTATAAGTTCACAAACTGGTGTGGGACAGAGTGTAATGAATTATAATAATTTGAGTTCTGGAACTTTGGAAGCCCTTTGTATATTAATTAGGAAGCCCTGTTGATATGAATAACAAAAGTGGCAGCTAACATTTTTGCCATTTACTTGCTATGTGCCAGGCACGCTACTAATATCTTAAAGGTATAATTGTTTGGATAACTGGGATAGAAGGTTGAAGAAAGAAGCCTGGTAACAAGGAAGGTAAAAGTTGTCTGGCTGGGCCCTGGTCACCAGCATGGGTTCAGAGGTGAATCAGGGGATTCTGCTGATCTCGTTGAGCAGATGAGTTCCCTTTTCTACCCTTATGCCTCCTGAGGCTTCATATTTGGACAAAGCGACCTTCCTGGGTAGATGAAAATTGTTCTTAAGGTAGGAATATATAGAGATTTGAGCTCCCCTACTGGGTGACCCCTAAAAGACTCAAGGATTTCAATGGTGGTAATAGAGAAGAAGACAATTTTATGATGCTTGCTGGGTGGAATAAACAACAGTGCAGAAGAATACAGATGTGTGCAGAGTGTATTTGGGGAATTGTGAATGGTTAAGGGGCAAGCATATAAAGTGGTGTGACTATGGTGGGAGAGGAAACTGGGCAGGTTGATTGGGCTTCGTTGAAGGATCTTGCAGCCTGGATTTTACTGTGTTGGTTGTAAAAAACCAAATATGATTTTAAAATAGGGGTGCTCCAGGACTGGACCTGAGTTCCAGTGAGAGAATTTTTTGCAGCTGTGGGAAGGATGTTTTGGAGTCTGGAAGTCCATATGGAAGCCATTAACAATAGCCCAGACAATGACAGAGTTTTCACCTTTTCCCCCTTGTTTTCAAAGTTATATAAGCTTATTGTAGAGAAAAAAATAGTGTATGGAAAAAATGAAGAGGGTAAAAGAAGCACACCCCAGAAGCAATACCTATTAAACATTTTGGTGTATTTCATTCTAATCTGTCCTCTTACAGTTGAGATTTTACTGTAAAGTTAATTAACATTCTGATTTTAACATGTATTTCTCATCTCAATTTTTAAAAATCCATCGTAGGGTGCCTGGGTGGCTCAGTCAGTTAAGCGACTGCCTTCGGCTCAGGTCATGATCCTGGAGTCCCGGGATCGAGTCCGGCATCGGGCTCCCTGCTCGGCAGGGAGTCTGCTTCTCCCTCTGACCCTCCCCCCTCTCATGTACTCGCTCTCTCTCATTCTCTCTCTCTCAAATAAATAAATAAATCTTTAAAAAAAAAATCCACCATAAACATAACTTTGATGGCTGCATAATATTCCACTATACAGGGTTCTCATAATTTACTTAAGCATTCTCCTCATATTGAGCTTTTTTTATTTTTATTTTTTGAGAGAGAGGGAGAGCACACATGCTGCACAAGGCAGTGGGGGGAGGGGTCAGGTGGGCGAATCTTAAGCTGGCTCCCTGCTCAGCATATAGAGCTGGACTTGGGCTCGATCTCACGACCCCAAGTTCATGACCTGAGCCGAAATCAACAGTCAGATGCTTAACCAACTGTGCCACCCAGGTGCCCCTCATATTGAGCATTTGAAGTGGTTCAGAGTAAACACCTGAGTTGGGCCCCGTAGAGCCTTTCTCTGGGATTTTTTTAAACTAGAATTGGGAAGCTCAAGTCATTCCCCCTCTGGAGGAAATTGGCATGTTTTCTGCTGAATGAAGCTGTTTTGTTGATAAATTCCTTATCTACCCTGGATATTAACCCCTTCATCAGATACATGACTTGCAATTATTTTCTCCCATTCTACAGGTTGCCTTTTCACTTTGTTTCTTTCGATGTGCGGAAGTTGTGAAGTTTGGAGTTGTCCCATTTGTCTTTTTTTTTTTTTTTTACTTTGCTGCCTGTGCTTTTGAAGAGTTGTCGATTTAATAAAGCCACCAATATAATCTATCTTCTGAAAGGGATCCCAACCCCCACTCACCCACCCCTCCCATTGATTAGATTATGTTAGCAAAGTGCTGGAAGGAAGGGTACCCTGTATTCAAGTGCTGTGGTGAACACTTGAGTCTTGTTCTGGAGTTATTTGCTAATAGATGTTACCCTAGTAAGCAAGTTTTTGTTTCTTGACTATTACTGGACCTAAAAATACTTATAAAGCATACGGTGAAGATTTCAGATTGACATTGATTATAAATATGCCTCCAGAATCACTGTGACTATGTTTGATATAGGCAAAATTAAGTTCAACAGGTAAAATTATGGTGTAGAGCAAGTGTGTATTTCATCTCCTCACCCCAGCTTCTGTGGAGGTCCATCCATCTCTTCTTTGCAGGAGTCACCTTCCCACTTAAGTGCCCAAGAGAAGTGTGAATCTTGGTTCCAACTGGGATAAGGATGAATCTTACTTCATGTTAATATCTATGTGTGGACTTTACCTTAATTTGGAGTTGTTTCTTTTTTTTTAAAAGATTTTATTTGAGAGAGAGTGCTTGTGCACGAGTGGGGGGAGGGGCAGAGACTGAGGGAGAAGCAGACTCCCTGATGAGCAGACAGCCGGACAGGATCCCAGGATCCTGAGATCATGACCTGAGCTGAAGGGAAACGCTTCACCAATTGAGTCACCAAGGCGCCCCTTAATTCGGAGTTTAAAGTTACTCTTGTAGCAGTAAAATCCCTTTCTTCTTTCAGGGAAAAGAGAACAGGGAAAAACAAGAGGAGATACCATTTCTCCATGAACCCGTTAGCAGGGAAGCTTCTCCACCCTGTTATTCCTGCTCCTCACTGCTCTTCCCTCAGTCCCCACATTCCTGGAGCCTTTGATCTGCAGGAATCAGTCCAGAGACTCTGCATTGGGGAAGTCCAAATTCCATGGCAGCTAGGGGGTAGGTGGACAGGTGAAATGTGTTCTTGGCAACCCAGGAACACTTGAAGTCTTTGTCTAGCGAAATATGATTATCTGTGGTGGTTAATTCTTCAGGATTATACTACAGTACAATTGGGTAAGTGCATTGTTCTAGGAACCCAGCCACTATGTGTTTTTTCCTTTGGGAAAAATTTCCAAACAATCAGTTAATAAGCACATTTTCGAACAAAGACTCTGTAAGTTGTGACCAACTTTTCTTGTAAATTGAGAGTTAAATTCATTTCCAAGCTAGGACACTATTTGACTTTAAGGACACATGCATAAAAAAATCCAGAACATTTAAAATAAATTTTTAGAACACAGTCCATCAACTCACCTGCATGAAATAAGCTACTTATGGAACTTATATGAAATCATGGGAGAACCCCATGATTTATACATATTGTATATGTGTCAATATGCATACATACATCTTAAAATTACAATTTGCCAAAACGGTTTCCTTTTATATGGATAAAACAAAGCAACACTGAAGACAAAGCATGAATGCAAGAGAAGGAGGTAATAACTACCATTTTCACTAGTAGTACACCTCAGCTTTGACAATGAAAACATTAGGTACTTACTGAAGATTGTTCAAAAGATAATGCTCAAAATGGGTTTTGTAAATCATTTATTATGATTGAAAGGGAAGAAAATGATAGGAGACAAATATTACAATTAAACATGTAACAATTATTCTCTTGTAACCAATCATAATAACATACTTTGAATTTTTTAAATGGCTATATAAGTAATTTCCCAGAAAATAAAATTTTCACATCGTGAGTTACAGAAAATTGATTTCTTTCCATCAAAATATTTTATCTCTGTTCTATCAAAAATAAATGCCAAGTATAAGGTACACCGTTTAAGCTAAGCCTTCACTACTTGTTCAAATGAGAAGATTTGGAGGGGGGTGTGCTTACCAGATGGTGAACTAACTACTACCTTAGAATAAAGCCCTCACACATATGTAAACTGTGCCATGCCTCTGGCTCACCAACTAATGAGTATTGGACACTTTTCTGGGAACTAAGAAACTCTGTTGTATCCCAGCCAAAATACTACTGAGAGTCATTCCAAACTGGTAACCAGTTTATTCTCAAAAACCAACTTGCTTATGCAGTGAGTGGTTGTGGCTCAAAAGATTTAGGGGAAACAGTAAATGGAAATCTACTTCTATGGGGTTTTTTGACCTTCTTTTGGTCATTACCAATAAAGCAAAATCTTAGGTAAGCACTGTACTTCTTGGCTCTGTCCTTTCTAAGGATGCTAATGTGAGATGGAATTATTTTTAAAAGGCTTAGCGTGACAACAGTACATTGCCATAGGGTGAAAGCAGCAAAGAAGAAAATATGAAGGCTCTGCCAACAAATAAATTCAGCAGCTAACATTTTTTTTTCAAATTGGTTAAAAAAAAGTACCACACACAGAGTGATAAATACATGTGCAAAAAATAAATACAAATATTCTATACATAAATAAAATTAAGTATACTCATGATTACTATTGCAATTAAACGGTTTTACAATATAATTTTCATGTCTTATCACAGTTTCATTTTTATCATGAATACTAATTACTTTGTTTTACAGTCACATACTGGAATGAACTGACCACTTGTGTAACCTAGCAAAGTAATACATTTCTAGACTCACTCAACTAAAATTTTACCTCCTTTGACAGATTTCTCTTTTCTTTTAAAATATATTTTGAGAATTTATGTTAAAACTATAATGAAAAAGGCCTATATGAGGGCAAAATATAAGAATTGTCTTTGCTTTCAAAGATATTATTCAACAAAATAAGGTCAAGATGACCCAGCACCAAATGCAATGAAATGTGGGCAATATTCCAGTGAACTCAGGCTATCCAGTAATAGCTAAGGGATGTGGGGAATCACTGTCTTGTGTTTTTTTTTTTTTAAGATTTTTTTTTTTTTTTAAAGATTTTATTCTATTTATTTATTTGAGAGAGACAGTGAGAGAGAGAGCACAAGAGGGAGTAGGGTCAGAGGGAAAAGCAGACTCCCCGCCCAGAAGGGAGCCTGATGCGGGGCTCGATGCGGGGCTCGATCCCTGGACTCCGGGATCATGACCTGAGCCGAAGGCAGTCGCTTAACCGACTGAGCCACCCAGGTGCCCCCACTGTCTTGTTTTAAACTTTACACTCCAGTGATCTGAAAAGGTGATGGAGTATACTTTCTAATACCACACAGGAGGTTCTGGTTACCTAACGCCCATTTTCTCACCATGATTCATAGTGCCAGATTTACTGCACTTGCTCTAAAAATTTACCCCTCAACAGCATCCTGTGGCTGTTTCTTTCTTTCTTTCTTTCTTTTTAAAGATTTTATTTATTTGACAGAGAGAGACACAGCGAGGGAGGGAGCAAAGGGGCAGAGGGAGAGGGAGAACAGGCTTCCCACGCAGCAGGGAGCCCGATGCGGGGCTCGATCCCAGGACCCTGGGACCATGACCTGAGCCGAAGGCAGACGCCCAACGACTGAGCCACCCAGGCGCCCCCTTGTGGCTGTTTCTGACACTGTATTCTCTACTTCTCTCCAACATCGTATCATTAATTAAAAGCACATTTAATTACAGTACTCGATTTTTTGGCAGTGAGCCTTTCCAAATAATCAACTGGTTTGCCAAATGAGAGTTTGGAATCTCCCTTTGCCAGAATATGTTTTTTAAAAAGACAAAAAAAAAAAGAAAAATGCCATATTGCATGATGTGTCTGCTGGCAAGGGACAAAGGAGGTGGGGGAAAACGATGAATTCGAACCCAGTTAGTCTAAGAGAAAGTCAGCATGTGGGCACATCTTGTGTTTATGTTTTATTAGTCGTACTCATTTGAATATTTAAGAATCAAATAAAAGAAAGACACCCCGCATTTTTCAAGTTTGGAATCCCAGTGTGTGGGTGCCATGCTGCCTGGGTGTAAATGAACTTATTTGTAGCTGATGCAGCCATCGCCCGGAGGATGGGAGTGAATGTTCAGGCTCCAGAGCTTTCAGAGTAAGGTGGGTCCTTTAGTCGGTCGGCTACTTGACAGAAGGGGCTGGCTTCCCACTGCCCTGGCTTCCGGTCCCCGCGTCTGGGCTGAGAGCAGCGCTGGAGCAGAGAGGTGGTGAAAGGTTGCCTTTTGCTGATGGAAGTTGTTTATGTAACTGGCGATCAAAAGAGTGATTTCAAGAATCTAAAACAAGGAAAATAGAATTGTTAGTGCTCCGGAGAAGTTCTCAGCACTTCCAGACCTGGCCACAGGTGGTCTCCATTTGCAAGTGCCCAGGCTTCCAGAATTCCCTTCTCTCTCCGGATCCGTGAAGTGCTTACATGTTCAACACCATCAAGCCACTGACATATTTTCCAGCTGCTTCAGCCAGAAAAAAGAATGGGTCTTAAAAAACAATCAAATTTAGTGGCAAATATTAAAAAATGTGACGATAGTGCAAGTCTATCAGTTATCTTAAAGCCACATCTGTGTATAAATGAATTAAGAAATTTAGCACATTATATCAACTTTTTATTTAAACTAAATAAAGTCCTGAGTATGTCTCAATCTTCTGCACTTACTGGTTAACTGCCTTCACTTGAATGTCTGCCATTTAAAAAGAAAGTTTCAGATTCTAAAGAGGTAGTCTTTTTTAGTTGACATTTTTAAGACAAAGTTTTAGGAAACTCAGGTTCTCATTCTTTTTACTAAAACTGGAATTACATACTAAAATATAGCCCTTGTACTTACTGTTTTTGCTTACAGACATTAAAACTACACAGAACAAGTAACATCTCAATTATAAAACCTTACTCTTCTCACTAATGAGTCCATAACCTGAATTACCCCACGTAAATAAGATAATGTGTATAAAGTACCTGACAACAACTTACATCAAGACCACTTATTTTGAACCTTCTATATACCAGGCACTGGGCTAAAGCATTTAACAATCCCATCATTTAATTCTTAAGCCAAAAAAAGTAGGTAGCATTATATAATTTTTTAGGTGAAGAAACCAAAGTTTAGCAAGATCAGGTAAGCCAGAATTTGGACCTAGAACTGTTTGATTACAAGTAAATCTGTTTTCCCATCTGCAACTTAGTTTTTGCACAATAAATGTTTTAGCATGAAAAAAACTAGTATAAAAAAGTTAGTAGAAAGGCTTGTACTCACCTTGGGTTTTGCCATGGCAAAAAGTAATTTCTCTGTTGGTTTGTCCTTTGAATGTGTATTGTTAATGACTATCATAAAATCATCTTGATGACCTCCAAAGGTCATTAGACTCTTGTACACATAGCTGACTATTAACCTCTTCAAAGAGAAGAAAAAGTTAATATCTTATATACTTTTTACTTTCAAAGAAAGATGAGAAATGATTAATAACATATTTCCATTAAAATGCTGATATTAATGAAACTAATATTATGTGTTATCTATACTTAACTAAAAAAGAAAAATGCTGTTATTAGTTATATATAATAAAAATTATTTTCTAATATAAAATCTTAAGATTCAAAATAGATAGTAATGTACTAGTTTTATGTAGGCATCATTTACCTTTATAATTAAAATACAGTTTGATTCTGATACTAATAACTCAATGTGGAAAAAACCAGAAAATACAAAAAGAAAATAAAAAGCACCTATATTCCAGCATCCAGTGGAAAACCACGGTTAATACTTTGTATATGTCCTTTAAGATCTCTCATTATATGTATCTATATTAGGTTAAACCATATGAAACTGATACTTTTTAAGGTAAAAATGGTCAAATATTGGCAAATCCATATGTTTCACCTTGATATATAGATTTTGATACAAACATAAATAGTATCATGCATATTGTTTAGGATTCTGCTTCTTTTTAAATGTAATAACAAATCATGATATCTTTTCATGATAACAAATGTCCTTGTATAACATCATTTTCAGCTTTATTTAACCAATCTCCTATTGCTGGAGATTTAAATCATTTTTTATTTGTTACTATCTTAAACAATAATGCATATTTTTGATATGCATATGGGTATTTCAAAATACCCATACCTAATTATTTCTTTAGTTATAAATCTCAAATAACCGGAACTGCTACCTCAAAAAAGTAAGGACAATTTTGAGAATATTTCCAACCTCTCCTCTGGAAAAGTTACACCCAGTTACATTCCCAGCACTGTAGTCTTGCTAACACTAGATATAATCATTCTTTTAAATCTCTGCCAACCTGACTAGTGAAAAGTAGAATCTCACTGTTTTAAATTGAATGTATTCGATTACTAGTGAAATTAACATTTAAAAATACATTTATTGAACATCTGTATTTCTTCTATGAATTGCCTTGGCCCATTTGTCTATTGGTGTGTTTATCATTCCCTTATTGTTTCGTAAGGATATCAACCCTTTGCCATACATGCAGCAATTTTTCCCCCTCTGTAGCTAAGACAATTTTAAATATTAAAAAATGTACAGCTTATAGGTAAAGGAATTTGCATATCTAATGATTAGCTTGCAAGACTTTGAGCAGGCAATTCCAGCACTCAATGCTCCATGAGTGGCAGCCCACCAGTGTCTTATCTCCTGACCTCTGTGTCCATCTCCCAGGATCTAGGAAACTGGCTTACTTACCTAAGGTAACTCAGTACTGGTTTACAATTTTTTGTTGACTTTAGGTCATCGATTTTATAACCTATCTTCAAGTTACCCATTCAAGAACCTTAGCATTCGAGAACTATAAAGCTCTTCAAAAAGTTTTTTTTTTGTTTTTGTTTTTTTAGCAATTATAAGGAGAAAGTACTGTAACACTAACCATTAGTTTGGTTTCCAAAAAATTCTCAGTGATCCCTGACTAGAGCCAGACATAAGAGAGCCCATTACACCTACCAGGAGAATTTAACAATTCCTGTCTGCTAGATTTAAAAACAAAACAAAAAAGAACACATGAAATATGATAGAAAAATAAAGCAAATTTCAGATAGATACATAAACATGTAGAAAGCACAGTTTGACGTTATATTTAATCATGTAAAAAGCTCTAAAATACCATATATGTACAAGTGAACTGGTAAGTAATATTACAGAAAGTTACAGAAATGGTTACAGAAGCCTTAGGGATACCGAACTTAAACTTTCGTAATTAAAGTTTCTACATTAATGTTATCTTAAAGGCTTTCATTTTACACAGGAAGCAATCTTCCTAACACTATAAATGAATAGTCATTTTACAAATACAACTGTGGTTGGGGTGCCTGGGTGGCTCAGTTGGTTAAGCGTCCAACTCTTGGTTTTGGCTCAGGTCATGATCTCAGGGTCATGAGATCAAGCCTCGAGCTGGGCTCTGCACTCAGCCTGGAGTGTGCTTGAAATTCTCTCTCTCCCTTTCCCTTTGCTCCTCACCCCCCACTATGTTCTCTCTTTCTAAAACAAACAAACAAATAAATAAATAAAATCTTAAAAAAAAAAACTCAAAAAAACAAAAACAAATACAACCGCAATTTAGTCATGGTATCTTAATATTTTCCTCATATGCAATATAAAACCTGTCCAATCTTGTTTTATTTTTATTTTTATTTTTTTAAAAGATTTTATTTATTTGACAGAGAGGGACACAGCGAGAGAGGGAACACAAGCAGGGGGAGTGGGAGAGGGAGAAGCAGGCTTCCCACGGAGCAGGGAGCCCGATGTGGGGCTCGATCCCAGGACCCTGGGATCATGACCTGAGCCGAAGGCAGATGCTTAACGACTGAGCCACCCAGGCGCCCCTGTCCAATCTTGTTTTAATGACTATTTGTTACACAGCATTAGGAAAAATGTTATCTGTGTATGAGAAAAATCACATGAAGAGATCATTAGCTTCTGTGTACGGTACACTGAGCAATGTGAAACTTAATCTTACCATGGAGTTGTATTCTAAGATGCTTAAACCATCCTCATGGATAGCCAGCCACATGAAAGTACTTCCGAGTGCTGATGGAGTTACGGGCTGTGAAGAGGTGCAAATACACTGTATAATAAATGCTAAGCAAAATCACAGAAACATTTTTCCGTCAAAATACAATGCAACATTTACAACAACGACTTCACATTAAAAATCTTCTTGGGGTGGGGAGAAAAAAAGAAGAAAATAAAACTTATGGGGGAAATAATCTCTCTTGGGGCAGAGGCAGGATCATGTAATGGAAAGAGTAGTGAATCTGATATCAGGAGATGTTGGGTCTGAGTTCCAAATGTGCCATTTATTAGCTGTACATTTGGACAAGCTACTGAATCTCTCTCTGAGGCTCAATTTTCTCATCTTTAGCATGAAGACAACAATGTTTAATCTTATTTTTCTTTTGTTTTAATAGTTAATAGGCTTGTAGTTAATAAGCTTGTAGGATTTCTATGATGACCAAGATCCTAACGGAACAAAATATGCTGATGTGTTTTCTAAGGCATGTGTAATGCTACTACAAGGTAAAGGATTAGTATTATAAATGCACACTTTTTCCAAAAGTTTATTAAATCTGATATTCATTGACTAATAACAATAGAATAAAAAGAAAATACGAAACTGTGATGAGTGGTAATGAGAAATACCAAAATTTCCACTAAATTCCTTATTGTAAAAAAGCAATGAAATTATATTAATAAAGAGAATCTCACCACTAACCCCCAACTAAAACCCATGCATGTTTTCGAGCATTTTACAATGATTGCTTAACAATAAGAACTGAAATTCTAACAAAAACTTAACTACTTCTCTTAAACCTTATAAAAGAAGTTGAGACTATAGGGACACCTGGGCAGCTCAGTCGGTTAAGTGTCTGCCTTTGGCTCAGGTCCTGATCTCAGGGTCCTGGGATGGCCCCGCATTGGGCTCCCTGCTCAGCAGGGAATCTGCTTCTCCCTCTGCCTCTGTGCCTCCGCCTCCCCCCCCCCCCCCCACCAACCGCTCCAGCTCGCTCACTCTCTCTCCAATAAAATCTTTAAAAAAAAGAGAGAAGTTGAGACTATAGATAAGGAACTGGGATGAATCTATAGTATCTATACAAATCTATAGTATTTATACATATAGTATTCTTGTTTATAGTGAAACTTTTCAGAATCTCATGTATAAAAAACCCCTGGGGGTGCCTGGGTGGCTCAGTTGGTTAAGCGACTGCCTTCGGCTCAGGTCATGATCCTGGAGTCCCAGGATCGAGTCCCACATCGGGCTTCCTGCTTGGCAGGGAGTCTGCTTCTCCCTCTGACCCTCCTCCCTCTCATGCTCTCTGTCTCTCATTCTCTCTCTCTCTCAAATAAATAAATAAATAAATAAATAAATAAATAAATCTTTAAAAAAACAAAACAAAACCCTGGGTTACTGTCTACTGAGGGCTGGTTTGCAAAGGATAGGCAAGCATTACAAAGGATGCCATTCAACCTATCAGCCCTTTGACAAAACACTGTTTTTGTTGTTCTTCAGTGAAACAAAACATGATATATACATGCAGTGGAATACTATTTAGCTCTTAAAAAAAAGGAAATTCTGACACATGCTACAACATGGTTGAACCCTGCAGACATTGTGCAAAGGAAAATCAGCCAATCACAAAAGGGCAAATATTGTACGATCCCTGTTACATGAGGCTTCTAGAGCAGTGAAATTCACAGAACAGGAAGTAGAATGGTGGTTATCTGGGCCTGGGGAGAACAGGGACTAGGAAGTACAGAGGTTTAATCCAGGAAGATGAAAAAGTGCTGGAGGTGGATGGTGGTGAGGGTAGCATAAAAATGTGAATGTACTTAATGTCATAAAAACGTACACTTAAAAATGGTTAAAATGGTATATTTGATGTTATATATATTTATCCCCCCCAAAAGGGTGTCATTAAGCAAAGGAGGTGTCTTCATAGTATAAAGGAAGAAAAGTGAGCAAAGAAAAGATGCCACTCATGCAACATGCAGATGCTACATATTATTTAATAATATTTCTGTGCTAAAAACACAGAACATACGATCAAAGATGGATATTGAATATTTCTTCCAATGCTGAGATTAGAATTAAAATTCATTGTAAAATGCTGCTCTACAGTTCAAGTCTAGTCCTTATATTTTTAGAAGGCCTATGTTCAATTCCTTGCAAATATATTAATTTTAGAGATGTTTAAGCAAACTGACTTTATCAACCACTTACTCAGTATACAGCTTCCAGTGCCAGCAGCAAAATAATTTCTTACCTCGCAGTGATACAGTCACTCATGGAAGCAGAGTACAACAGCCTAGATTTTACTCTTCTAATCTAAGTTGTCATGTGTAGATGGCGAAACTGAGGTCCAAAGAGGTTAACTGACTTGCCCAGAGTGGCACAGCGATTCAGCAAACATTTATTCAGTGATACTTATGTGCAAGGCAAAACAGTGCGCACGAGAGGAGGATTTCAGGGTCAGTGAGTCTATACCCTCAAGATGTGTACCACTTATTAGTGAGGACAGACCAAACACGCACACAGATCAGATCGAACACAAGACCAGAAGCATTTCAGGAGCCTGAGGGAGTATAAAGTGACATGGTTCAATAGAAAGAAGGAGAATTCAAAAGTACAGTTCTTCCTGGTGGCCTGGGCTACCCCCTCCCCCCCCCCCCACCATCTGGGTCTGCCTCTCCTTCCTCAGTGTTCCCACAGCGCTCTGGCCCTGTGCCTCTTAACCCTGTTCACCCACCATGCTTGTTTTCCCGCCCTGTTGCAACACCGGATCGACTGTGAGTTCCTAGAAGTTTGGGTACAACCCATCTGAAACCATGGGCTTCTGTATCCCTAGGTACATAATGTTTGGCCAACAGAAGTCACTAAATACTAAATACATGAGCAAATGAGTGACAGAGTGAATAACAAATGGGTGAGAGGCTGCGTGGCTGAAGAGAAGAAAGCAGAGTCCGGTGGTCGCCTTCAGTCTCCTGGTGAGCCTACAGAGTGTGAGTGACTTACGTGGGGGCCTGGGGGCGGGGGGGCGGAGGGGGAAGTGGGGCAAAGGGCACAGATGGAGAAGCTGCTGACTCTCCTGCCCCTTCTTGGGTCCCTTCATTATTTTCTTTCCATTGTTGGGAATCTCCTTATATCCTTTTTAAAAGCCGAATCTACTACACTTGGGGGGACTGTGGTCACTGTTTGACTTCACTGAACCAAAGAGAGTCAACTATACAGGAGAAGGTTTTCATTCGGCATCTCCCTCCCATCCTTTCTTACTTTCGCAAGAAACAACTTGGCACCAAAGAATGGCCACTTCCTGGCTACTGTCAAATAAATGCGCACACAGTCAGCAGCGCTGTGTCCCCGGAGGGCCATCCATCTGGTCGACAGTCGCTGACAGAGCTGCCTAAGAAGAGAACAAAAACAAAAAGGCCAAAGCAGAAACAGTGTATTGGCCTCCCAGGGCAAAGCTCTGCTTGAGCTAATTGTAGGCACGACCAGGACACCCAGGCGTCACCCAGGAGGAGCTATTATTTTGTGATTCCCATCTCGCCACTGTCCACCCCTTGTCCTTTTAGAACATTCCTCTCACCAAATTCTCATACTATTAGTGCTCTCGGCATGACCTAGGTTCCCCACCTCCCACCACCCCATCAGGCAAAGTTAATAAAAATCTGATAAACTAACATCAAACCTTAGAGTAAATTAGATTACAAAGGTAATTTCTCATGGTAATAACTTTCATTTTAAAAGAAAAGTACAAGATATTGAGACCAAAGAATGAATCCCTAATGGTGGAATTTTAGGTGCTACCTGGCTTGGAGAGATGCTGGCTGTGGGGAAGATGCCTTAAATAAAATCACAAGGGCAACCACTTACTCTACATAAACAAAAGACTGATCTTAAATGTTTCCATTTTGGAAAACTCATGGTGAATTGGATTTGCCTCTCTTTTTCAAGTGAATCAGCTTTTCATTATATATTCTCTAAAACCAAAATTCTAAACCATTTGAATTTAATTAAAAATTTATATTAAAAAATCTTGTGTAAGAAGATACTTTGCTTCCACGCCAGTTTGTTTATAATGGAAAACCGTAAGAGATAAAATGTTTTTGGTACACACATCATAAAATTAAACACAGTACTGGCCATTTTTTCTCTTTTATTAGCAGGATTAATTTGGACAAGAATGAATAAGATCAAATGAAAAGTAGACCTTCTAAATTAAGGTAAAAAAATTTTCCTTAAAAAAACTGTAAATAGAGATTATCAAAATTCTAGGCCCATCTTAAATAAAAAGATCTATAACCTCTTGGGATTCAACAGTATTAAAAAATCTTAAGAAAATTGTCATGTATAACAATTTTCATCTTTAAAATTTGAACAGAAGAATATCACGAAAAGCCCAGCATGACTCTACCCTTTAAAGAGTCACAAGTAGGGGCTCCTGGGTGGCATCCGACTCTTGGTTTCGGCTCAGGTCATGATCTCAGGGTCGTGGGATAGGGCCCTGCGTCCAGCTCCCCACTCAGTGGCGCGTCTGCTTCTCTCTCTCCCTCTCCCTCTGCCCTTCCCCTGTTCTTGCTCTCTCTCTGAAATAAGTAATTAACCCTTTAAAAAAAAAATAAAGAGTCACAAGTAGTTCCTTACCTTAACTGCTCTTCAGAAGAGTCATCTCTATACCTTTTAGGATAAAATTTTTCTATGACTTGTTTTAGAGTTTGATTTGTTTTGCACTGATTAGTAACATGCCCTGCTGGAGTTGAAAAGGGTCTTTCAAAATCTCCAATCTCCACCTAATTGCAAATCCAAAGAGAAAATATAGGATATTGAAGAGTTTTTAAAAAATTAGTTTTATTCTTTCTAAACATTCTTTATAATATATAATATATAAATCTATTTGTCATGATTGAGTGACTATGGAATTTATAATCATACATAAGGATTATTAATAAAATATAATTCCATTTGAAAAAAAATCTGTAATTGAAACATTTCGATTCCATTTCTATGCAAAAGACTCTTAGTTAATGTTGTCATCTAGTAGCATTTCCTAAGGGCCACTAATATTATTACCCATAACAGCACAGGATAATTTTTCATTTTTAAGGTACTAGTTTAATTGTTAATAATAAGGCAAAATGGAGGCTAAAAATAAAAGACAAAAAAAGTTATAAAGCTATGAGAAGTCTCAAAAAAAGTATTATTTGCATTTCCTAAGGGTCGCTATTGAATATAATGGAACAAGAACTATATTCTCATTACTTTCTTCCTAGATTTTCTCCATAAATGGTTCTGCATCCATCCCCTTATTCTGTTATTCTGGGAATAGAGCCCTCTATTCTTCTTTCTCCCTGAATGAAAGAATGTTCAATCATTATCTCTATTAACGAGGCTACACAGATGCCATTCTCTACCTACCCATCCATCTCTCCATCCACTCACCCACCCCCTCATTCATCCATACCTATGTTGAGTCTCCATTATATCTCAGGCACTGTACTAAGTGAGGTGAGATTTAAAAAAATAGCTGAGCACAGTTCCTACCCTCATGGAGTTTACTGTCTAGTAGAGGAGACTGAAGTATAAACAACTTGTTCATACTTGTAATGACTTGTGTCAAGTGTCTTATATAGGGTACCAAAGAGGGTTCAAGGAGTGAGATGGAGTGGGGACATTCAGATGAATGTCCTATTGAACATTCAAATCCCTTTATACAGCATTCCTCAACAAGCAGATGGAGGGACCCATCCATACTGGGTGGGGTCTCCATCTCAAGAGGGCCCTCTGCTTCCAGGTAAGCCGTTAGCAGAACCAGCCTCTCAGATTTTGACCCCTGTGGCTTCTCTTTTCTAGCTCTTAGTCTGACCCACTGCTGTCTAAATTCCTCATCTAAACTTTGCCCTTACAGTGTATTCTACCTCTCTAGGTCTCTGCCCCAGTTTCTTACTTGTTGGCTTCTTGGCTTGGCCCTGCTGTTCAGCTCTCATCCCCATCTCCTATCTCCTTCCCTAATTTCCTCACACCAAATACAAGTTGTCCATACTAAAATCTTTCCCCCAAAGCAAGCTTTTTTTTTTTTAAACAGTTCAATTTTTTTTTAAAGATTTTATTTATTTATTTGAGAGAGAGAGAATGAGAGAGAGAGAGCACATGAGAGGGGGGAGGGTCAGAGGGAGAAGCAGACCCCCTGCTGAGCAAGGAGCCTGACATGGGACTCGATCCCGGGACTCCAGGATCATGACCTGAGTCGAAGGCAGTTGCTTAACCAACTGAGCCACTCAGGCACCCCCAAAGCAAGCTTTTTATTGTCCTCACCGACCACCAGGTCATACTCAGCACAGCTACCTGTGAAACGTAAGAGCAAAATTTCACCCCCAGGGAGATGGCAGTTGGACAAACAATAGTTACAAATATTGGCCGTTCAGGACAACCTTTCCTATTAGGAAACCCTAGAGTGGAACCTCCAAGCTCAGCGTCCCCTCTCTGGCACCTGGCATACTGTGTGGCACAGAATGAGCACATACATGTTTGTAGAATAACTGAAAATTAGCTCAGAGGATTCCCAAAATGACTGCCATCAACATGACACCCTACCAGACACTATGTACAATGAGTCACGGTTAGCTCCAAGAATTTCCTAAGATGGAGATTATCAACAAGGACCTACAGGTATTCAAATCTACAACAGAAATAACCTTTCTTCTACAGATCTCATATTAGTATAATTCACTTGTCTTCACAAAGACTACTCTGAGGAAAAGAGAGCAGAGGTATTATTTAACTTTCATGGATGGAGAAATTATACTTCTTAGTTAGTAACACATTCAGAATTTTCTAGGTGTATATATAGTCTTACCTCTCTACTCCTTCCTCAAATTCATCTAAAACATGTTAGAAGTGTATGTCTCTTTCAAAGTACATTATAATTTTTCTTGGAGAAATGGTCTGACAAAATTAAAAGTTGATATAGGAAGACTAACTTAAATTTTAGTAAAAATGAAAGTGATTCCTTTAGAGGAACAGAGACTAGGATAGCAAGTGATAGGAAATCATACCTAATCCTATCACCAAAAAAAATATGTGATCTATTTGTCTTTTCCTCAGCTTTGCATCACTTGCAAAAAGAGAACCCTCAGTGTAGCATGAATGCTTTAAATTTTGGATGACCATAAAATTGTGAACTAAATGATCAACTATTTGTTCATCCAATGGAGAATGGACTACGTGTAAGGCACTGTGTTAGGTACAAAGATGAACAGGGACAGCCCTTTCCCTCAGGGAGCCTACAGTCAGTGTTGCAAAGCCAAAACAAATCAATACTAATAAACAATTGAGGTAAAGATAGTACTGTGCAGGAGAGGACAAAAACCCCAAGACTTCAGGAAGGTTTCCTGGAATAAGTGACACCCAAGATGAGAATTAAAGGATACACTGAAATTAACAGGTGAAGGAGTTGGGGGTAGAGATGTTCCAGGGCAGAAGAGACAAACAGGTAGACACAAGAGGTAAGAAAAAGTGACCCATTTGCAAGTCAGGGAATTGTGCAGGGAACCACAGTTTACGCTTTGTTGGAGCATAAAGCTTAAGGCAGGGAATATTAACAGAGGACGCGGGAGAGGTAGGCAGTTTAGATCATGGATGTCCTTCTCTGGAAACGAGGGAATGACATAGCTAGCTAAATTCATGTGTTTGCTAGATCTCCACCCCAGTTCCTAGTGCTGCCAAACAAACCACCACAGCACTGCTTCCAGGCCCAGGCCTTAAGAAAATGGTAGCCTCCACTTCCTGTCTCTCTCTCGGGACGTTGCTCTCCATCCAACCGCCATTCTGTGAGGAAGAACGCACAGCCACATGAAGAAGCCATGTGTAGGTGTTCTCGCTGACAGCCCCAACTAACAGCTAGCATCAGACACCAGTTGTGTACGTGGACGAGTCTTCAAATGATTCCGACCTGCAGCCACAGGGTCACGGCCAGCCTTCGAGTGAGGCCAGCTGATGCCATATGCAGCAGAGACAAGCTGTCCTTACTCATCTCTGCCCCAACTATTATTTTAAGTGATGGAGTCTTGGAGTCATTGCTTATGTAGATAACGGAAACGATCGCTCTAGTATCTGGGTGGAGGACAAATCTGTGGGGGATCAGACCAGAGAAAGGCTCATGAGTTAGAAGTCGGCCGCAGGAGTGTTAGCAGGACATGATGGTGGTCCAAACCATAGCAATGGTGGCCAACATGCAGACGAGTGAAGAGGAGCATGTATCTAAGAGTTAAAATGGGTGGGACATGGTGACCGGTGGGACCGGGTGAAAAGGAGGGCAGTCAGTGAGGATTCCTGGAAGCTTGCACGGGGGACTGCACAGAGACAGTAGCAGCAAAGACACAGAATGTGAAGGAAAAGGAGAGAAGACAATGAGTGCAGTTCTTACTATGTCGAATTTAAGGAGCCCATGAAAGAAGTGAACTGGAGAGAAAAGATTTGGGAATCAATGACAGGTGGTAGATAAAGAGATGTCCTGGGACTGTGTGCAGAGTGCAAGGACCAAAAACCTTGGGGAATCTAAGCCTTTGTCCTGATGACACATCATAAAGTTGCCTTAACATTTTTCTTTACTTAACCTGTGCACAGACTCCGGTGAGTTCTCTAATGACTATTCTCTCCTTCTTTCTGAGTAATAAAAACCTTGAATTTAGTGCTGCTCCTTGCCACCCAGCTAAGACTACATTTGCTAGTCTCCCTTGTAGGCTGGCAAGGCCGTATGACCAAGTTTTGACCAGGGAGACATAAATGCAAGTGTTCTATGTAACTTCCAGCAAGTTTCTCAAAGACGGGAAGGCATGCCCTGCTTCAGCCCTTCCTCCATCATGATGCCTGGAACACTGATGTAATAGCTGCAGCTCTGGCAGCTCTCCAGGACGTGAAGAGGACACGCTAGGGGAAGAAGGATGGAGAGCAAGATAAAACCCATGCCTCCAATGACTGCAGGGGAGCCAGCATGTCTATCTCTCTATGTGAGAGACAAACATACTTCTATTTGGATTAAGTCACTATTAATTTCTGAGTGTGTGTTTATAAAACTCTGAAGTTAATCCTACTGATATAATAGGTAAGCCAGAGAAAGTGCTCTAGCCTTTTCAAAGACTGATTCCTATTAGATTACTGAATGATTTCAGCATGGCGCCCTTAGCCCTGCAGCTCTACACTCAAACTCCTTTATTAAATGCAGAGCCTAGAGGGATACTTTCAAGATAATTAAGAAATTAGGTTCCATTAGGAATACTGTCTTAGTTGACATTACTGTAGTCGGCAATTCTGAGTCAAACTGTAATTACAATGCCCATAAGTTTTAAGGTGTTAATCATAGCAACGTGAACCTAAAGAATTACAAGATATATTGTTTTGCTACATTTAAATCAATATAGAAATTAGTATCTTACCTTTACTAAATATGACTCTACATAACACGGAAGTTACCTGAGCTAAAAGAGCTGCCATTTCTAATGCCAGGTCCTTGTTCAGAGGAAAAAGTCCATTTATTATTTGATCATTTGTCTGATACATTAACAGCAACTTTTCTCTATCAGTCTCTCCACGAGCTTGCATTGAGAAATATAGTCTAAAAAAAGAGAAAATCTTTCATTAGATGGTATTCTTACAAAGGAAGAACGTAAAGAGGAATCCAGAGGACTAATAGGGGGTTATTCTAACGTAGTTCCCCAAGTGATACAAACTTAGACCATTATTATTTGTCAGTGATCTCTGTGTCTGTTTCATATAATATTTTCAGCAGAGGAAAAGCTGTTTTGAGGTTGAGGAATGCTTCTATGCTATTTTTTATGCCATAAAATACCAAATCCTTAAGTGCTACTGAGGAAGAACCTAAGGCACTGAGTGAAATTAAATATGCCCTCTCTTGGAAGGGATGCTGATGTAACCCTTCATTTCAATGGGCTGTATAAAAGCAATTCCCCAAACAGTCATGATCTTTTCTAAATACCTTAGACATACCAGGGAATAGAAAATGAAGGTTTCGATTCTAAATTAACATCAAATGGGTGGGGGTGGCAGTTTTCTCTGGGGGTCTAAAAGATCTTATTTATACATTTAAATGTTTTGACTCCTTTTTTTTTTTTTTTTGCCGTATCCGGATAAGCAGCTTTAGGAGTTCAAAAATAGTCTACATGTTGCTATTATTACTTGTTGAAATAGGAGATATCTTTTATTTGCCTAGGAGGCCTTCAGCAATTCAGTGACCTTCTTTATTTACTCATTTTGCCGCTTCACTATTCGGGAGAAATGGGGGCTCTGACTTCAGGCTCCAGACCAGGCACGGGGTGCTGTCAATGCTGTAGATGTTACGACAGTGGGGTGGGTAAGCAATACCTTGCCATACTTTAAAGATTTATTTACTGATTTGAGAGAGAGTTATTGGGGTGGGGAGCAGAGAGGGGAGAGAATCCTCAAGCAGACTCCCCCCCTGAGTGCAGAGCCCGACCCATTTTCTATTCTTTCTGGCATGCCCAAAAGATGGAACCTGGAAAGGGGAAATGAAGCTCTATAGGCAAAAAGGGAAAAACAATTCCGGACACGTATATAAGAAGACAACATGGAGAATCGCTGACTCAAACCCCTAATGAAAGAGTTTGGGCTCCAACAACTACACAGGGACTTGGACAGAATGTGGAGAGGAACCAGAGTCACAAAAATGATCAAGAGTCAGAAACTCAAATCCACGGTCTTGAAGAGACAAGGTGCCAGGGGAATGTGGTGTGTCTCCAATATGACCAGCTTCTAGGCACTCCCCAGTCCTAAAGAGACCTGCGGTAGAGGAAGTGGGCGTCTGTCATGCAGGCAGGGCCTGGGTCAGACAGCAGGGCTATTTGCAAATGTCCACCTCCTCACTTGACACCAGGAAGTGGAATGCTGTGGGATGGAAATGTCATCACAACGAGGACCAGTTCTGCTACCTGGACGTGGCAGGGCTCCCAGCGCTGCTGGGGGACCCTTGTTTGCCTCCGACTGACTCCATATTTCATTCCTAGGAGCATTTATTTCCTGCTGTTGTCTTTCTCCTCCTCTTGTTCACTTACTTCCCTTCCCTATTCCTTCCTCCAGTGTCTACTGATGACACTCCTGAACTGCAGTCGTGACCCCCTTGCCTGCTGCCTCTACGGCAACCACCTCAAGTCATCTGCTCAGAAGGCACCACTCTGCAAAGCCTTCTTCAATATTCCCACAACGTCTTGTACATACACATGTTATATTCATAGTGGGAGCCAATATGGATGGGCATTTACTGTGTGGCTGGCTCCAATTCGGATTTACATTTGCCAAACTTAGTCCTTCAGAAGCCCTAGAAGTAGACACTGTTGGGCGCCTGGGTGGCTCAGTTGGTTAAGCGACTGCCTTCAGCTCAGGTCATGATCCTGGAGTCCCGGGATCGAGTCCCACATCGGGCTCCCTGCTCAGCGGGGAGTCTGCTTCTCCCTCTGACCCTCCCCCCTCTCATGCTCTCTCTAGCTCATTCTCTCTCAAATAAATGAATAAAATCTTTAAAAAAAAAAAAAAAAAGAAGTAGACACTGTTTGCATTTCCATTTTATGTAGAAGGTATCTGAGGCACAGAGGTGGTAAGTGACTTGCTCAAGGCCACACAGTGAGGTGGACAGCCAGGATTATAACCCAGGCGGTGTTTCTCCAGAGCTCCTGTTCTTCACTACTCTGCTCTACTGTTCCCGTTACAGGATTAATTACATTGCTAAGATTTCGTGTCTTTCTTTCCCTGTAAACTGGAAGATTCTAAAGGGTAGGGGAGGTCTTTTCACCTTTGAATCCCCAGGGCTTCGATGAGGCCTGGCACTGATGCACACTGAACGGATGTTTACGGCATGAATGGGTAAATGAATGGTAGAATCACTAAACACAGGAATTATTTGCCAAAAAAGCCTGAAAAGTCCCCTTCTGTAGCCTTGGGTAAGTGACTTAACACACTAGAGCTTCAGTTTCCTCCTCTGTAAGATGGGGATAATAATAATACCCGTCTCACTGGGGTGTTGCTAGGATTATATCAGAAGATGTATGGAAGGAGCTCAGCACAGGGCCTGGTGTGTGGTAAGTGGTCAATAAATGTTGGCTATTATTATTACTGTTAGTATTGTTATTAGGGTTCTTCTGTAGTGGTCTTTGGAATCACAAGAGTCTCTTCATTCTGGACTTTTTTTTTTTTAAGAGTTTATTTATTTGACAGAGAGAGACACAGTGAGAGAGGGAACACAAGCAGGGGGAGTGGGAGAGGGAGAAGCAGGCTTCCCGGTGAGCAGGGAGCCCGATGTGGGGCTCGATCCTAGGACCCTGGGATCATGACCCAAGCTGAAGGCAGACGCTTAACTGGCTGAGCCACCCAGGCATCCCTGCCATGAGTCCAATCTACCTCTCTAGTTTTATCTCCTCCTCTGTAGATTACATGGCAACCAAGCTGGATCCTGGACACTCCATGAGCACGTCCCAGGCTTCTCCATCTCTGGGCCTTTAACGTCACTGCACTGATAAGAAGACTGCCCCTGTTTCCCCCACCTTTTGGCCTGTTGAAGTCCTACCCATTCTAAGGGTTGCCCAAATGTCCTTTCCTCCACAAGGCCTTTTCCACCTGTCACGTGGAAGTGGGTTCTTCTATGCATTCCCTAGACCTTACAAATTATCTCAAAGCTTTATCAAAAGTGCCTCATATTGAGGTTATTTATGTAGAAGTCTTTTTTTTTTTTTAAAGATTTTATTTATTTGACAGAGAAAGACACAGCGAGAGAGGGAACACAAGCAGGGGGAGTGGGAGAGGGAGAAGCAGGCCTCCCGCGGAGCAGGGAGCCCTATGTGGGACTCGATCCCAGGACCCTGGGATCACGACCTGAGCTGAAGGCAGAAGCCACCCAGGTGCCCCTGGATTTTTTTTTTTTTTAACAGTACCAATGACCTTTATTGTCTGTAACAGGAAGTGGAAGAGGGGACATGAGAACCCTGGCTCCAGGGGCAGGCTCCAAAGACCTACTCTGTCTTCGTCCCCCCAAAAGCCATTCTGGAAACTTTTTTAGTGTGAACACAGCTGGAAGAAATGGGATAACCTAGATGACCCGTCAAGATGCTTCTTGGCTTAGGAGCCAAAGGATACAGGTGTTAAAGATGGCAGAGATGGGAATGTCCATCTGTGCTCCAGAAAACTAAGAATCACAAAGGACTACTGAAAATAACCCTGTATTTCAGGGGGGGATAGGAAGAGTTGTCTTCTTCAGGGAAGGACCCTGGCCAGTTTTGTTTTGTTAAAAACATGTCGTGACTTCTGTGGTTTCAAACACACAGTATGAAACCAAATTGAATAAGCAGCTTAAACATAAACAGAATTTAAACTTTAGTTTCCAAATGGTTGCCTACGAAAACAAGTTCAAATGCTATTAATTAGACCTTTATCCTCTAAATCTAAATAATTAAAATTCCATTAACTTACTAACTATAAATACAAGTTCCACGATAGAGAGCTGGTGTGCAGTTTCGCTCATTACAGTGCTGCCTGACGTGAAGAACCAAGTCCTTGGCCACATGATAGGTCACGGCCAGTTCCCCTCCTCCCCGTGTCACTGGAAATTAGGGCTCATTGTCTAAGCTATTTATACATACATGCAAACCGCGACCGTATGTAGAAACGTAGTACTTTCTCAGAGTTGTGGCTATCCAGCCATTTCAAACTTCTGTTAAAAATTAAACCTTTTGGTTGAGTTGCTTTTTTTGTCAGAGATATTGTCATGGGGCTTTTTTTTTTTTCCTTTGACAAGGCAATCTTTATTAGGTGTTATTCACAACTCTCTTTATCCTTTCTAATGGCATTTGCTAGACTTGGAGTATTATTCTTATTTGTGTTTCAAGACTACCTTTCTCCATTTCATCCAGATTTGATTTGGGTTCCAATCATAGCCATCACAGACAGAATTAGCATGTGCTAAGCATTCGTAAGGTATGCATTATTAGGAATCATCTTAGACTTGGAAATAATTCCATTTAGTTCCAAGAAAACCAAATGAGAATTCCTGAACCTCTCTGCATAAAGACAGATGGCAGGTCAGGTCCAAGAGTTGGCTCTCTTCCACAAAAGGTAAGATTAAGAGACAGGGCAGCAATGGGGACCTCCAGATCAGTGCTTCTCAAAAGTTAGCACGTGTAAGAATTGCCTGGAGAATTGTTAAAACACAGACTCCTTATGCCCAGAGATTCTATTTGACTCAATAGGTCTGAAGTGGGCCTAATAATTTGCATTTCTTTTTTTTTTTAAGATTTATTTATTTATTTATTTATTTATTTATTTATTTATTTATTTTAGAGATAGAGAGAGAGAGGGAGAGAGAGGGAGAGCAGGGGGAGGAGCAGAGGGAGAGGGACAAGTAGACTCCAGGCTGAGCGCAGAGCCCCACACCAGGCTTGATCCCACGACTCTGAGATCACAACCTGAGCCAAAATCAAGAGTCAGACACTGAACCCACTGAACCACCCAGGTGCCTCTAATTTGCACTTTTTTTTCTTTTTAAAGATTTTTATTTATTTATTTGAGAGAGAGAAAGAGAGAGAGAGAGCATGAGAGGGGGGAGGGTCAGAGCTCGGAGAAGCAGACTCCCCGCTGAGCAGGGAGCCAATGCGGGACTCGATCCCGGGACTCCAGGATCATGACCTGAGCTGAAGGCAGTCGCTTAACCAACTGAGCCACCCAGGCGCCCCTCTAATTTGCACTTCTAATGTATTTCCACGGGATCCTGAAGCTGCAGGTCCACCGCCTGCACCTTACGAACCACCACTCCAGCAATCACAGAACTCAAAATCATCTGGAAGGTCCAAGTCTTCCATACTTGATGTTAGCCAAAAGGCCGAGCAAGTCTTCCAACCTGCTGTACTTGCCAGTCACCAAAGGACCACAGATAAAGGCTACCATCAGTGGCAAGAGGTTCCTTCAGGAGTAGAACCTACTAGATTTCCATTATCTAAGTAATCCTGCTTATCTCCAGGAAGCATGATTTTAAAATCTTAGATACCAAAGCTTAACAATCACCTTCCTGTTACTCACAACTCTTGCAAATCACCACAGTTCATGAACCCCTGAATAGAGAAGCTCCTTCCAATGGCTACGACCAATGGCTCATGACTGCCATTTATTCGGATCAAAGGAATCCGTTCAAACAGTGGGTGGCCTTCTGAGAGTAGGCGCCAATATGAATGCACCATATTTATTCAACCATTCCCCTATTAATAAACACGTGAAGTCCCTCCCAACACTTAGTTTTCACTGTTACAAAACATATGGCAAAGAAGATACTGGGATGTACTGGAATATTCTCATTCACGTATGTGGCTATTTCTGTGGGACAGATCATTAGGAAAAGAAATCCCTAACTGGATCAAAGGCTATCAAATTCTTTGTTATATAGTGTCTTTACTACTTCTTTTTTTTTTTTTTTTTAAGATTTTATTTATTTGACAAATAGAGACACAGCGAGAGAGGGAACACAAGCAGGGGGAGTGGGAGAGGGAGAAGCAGGCTTCCCGCGGAGCAGGGAGCCTGATGTGGGGCTCGATCCCAGGACCCTGGGATCACGACCTGAGCCGAAGGCAGACGTTTAACGGCTGAGTCACCCAGGCACCCCAGTAGTGTCTTTACTTCTTACACTCCAATTTTAGGCCTACGAACATCTTCCAAAAGTTGGCTTCTGAAAGAAGTAACCATTAAATCAGTAATTCCACCAGTAATTCTCTGGTCTGATATTTTAGATTTCTTATTTTATGGGGTAGAAGATCCACATAAAATCAGCAAAATACCTTTTTATTTTTTTGTACAGTTTATGTCACCTGGTCAGTGAACACTGTTTTTATTAAGTACTACCTTCTGCTAATACATGAGAAAATACATGAGAGCAGGAACACAAGCAGGGGGAGTGGAAGAGGGAGAAGCAGGCTTCCCGCCGAGCAGGGAGCCCGATGCGGGGCTTGATCCCAGGACCCTGGGATCATGACCTGAGCCGAAGGCAGACGCTTAAGGACTGAGCCACCCAGGCGCCCCATTATTTTATTATTTTTTTAAAGAATTTATTTATTTATTTATTTGGCAGGGAGAGAGAGAGAGCACAAGCAGGGGGAGCGGCAGGCAGAGGGAGAGGGAGAAGCACGCTCCCCACAGAGCAGGGACCCTGGGATCATGACCTGAACATAAAGGCAGACACTAAACCAACTATGCCACCCAGGCGCCCCAGATTTTGTTTTATTTAAGTAATCTCTATGCCCACCATGGGGCTCAAACTTAAGACCCCAAGATCAAGAGTCATATGCTCTTCCGACTGAGCCAGCCAGGTAGGTGCCCCCAGAAATATTTCTTCCTACTACAGATCTTCAGTAGAGTATTTGAGTATTTAATCTTTATGAAAAATGTAATGCTAAAGAAACTGTTGAAAGTGAAAAAAATTCACCCATGTAGCGACCACCTTAAGAAAGCAGCTATTCTTTCTTACAGTTTTTTCCTAATCTTTGTCCAAATGCATATTTTTATAAAATATACCCGTTCATGACTTAAAGAGACTAGAGTGAGAAACAAAATTTTATGTGACAGTTTCTCCCTAGAGAAGCAGAGTTTCCTTTTACTGAAAAACCAACACACAAATAGATGTTGTAACTAGCAAGGCTATTTAATGAGAAAGTGTTGGCGCATGATTTGAGCGTAACGGTACACCCATACTTTGACATTTGGATACAGCATTACACACCTGTTTTTATAAGTTAGACGAACAGTTCTCGTACCTTCCCATTTCCCAGGCTGCTGTTCTTTGGAGGCCTGCTCCCACTTAGAAATAATGTCACATATCTAGAAGGGAAGTGGAAAACAGAGATTTAGAGCAATTCTCAAATCAGCATTTTTTGAAGACAAGCATGTCTGCAGACTGAAAAATTTCCAATTAACATGATCAAACCAAACAGACTGAAGCCTTTTGTTTTAAGCTTCTGTGCACTCCTGGTTTTAGATTTAATTATAAATTGTTCTTTGGTCCACTTATCCTCTTGGACACCCATTAACTTTGGACTGTGGCCATGAATTTTTTACTGAAAAAGGAATCTTAATGAAAGACTGCATGAGACTGGAAACAAGAAGATTCCAGGAATTTTTTTCATAATTTAGTCATTGAAGAAGCAACTTTTCCACCTTCTGAGTTTATAAAGACTGGAATAACTGAAGTTATCTCAAAGAAACTTGAAATGTAATCTTAAGATTCTTTGATTGGAAAGAAAAAAAAATTCTTCAGGTATCAAATAAATGTTTGCTTGCTTTTTTTAACAGGTCGTCTAGAGAATTATAAATAAAAGTTTTCAAAAATATGTGGTAAGCAGTATACTCAGCTCAAGTCAACCAAAGAGACTAGCTTATCTTCTTGACTAATTATTAACAACAGTGCTCTAGGAATGTGTGTCTCAAAAATTTACATTTGAATGTGCTGAACGGGATAGGATATACCTTGAGCTGAGGAGAAAAAGACATTCCTTTATCTAGATTTCTCAGTATGCAGACACATATGCAGAGGGGCGGGGAGGCGGGTAGCACACCTACTAACCAACATTTCTAATGAACTAAGTATGAGTTTCAACAGTGTTCTGTGGAACCCCTTCTAGCCCCAATAGGCTGATCTGCAACTGAAGTTGGGCTTCGGTAGTTCGAGGAAAAGTACTGACATTTCCTGTCCTCTTAACCTGTGGGATCTATTACTTCTGATTCTATTTCTTCTCCTATTCTGCCTCAATTCTTTCATCTTCAAATCACAGAAATACCTTCACCCTGCAACAAGGCGCTTATTCCCAAGAGCAATCAAGGACCATATCAAGTAAGGAAAGGACCCAGACCCAGTTCTAGTTGTGCTATTGGGTGTAAATCGTTTTCTCCTCTTGGGCTACAGCTTCCTCATTTGCAAATAAGAGGGCTATTCCTGTAAGGTTCTATGGTTCTGTATTTTGTATTTCTGTTACCATTGCTAGATGGAAACTTTATTAAAGTCATTTTACTATGACCTAGAAAAGATTTTTTTAAAAATCTTCCAATTTTCCATCTTTGTTCATGATTTTCCTTATGTTTGCAATTCCCTCTTTATTTCCACAGGCCCATTTTCTACCCGTCCTTCAAAGTCCAGTTCAGCTCTTCCTGATTTTCCAGTGCTGAACTTAATCTCTGTGGAACATTCACAGGACTCTTAAATCATTTATCACTTTAAATTTTGGCTTAAGTTTATCAGCGTATAAGGCTGCTCTTCCCCAAGCAAATTATAAATTCACTGTGGACAGGGACTACTTCTGGTCCTTCTTTGCATTGCCCAGAAGGTCCAGCCCAGCTCCTACAACAGGTAAATATTGCCTAGTGAATGAACACGATAAAAAGCTATTTTATTAGGGTTTCCATACCTCCTCTCTTATTACCCTACTACTTAGGGTGGTATTGCTATTATTAAGCCTTTCCTGTCTTAACATGGAGCATGTGTGTGTGCAGATTGTGTTTAAGAATTCTACTTCAACAATTTTTTTTTTATTGTGCAGATTAGATGATTTAAAATTTTTGAAACCTCCTGAACTAAATTTTTTGCAAATAGCTTTTGCTATTTGTAGTAGCTTCTTTGCTGTTTGCCGGGTGTGCCTTCTTAAAAGGAGTTGGCTTCACCTTTATGTTTCCTTGAAGACAATGCTCTAAATCCCTGCCAGAAGGATCGTCCGTGAATAATGCAAAGCCAGACTGTGTTGGCTTCCTCATTCCTGTATCTTGGTTCAAAGTATTCAAAAATTCTTCCACTGTGGTAGATGCATCAAATCCAACTACCTAAGCAGAAATAACAAAGTTGTTCTCTTAATTAAAAACTATGTACATTTCAAACGTAAATTTCAAGAGGGATTTCAGGGGGGAGACAGGGCATATTTGATGCATGATTAATGATAACATATATTTATCTAGGTGCTTTAACTCCCCCCCAAACCAAATCTCCACTGGAGAAAATTAATGTCATCTTAATTGCTAGGTTGCTGTAAGAATTCAGAAATCTTGGCTTCAGCCAACAGACATGAATTCAAAATACAAAGATCATTTGACAGCCATAAACATCTTGCAGAGATATCATGCCCACCCATTAAAAGCAAACCGAGAACTACAGTACAATATGCAATCTTTAAGCTAATGGAAAAAAGTAAACAAGAAATGCACTTAAACAGTCATGGGGATGTAGAGTCGAGTATAGGGAATATAGTCAATAATCTTGTAATCACTTTGTATGGTGACAATTGTAACTAGACTTATCTTTGTGATCATTTCGTAATGTATATAAATGTAGGATCACCACGTTGTACACCTGAAAGTAGTGTAACGTTGTGTGCCAACACTTCAATTAAAAATGAATAAATAAAAATAAATACTGTTTGTTTCTTTAATATGCAGTTACATATCTGAACTCTGTGATAAAAAGCTATGGCGGCAAAGATTAGCTGCCGGCTTTGGAACATGTTTGCTTCCGTTAATAAGTGAACATCTGGGGACGCCTGGGTGGCTCAGTCGGTTAAGCAGCTGCCTCTGGCTCAGGTCATGATCTTGGGGTCCTGGGATCGAGCCCCATGTTGGGTTCCCTGCTCAGCGGGGAGCCTGCTACTCCCTCTCCATCTGCCCTTCCCTTCACTTGTGCTCTCTCTTGCTCTCTCTCTCTCTCTCTCTCTCAAATAAATAAATAAATAAAATCTATAAGAAAAAATAAGTGAACACCTAGGTCTGAGAGCTGGAAGGCCTGAGAGGAGTTTTCCCAGATAATTCTTGAGATTCGGAGACTTTGAAAAAACTAAGTCTATACACACCCACTGTCAGTATTTATTTTCTCACCTAGCAAGTGCACTGGTTGGGAAAAGCCTCGACCAAAGTGTTTTTGATTTTCTCTATCAGAATTTTAAGAGCAGTAAAACTCCTCCCTTATTTGGCTCAATTTGGATTTCAGTGTGAATCCTTAGCAAAAGTGTTTCAAAACTCAGCTGTTCTGATAGAAGATGTAATATATTTGCACATTTATGATCACTGCCAGCTGATGACAAAGGTAGGAAGATAGTCTCACTCCCCTATTCCACAGAAGCTACATGCAAGATTCAAGGTTAAGCAAGCATGCTTTCATCAGGGCAGAAAGTGTAACCCACCTGATATATCCCATTCATGAAGTGCACGGGGATACTGAAGGGCAAAGAATGATGGTAAGGGTTTCGAAGAAGGGTTGAAAGAATTTCCATTCTTGAGGGTCTTGCTTCTCGATCTCCATTTTGTTGTGTTCTTTCCACACATCGCTGACAGTAAATGGCATATTTTCCAAATTCTGTCCTATAATACACAACTTAAGATAAAGCCTAGGAATAAATTTGAGACAACCTAATACATTAGGTTGGTGTACATTACCATGTCTTACGCTAACTTTGACATTAATTCTTCTTTTTGAATGATGATATTAAACTGCTATAACTTTTCTCAAATTCTAGTTTCTTTACTTTTGCAACTGACTGAATCAAACTTCCCCATAAAGCAGTCTTCCTCTTTATTGTATTATTGTAGTCACAAAATGAATTTAAAGTTACCAGTCATTATATGATCAATAGACAGGAATTATATTAACAAATACAGAGGAAATAATTGTATGAAAATAGGATAGGCTAACTTAGGAAACATGATGTAGCAGAGTTCTCTTTGGAGGAACATGGAGGTTAGTGCTTGACTGCTAAACTTGGTAAGAAAATACCTTCGAACAACAAAAAAATACATGTATGTTCTTTCTTAACCCTATAAAACATGCACTTCTTAAAAAATCTTAAGCATTAAACAAAACCACTGGAGTAAATAAATGCAAAAACTGGATAGAGATCTTATTTGCCCTCATTTGTTATACATAATTTTTATAAAAGCAGACTGATAATACCTCCAAATATGTTTGTATTGTAAAGTGCCTTTTAGGCAGACTTTAAAATGAAACCCTTTAGGGGTGCGTGACTCTTGATCTCAGGGTTGTGAGTTTGAACCCCACGTTAGCTGTAGAGATTACTTAAAAATGAAATCTTTAAAATGCCTCCCTTTGGGGTGCCTGGATGGTGCAGATGGTTAAGCGTCCAACTTTTGGTTTTGGCTCAGGTCGTGATCTCAGGGTCATTGAGATTGAGCCCTGCGTTGGGCTCTGCACTCTGCAAGGAGTCTGCTTAAGACTCTCCCTCCCCCGGGGCACCTGGGTGGCTCAGTCAGTTAAGCGGCTGCCTTTAGCTCAGGTCATGGTCCCAGGGTCCTGGAATCGAGCCCCGCATCAGGCTCCCTGCTCGGCAGGAACCCTGCTTCTCCCTCTCCCACTCCCCCTGCTTGTGTTCCCTCTCTTGCTGTGTCTCTCTCTGTCAGATAAATAAATAAAATATTTAAAAAAAAAAGACTCTCCCTCTCCCTTTACCTCTTCCCTCTCTGCACATGCACACTCTCTTTCTTTCCCTCTCTCTCTAATAAATAAATCTTAAAATGCCACCCTTTGTCTAGGGGTTCTTCAGTGACTACAACTAAAAGCACGTGACCTTGGGGTACCTGGCTGGCTCTCTCAGGAGAGCATGGGACTCTTGATCTTGGGATCATGAGTTCAAGCCCCACACTGGGGTATAGAGATTACTTAAAAATATAAATAAATAAATAAATAAATAAATAAATAAATAAATAAATATAAATAAAATCACATGACTTTGATCACAGAGTCCCCCAAATATAATACAAATTGGGGAGTATTTTATTTCTAAGTTGTTTTCTGTTATCATTGTGTTTGTTCTGTTTGTTTTAGAGCCAGAGTCTATTTAAGTCGCATAACATGAGCCTGTTGCGCAGAATGATCCTGATAACTCCTGGCTGGGTGCCCTGGGTCCCACTGTAAGAAAGCCATACCGACAGGGGGTTTTTAAATGTCTTTTTGAAGGGGGTAAAAATTCTGAAGCAATTCAAATACACACAGGTATAAAAGGAGGGAAGACCCTCGGGGAAGTTTTCCCACATAAAAGAGTTCAACGTAGAAAAATAGCAACAGGGAAAACGAAGGAAACAAAACAGTTGCTTTTAGGGAATGAGCACCCACTCTTGCTAAGTCATCCAGCCCTGAAATGTACAAAGACTTTTCACTTAAAAATATTCTTTTTCAGGTGCTTGAGTGGCTCAGTTGGTTAAATGACTGCCTTCAGCTCAGGTCATGATCCTGGAGTCCTGGGATCGAGTCCCGCATCGGGCTCCCTGCTCAGCAGGGAGTCTGCTTCTCCCTCTGACCCTCCCCCCTCTCATGCTCTCTCTGTCTCTATCTCATTCTCTCTCTCAAATAAATAAATAAAATCTTTAAAAAAAAATATTCTCTGTCAATTTTTCAAGCCTTTATTGCAGCCTTCTGTAAGAGATTTAGCACAACAAAGGAAATATTTTCCAAGCCTCACACAAAGGAGAACCAAGGGCTCCTGTACCAACAGTCGTTTCACACATTCCTCCGCAAATGTACCTGGCAGGTTACTAAATACTTATGACTTATTGTCGACTTTCAGAGCCACGAAAACCGTTCAGCTGGCTAGTTGTCTGCACACCTGGAATCTGCATTCCTCTTTAGGTGGAGCCTGAGGAGCCACAGGAAAGGATGGTGGGGAAGGAAGAGCCCAACACAGAGAGCCAAGAGCTGCCAGCCCTGGGCAAAGAGAAGCACCCAGGTTAGACACCATCTGGCAGGCAGAGACCCGAGCGAGAGCCAGTGTAACTGGCAGGGGCTGTGAGGAAACGGATGATGATGGTCCTTCTCAGCCCCCACGCGTTTTTGCTTCTTCCACATAAACATTATCTGCTTGGAGTATTTATAATACAAACATCCCATGTTCCATAATCCACCGAATTGTATACCCTATTGTCTACAACTGAGGTACCCAAGGTCATGTAGATATGGTAGTTCTTTTGACATCACTCTCAAAGAGTAGGGGGCATTGTTTTTGTCCACTTATGTATTTACTCATTTGCTGAAATAGAAGTAATGGCTTTGAGGAAAGGCAGACTGAAAACAGTAAAAAATCATATATCCCAAACCAAAACCAATCTACCCACACATACACACATATATATATATATATCTAAGTAAGGGGCAAGTATAATAATATTAGCAGAGGTTATCTCTATGTAATGGGATTACATGTGATTTTTGTTTTTCCTTTGCTCTGTTCTGTATCTTCTTTTCTATTTTTTTTCTTATTAAGCAAGAATAACTTCAATCATTTTGTAAATGTTATATGAAAAAGAAGGAGGGGGAAAAAGGTACTGTCTCTGCTCTTGAGTTACCTATAGTCTAGGAGAGTTATATATTTTAACGGTAATTTACAATATAACATGGTTAATACCATGTCATAATCTTTTTTTTTTTTTAAGTACAACCAACGGAGGGAATAATTAACTGCTGTGGGAGTCAGGGAAGTATTCACAGGAGAGATGTTGCCTGGGTCAACTGTAAAGTCTACAGGTAGGAAGAGAGAAGGGGACCCAGGTAACAGGAAGAGCAGCAGGTGCAAGGTGAAGGATAATGTGAAGACATGGTGTGCCTGAAGAATGGGGTGTGTTTACTCTTTCAGTGTATGCTGGATGCAGGATGCAGGATGCATAAAATTAAGTGGAGAAAGAGGAGGCTTCGGGAGCTAGATTATGAAGGGCCCTCAATACAAATGAAGCTTAAGCTTCCAACATCACTCATGCATGGGCCCTCCAAGGCCTGGGAACAGCCGTATCTACTGTGTTTATATGATCCTGTGTTCTTTTAAAATGTGTGAAAGTAACATACTTAAAAAAAAAACACACATTATTAGTATAAGCTTAAATTGTATAAGCTCCAACTCCCATGAAACCTGAATCCCCTGAGAGTACTATTTGCTAGGGTAAGAACTTTCTAGTTTCATCCTGCAGTTAATAGGGAGTTAATAAGCAAAGATTAAAACAAGCATTCATTGAAGAGTAAACATCAGTGACCAAAAGCTACCTGAAAATAAACTCAGCTACACTAATAGTTAAAGAAAGGCATCCTAAATCACTAGTGAAATACCACTCTTTACCTGGAGAGAATTTAAAAGCAGAATGACACTGAACATTGTTGAAAATATGTGGAAATTCTAGAAATGGATTCAAAGAAATTCGCTGGACTTGTACTCAGAGTTTAGGTTTTGGAGATGTCTACGGTAGTGGTACTTATTATAAGAAAAATGATTGGAAGAACCTAAATGTGTAGTGACTGATATTAATGCACCGTTAATGTTTTTGAAGAACGCTGAAGGATACAGGGGAAATGTTATGTTCTACAGTTTTAAAAAAGTAGTATGCACACTGCAGCTTTAGTGATGTGGAAACAGTGAGTGTGCATAAATACACACACATACACACTTATACAGAAACATAAATTATAAATAAACTAAAAGAATACACATCAAAATATTCATAGCTATTTTTTCTTTTCATACTTTTTGCATTTTTCAAATGTCTATATTGAGTATGTATCATGCTCACGGTGAGGAAAACAACATCATTTTAAATTGCACATATAGGTATCAATATATACCTGCAGCGGTCCTGGTTGATTCTGTGGCTGTCTCCGTCTTGTCTGTTTAATGAGCTGACAGCAAATTTCATTCTGGAGCTCAGGATGTGTCAGACAGATTTGCAAAGCACTCTGGGCTAGAGATATATGATAATCAATCGCAGGGGAGTCAACTGCTGCATTTATAAAAAGCTGGCATGTCTGAATTAAAAAAGAAAAGATATATTCAAAGTGAGAAATGATTAGATTTATTCTGCACGAATTATATTGATTCTCTTCATAGCAGTAGTTTTTGTTTAAAAGGATGGAAAAAGATATATTATGATAACACTAACCAAAGATATCTGGAGTGGCTACATTAAAATCAGACTAAGTAGATTTCAGAGCAAGGAATTCTGCGAGAGATAAAGAGGGTCATTTTATAATGACAGTGGGTTCAGTTCTGCTAGAGGACATAACAATCCCAAATGTTTATGTACTTAATAACACAGCTTCCAAATATATGGAGCAAAACCTGATAGGATTGCAAGGAGAAACAGACAAATCCTCAATTATAGTTGGAGATTTCAATATCCCTTTCATAATAATTGAGAGAACAAGTAGACAGAAAATCATTAAGGATTTAGAAAACTTCAACAACACTATTAACCAACTTGACCTAATTGACATTTATAGAACACTCCACCCAAGAGTGGAATATGCGTTCATTTAAAAAGTATACAGAACATTAATGATCTGTCATCCACCAGACTATAAACTTCATATGAACAGTGACTCTGTCTTATTTATCTTTGTATTCTCTACACAGCATAGAGTGACACAGTAAATGTTTAATGAATTAATGCATTTAAAATCTGATTAAATGTAATATATATTAAGAAAGGTTAAAGGGAAGTGTTCATAAACACAAATGGTTGGCTTTAACTACCACGTTGTTATATATAGTGGGTAGTCTTTACCTCTTCTGAGAACAGAATATAATCAAATAAATTGACTCTCTAAAGCACTGTGCCCAAGCATTACATGAAATGCTCCATGAAAAAAAGATTTCTACCATTAAATTTCATCACGGTAAGGAAGTACCTATCATTATTTTATGAATGGTGAATTTGTCAAATGCCTTTTCAGCATCCATGGAGATGACTGTCTATGATAATAAATCATAGTAATAGACACCCTAATATTTAGCCATCCTTGGTTTCCTGGAATAATTCTTTTAGTCATCATTTGGTATTCTTTTAAAGCGATGCTGGTTTCTGTTTACTAAGATTTTACTAGTTTTTGCATGAAATGCTGTTTTGTACAATCTTTTCTGGGGTTTGGTATCAAAGTAATATTTCACAAAAAGAATCAGGTGATATGATGACTGAGAATTGCTTCAGAGTAATCCAATGTTGGGGAGCAATGGGAGTGGGGAGATGAAAACAAAACCAGCCATGTGCTAACAACTGTGAAGCTTGGTGACAAGTGCTTTGGACCTCATAATATTTTCTCAACTGTTACATAGGTTTGAAATTTTCCAAATTAAAAAGTAAAAGTAAAAAACAGAATTGAGGAAATGTCCTTCTTTTTCCATGCTTGGGACATTTAAAGAGGATTAAAATGATCTATTCTTATAAAGTTTGGCAAATTCCCCTATTTAAATTTCATTCTCCATTCAATTTGGGCCATTTATACTTTTTTTTTTTAAAGATTTTATTTATTTATTTGAGAGAGAGAGAATGAGAGAGAGCAAGCACATGAGAGGGGGGAGGGTCAGAGGGAGAAGCAGACTCCCCACCGAGCAGGGAGCCCGATGTGGGACTTGATCCCGGGACTCCAGGATCATGACCTGAGCCGAAGGCAGTCGCTTAACCAACTGAGCCACCCAGGCGCCCTGGGCCATTTATACTTTATTATAATGTTCATTATTTCATTCAGATTTTCCAACATAGTTGTATGGAGTCTTTCTTGCTTGGGGTATTTGTATGTTCTACAGGAGGATTTTTTATTTTTTTAAAATTTTTATTTATTTATTTTTTAAGATTTTATTTATTTATTTGATATAGAGAGAGAAAGGAGAGAGAGAAGCAGGCAGAGGCAGAGGGAGAAGCAGGCTCCCTGCTGAGCAGAGAGCCCGACATGGGACCCTGGGATCATTACCTGAGCCGAAGGCAGACGCTTAACTGACTGAGCAACCCAGGTGCCCCCATTATGGTAATTTTAAAACATGAGCAAAAATAGAGAACGGTGTAAGGATCACACATATACCCATTACCCAGTGTTAACAATCATCAGCATTTTGTCAAACTTGTTTCATTCAAACCCCCTTCCACTTTTTTCTGGAATATTTTAATGTACGTCATGTTATTTTATCAATAAATAGTTCAGAATGGATCTCCAATTGATAAAGGTTTTAGTCCATAACCACTATATCATATACCTCCAAATTAATAATAATTTATGTTATCTAATAAACAGATGATTTTTTGGGGATGGGAGGAATGTAGGCAAGAAGAAGCCAAAAGAAAGACAAAAATTGAGACTCTAAGAAACTAGGGCAAAATGAAACACCAAGGTCCTGGTGTGGAGTGGAGACCTGAATCCACAGAAGGTACACAAGATTCTGAGACTGGAGGAAAGGAAGAGAAAGAAAATAAATGAGAGAATGTCTGTCAGAGAGAGAGATTTGAGGTGCTCATGTCTGATGCTCTCTAATTTTCTCAGTGAAACAGAAGGTAAGTTTGTTGTGAAGAACATTATTGAATAGGGAGTTTGGGGGTGGGGTGTGACCAAAGACAAGCAAAAGAAGAGGCAGTCAGCCCTAAGGAATGAAGACCACGCATTTATACTGGCTCCAGTCTACACATGGTTGCATGATGTTCTCTAGCTGTGTGCATTTGATCAATGTGGAAGTGGACAAGACTGATCTATGTTGGGGTTTGGCTGAAGAATGCATGGAATTATGGGTCCCAAGGAACTGACTATTAATGAAAGCCATCTAGGCTGGATAAAGAAGGAAGAAAAGCCAAGAAACAGTTATTACCATGCTCTCTCTTTTTTTTTTTTTTTAAAGATTTTATTTATTTGAGAGAGAGAGAATGAGAGAGCGCACATGAGATGGGGGAGGGTCAGAGGGAGAAGCAGACTCCCTGCCGAGCAGGGAACCTGATGTGGGACTCGATCCAGGGACTCCAGGATCATGACCTGAGCTGAAGGCAGTGGCTTAACCAACTGAGCCACCCAGGCGCCCTACCATGCTCTCTCTTGATCTCAAAGAAAATAAATGACTCAAAACAAGGGTCTTAGGATGAAAAATGGAAGAATAAGAAAATAAGAGAACTCATAGGCTAAGAGATTATGGTTATAGAAAGAGATATTAGAATTGAAGCTTGTAGAGGTGGTATACTTATAAGGAATGGTGGGGTCAGGATACGGACATGGAAAATGGGAAGGTGAAGCTGACTACAGGTGAAGCTTACAGGCATTAAGGTCAGGAATCTTAAGAACATGGCACTGGTGAGTGAAGTGAAAATAAAGTCATTCAACATAATGGCAAAATTTGAGGTTGAGGGCGCTTGGGTGGCTCAGTCAGTGAGGCGTCTGCCTTCTGCTCAGATCATGATCCCAGCGTCCTGGGATTGAGTCCTGTGTCAGGTTCCCTGCTCAGCAGGGGAGCCTGCTTCTCCCTCTCCCTCTGCCTGCCGTTCCCCCTGCTTGTGCTCCCTCTCTCTCTCTCTGTTAAATAAATAAAAATCTTAAAAAAAATTTGAGGTTGAAAGAATGTGAATTGGGAGCCAAAATCCTTAATGAAATTTGAAGAGTTACCAGAAAGTGACTGATGACAGAGATGAGGGGAAAAAGAGTGATATAGTTGAATGGCAAATGGCAAAACTTTCAAGTGGTCAGGGATTTCTAACAGAAGTTGAGTAAGAAGGATTAAAGAATAGCACTGGAGAAGAAGGGTGTTGACCCCTCTCTTCCAATACTGAGGGAGATGTGATGTGAGAAATCTCTCCTTTTGAGAGGCTGAAGGGAAAATGATTCTTCTCATATTAAGTGTTTTACACTGCCCAAACCATTCATAGTTTATTTAAGTAAATCCCAAATCCTCACTCAGAAAGCATATTAAATTCACCTAATTTTATCTCAGTAGATTTTCTTAATAATAAAAATGATGATGATGATCACATTTTGAATTTTTTCGGAGAGAGCGAAACTTTACAACCTAAATTATTTACTTTTATTTTTTCCAATTAAAATTTTAACAATGTATAAGCCCATATAAAGTTTTACCTTAAATAATTTAATAGCTTCTGTCTGTAGAGCTTCAGAAGGTAGTGTTGTCAATGGGGAAATGATTCCTTCTTTGCTGTGACACAAAGTAGGGTGTCTCCATATCTGAGAAGCTAATACATAATAAAAATGTGAACAGAAAACAGAAGAATCACTTATTTTGCCCTCCCATTAATTAGTCCTTTAGAAATTAGCTCATTCAGGCCTAGCTCACAACCTTAAGTCATATAGGTCACGAAAAACCTTTGGCAACATTATCTTATTTGTTTCCAGGCCATTGGGATTCTCATGTTTCTGTTTTGAATAAACTAAGTCTAGGAAAGTTTGGTCCTAATATTCTAGGCTAAAACAAGTCTACCAGAGCACTATCACATTGCTGAAATGTGCTAAAGATTGGTGATCCAGGTAGGAGATACCTCTGAGAAGGAGCTGGTGAGAGACAGAGGAAGAGAATCCAAAGTAGAGGGAGATAAAAGATAAAGAGAAACTTGAAGTCTTTCCTAAAAATCAGTATTTTTAAAATTCCTATGCTAGATACTACAAATATGATCTCTGTATTATGTAAAGCATAGCACAGAATCTATACTCTCAATAGGGACACCTGAGCCATAAAAAAATAATTTCAATGCAAAGCAACAAATGCTATAAAAGAGTTAAATGCAAAGTGCCTTGAGACATACTTTTAACATTTATTAAGTATCTTCTATGAGCCAGATGCTAATGTGGAGTAGGCTTGCTGATGGGGGGAGCTCCTAAGGTAGGTAGGATTTTATCAGGTTAGTTAGAAATGTGAAGGAAGGGGGGACTTTCAGGCAGAAGGAGTAATGTGAGCAAAGGTAGAACGGTTACAGGACATGGCAATCAGGGACTGATGGTGTCCCTGGAGTCTAAGAACCACAGTAAGAGACTTGGCCTATGACAAACAAAGCCAATGAAAAGATGGGTACATTGCAGGGAAACAGGAACTCACAAAGTAAAAATCAATTAGGCTAAGGGGGTTGGGTCCATTTCATATAGCCTTATATGTTGTGAACTTACAAGGTTCTCCTTCAATATTTAGCAGTTTGCAAACGAGTTGTTCAAATTCTGATCCAACATTTACATTGTTACTTCCTGCTGCAACAGTCAGATGATAAAGCCAAGTGTCCTTAAAGTCAAAACACATTAACAGAGATGTTAACCAAGATATAATTTTTGATGACTTAAAGAAAAAACAACTTGTATAAACAGTAGAAAACTCTGACACTGAAAAAATTCTTTAATTTTTAAATAATAACCAAAAGCCACCTAGTCAAACAGTTCTGAAGCAGGTTCACTTGAATTATGCTCATAGTGCCTTTTCCCATTGTTCACATTTTTATTGTTTTCTATAGATGTTTCTTAGAAAACCATGATAAAATTAAGGAAGTTAATATGATGTTGAAAGACTAGAATAAATATAACCAGTTCATATTCTTTTAAGAAACATAATAAAATCTATCAAATTTAAAATCTGACTCCCAATACATATGAATAACACATACAAAATACTTGGGAAATCCAGAAAATATAAAGAAGAAAATAATACCCAGAAAGAACTTACCTCAACACAAGAAAGGCCATATAAGAAAAGCCCACAGCTAATATCATACTCAATGATAAAAAACTGAAAGCTTTTCCTTCAAGCTCTGGAACAAAGCAAGGATGCACATTCTTGCTACTTCTATTCAATATAGCACTGGAAGTCCTAGCCAGAGCAATAGGGTAAGAAAAAGAAATAAAAGGCATCCAAATTGGGAAGGAAGAAGTAAAATTACCTCTTTGCAGATGACATGATCTTATACATAGAAAACCCTAAAGATTCCACAAAAACATTGTTAGAATAAATGAATTCAGCAAAGTTGCAGGATGCAAAATCAACATACATAAGTTAGTTGCATTTCTATATATTAACAATGAATTATCCAAAAGGGAAATGAAGAAAATAATCCATTTACGAGGGAATCAAAAAGAACAGAATACTTAGGAATAAACCTAATAAACCAGGTGAAAGACTTATATACCAAAAACTATAAAATACTGATGAAATAAATTAAAGCAGATACAAATAAATGGAAAGACATTTAGTATTCATGGGTTGGTATAATTAATGTTATTAACTACCTAAAACACCCCCAGATTCAGTGCAATTCCTATCAAAATCCCAATGGAATTTTTAACAGAAATAGAAAAACCAATCCTAAGGAACCACAGAAGACCCCGAATAGCCAAAGCAATCTTGAGCAAGAACAAAGCTGGAGGCATCACACTTCCTGATTCGAAATATATTACAAACCTACAATAATCAAAACAGCTTGGTATGGCATGAAAACACACATATAGGCCAATGGAATAGAACAGAGAGCCTGGAAAGAAACCCATGCGTATATGGTCAACTTATCTGTGGCAAGACTGCCAAGAATACATAATGGGGAAAGGATAGTCTTCTCGATAAATGGTTTTGGAAAAACTGGATACCCACATGCAAAAGAATGAAATTGGACCCTTATCTTACACACACATAAAAATCAACTCAAAAATGGAATAAAGACTTAAACATAAGACCCGAAACCACAAAAGTCCTAGAAGAAAACATAGGGACAAAACTTCTGGGCACTGACCTTGGTGATGATTGCTTAGATATGATACCAAAAGCACAGGCAACAAAAGTAAAAATAGACAAGTGCGATTATACTAAACAACAAAGCTTCTGCACAGCAAAGGAAACAATCAACAAAATGAAAAGGCAACGTATGAAATGGGAGAAAATATTGCAAACCATTTATCTAATAAAGGGTTCATATCCAAAATACATAAGGAACTCCTACAACTCAATAGTAAAAAAACAAATAACCCAATTAAAAAAATGAGCAAAGGAAAAAGAAATGGGCAAAGGAACTGAATAGACATTTCTCTAAAGAAGACATGCAAATGGCCAACAGACACATGAAAAGGTGTTCAACATCACTAATCATCAAGGAAATACCAATCAAAACCATAATAAGATATCACCTCACACTCACTAGAATGGCTTTTATCAGGGGTACCTGGCTCAGTTGGTTAAGCATCTGCCTTTGGCTCAGGTCATGATCCCAGTGCCTGCCCCCCAAATCGGGCTCCCTGATCAGCGGGGAGGAGTCTGCTTCTCCCTCTGTCCCTCCCCTGGCTCATGCTCACCCTCTCTCTCTCTCTCTCAAATAAATAAATAAAATCTTAAAAAAAAAAAGAATGGCTTTTATTTAAAAAAAATGGTAACAAATGCCGGCAAGGATGTGGAGAAAAGGGAACACTTATCCACTGCTAGATGGAATGCAAACTGGTGCTGCGGCTATGGAAAACATTATGGAGGCTCCTCAAAAAAACTAAAAATAGAACTACCCTATGATCCAGCAATTGTACTTCTGGGTACATATCCAAACAAATTGAAACCAGGATCACAAAGAGATATATGCACTCACATGTTTATTTGCAGCATTATTCACAATAGCCAAGACATGGAAGCAGCCTAAATGTCCACTGACAGATGAATGGCTAAAGTAAATGTGGTATATACATACAATGCAATACTATGCCTTAAAAAAGAAGGAATAATTTATAAAAGTTGTTTATATGTTAATGATATAGTAGCCATCCATGAAATATTTTATTTTTTGTATTATCCTTTTGGTTCTGTTTGTGATTTTATTTGATACAGACAAGTATTTCAATTTTTTTAATTTTTTTTTTTTTCATTTGAGAGAGAGAGAGCACGAGCAGGGTGGAGGGTCAGAGAGAGAGGGAGAAGCAGGCTCTCTGCTGAGCAGGGAGCCCGATGTGGGGTTCGATCCCAGGACCCCAGGATCCTGACCTGAGCCAAAGGCAGATATTTAACCAACTGAGCCACCCAGGCACCCCTCAATTTTTTGTAGTCAAATATATCACCCATTTCTTTTTTTTTAAAGAGTTATTTATTTATTTGACAGACAGAGATAGTGAGAGAGGGAACACAAGCAGGGGGAGCGGGAGAGGGAGAAGCAGGCTTCCCGCTGAGCAGGGAGCCCGACGCGGGGCTCGATCCCAGGACCCTGGAATCATGACCCAAGCTGAAGACAGACGCTTAACCGACTGAGCCACCCAGGCACCCTAACACCCATTTCTATTGTGATTTCTTACATTGCTTTTTCTTTTTAGAAAGTGCCTTCTATTCAGAGATCAGATAAAGGCTCTTTGAAAAAATAATTTCATTTAACTCTTTACATTCATTTAGAACTATGTTGCTATATGTATGAGATGAAAAACTAATGTTTTAATGTTCCTAAATAGCCAATTTCCTCAATATATACTGAGCATACCATACTACGTATTGAATAATCCATTACCTCCCCCTTGATCTGTGATGCCTCTTTTATCACAAATTAACTTTTATATATTTATTTTATATTATATTAACTTTTATATTGTTTACTTATTACACATACATATAATACATATAATAATTCATTTTCAATTGTATCTAAACCAAAATTTTGTTGAAAATGAGTCAAAAATATAAGGGGGAGGCCTTAGAGTCACCCAAAAATACTCAGTCTAAGAGATCCACATTTTGAACATAAGGTCCCTTTGTCTTCTGCCTTCATGTACTAATTTCAGCCTTGAGGTCACTTTTAACGAGAGGATAGAAAAATGACACATGCAAACAAGGCTAGCTTCCAGGGACATGAAGAATCTCTGAAAATAGAGCTGAAGGTCTTTAATAAAGTTCTTTTTGTGTCCATAAAATTGATTTGATAATTATTACCAGTACTTAATGACATCAGTGTACACCATTCAAATTCAACCAGTAAGTCCCTAGGTACCTTTTCATGCTTGGATCCAATCAGGAGGTAAGTTGGACCTTGGTCTTTCGGGTGGATCACGATGGTGTAATGTGTGGATAACAGACTTCTCCCACTGGCTTCATAATCTTCATCTGAATCACAGGATCTATCAACTTCTTCAACTTTAGCCTCCCAGAGTTTGATCTGACCTAAAGGAAACTAAAGTAAATGTTAGTGATTGTGAGGAAGGCACTTTCTAGGTCTTTTCCTACTAAAACTTTTCATAGTCCCTTTCATTCTTACCTTTATAAAGCATATCTTTTTTTAAATGAATGCCTAAAGTCAGTTGGGTTATCTACATTGTTACAAAGTAGTAGCCACAACTAAAATGCCCAACTGTAATATAAAAGAACAGTTTGAACACTAGACAAGAAGCTACTTCTGTGCAGTGGTTCAGATTATTCATTACACTAAAATGATCCATTACCTAGTCAAGCAATTACATAATTCAGTCAAAGTATTCATTTGACTTCCTCCTCCCTCCCCCCCACCCTCAGAATTTATTTGATTAAGGTACTGGATCAAAAGGACAGTGTAGACAAAGTCTCAATACTATTCATATAAAAAGTGACAAGGTTAGGCAGCTGATACAAAGAAGTGTGATTAACTATCACCCTAAACCCCAGTGAGAAGTGTTTTGAGGGTATTTATTAACACATATATCACAAAACACTGCTGTGATTTCTTCCATCTTATGTAAGGAGTAAAAAAACTTCCTAAAACTGATTTACATTGAATTTTACCTACTTTTATTGACAAAAGCAATCCAATCTGTTGTGTTGAACATTTAGCATATTTGTTTTAAAACTTTTGCTTTAATTAAGTACATTTATTCCAGGAAAATACATGGTCTGCTTCAAATTAACAGCTTCTAAAATATTTTATCAGGTTTGCATTTGCAGTCTGAAAATGTTTGTTCTAACCTGAAGGATATTTACCATCATCCATTTTCATGCTCAGGCCCAGGGCTCAATGCTTGGATTTTTTTTTCCCATCTACACTCAGTCTCTGGGTGATCTCATCCAAGCTGATGGCTTTAATACTGGCATAATTAGCTACTCTCATATTTGTACCTCTGGACTCACTATCCCTACTTAGCTGTCTTAATAGCATCTCAAACAACCTGCTCTGCCCAGTCTTCTCTATCCCTCAGTTGTTGGCAACTTTCTCTGTTTAGTCCCAAACCTTGGCATCAGTACTAACCTTCTCACTATTCCTCAAACACACCATGCACACTCCTGCCTCAGAGCCTTTGCACTTGCTGTTCCTTCTGCCTGGCATGCTATTGCCTGAAATATCCACATGGCTGCTCTTTTACTTCCTTTAGAACCTAATTAAAATGTCACCTTCTCAGTGAAGTCTTACCTGGATATCTTATCTAAGCTGAATTATTATCTGCCTAATAGCTGATTAATACTACAAAATTAATTCATTTAACCAAATGTATTGTCTTGCATGGGAAACATGACTTTTCTCCATTAAATTAATAACTATTTTCTCAGTGGTCACTATGAGCAAAGCACTCTTCTGGGCACTGAAAGAAGAAAATTTACTTCTGAAGGAAAAAACCCACAAAATTACTTACCTACATGCTTTCAAAAAAAGAAAGGCAGGAAAACAAAAACCAAATAAATAAATAAAGAATAATATTTTTTACTTATTAAATAAATAAAATTTTATTTATGAATATTTTTATTATATATTTATAATAATAAATAGATAGCAAGCTTTTAAAAATGGGATAAAGAAAATTAATTCTACTGTGATAATATATGACAATACTATCTTAATTATGTTTAGGCATATCCAATCATATGAAAATCAAGAGTCCATCCAACCATCCAACCCAACATTTAAAGATGATATTCATTTTACCAAAGGATTCATCAAATCACTATTCCAAAAAAATTGTAAATAGACCTAGTGTTTTTACATATTTTGACTGAATAAAAAAAGATATCGATCCAGATTAAAAACACATTTGTTTCTGAAAGAGCTATCGCATGCAATGAAGTAGGTCTATAGAGATTCACATGCATTCTCAATAGTTTCCCAGTGATTATAATGGATTTCTACTCATTCATCTACATTCTTCTGACTTGTTTCTTCTGTGACCAATGTTATCCATTTTTATTACATTATTATTATTAGTGAGAATATTTAAGTTCTACTCTTTTAGCAAATTTTAAATAATGTCCTCTTTATAAAACACATTATAGGAAGTATAGAAAGGTATAAGAGAAGGAAAAAAAATCATTCGTAAATTCTACCATCACAGATAATTATTCAACATTTTGGAATAGTTCTTTTTTTTTTTTAAGATTTTATTTTTAAGTAATCTCTACACCCAACACGGGGCCTGAACTTACAACCCCAAGATCAAGAGTCACACGTTCCACTAACCAAGCCAGCCAGGCACCCCTTTTTTCATATAGTTCTTTCTGATCTTTTTGCTATGCATATTTTTACGTAGATGTGCCAGCCTGAGAACTAAAAATTCGCCATCCCAACTATTCACTTCTAAAATCTCGCAGTAATTGCAGAAGAGAACTTGGGAACTCTGTCTGTCAGAATCCCCTTCTCTCCAGGGTTCTCAGTTAGGGCCTGCCTCTGAGAGAACCTACATGAGGTGCGGAAAGTAAGGGAGAAGAAGTCGTGACTCTCTCGAAACACTTGCAGTCTGGTGCGTGGGCTGATGGGAGCGTCACAGAGCTTTCTCCCAAGCTGTGGAGGACCAGCTGCCACTGCGCTTTGGGCTCAGATCTCCAGCGGCAGCTTCCCTGGCCTCTGTTCCCCCAACCTTTCTAAACGTTACAGACCTTTTCTAAAAGTGATGGATGTCCCTAACTCTATATTAGAACTGTCAGACCTGGAATACAGAGTGCCTTCTGTTTTCCTGACTTAAAATTAGTCGGGATTATACTGAATGTTCAATTTTGTATTGTGCTTATCCGTGTTGCCTCTTTATGTTAGCATCTTCCCACATGACTTCAGAGGTGTCATTTTTCGTGGGTTAATTTCCACCCCGTGAGCAATACTGAGAATAATGGCATGCATCTTAAATACATACTGGTCAGAACTAGAGTGCCATCTGAAAATGGAACAGAGAAATAATAACTGACCTACATGGTCACTGGAGCAAGAAGTCTGGTCTCATTAACACAGTAATCAGTCACAGACTGCCATTCTTTGTAGCTGGCATCATTCTGTGCAAGTCCTTTTGGCCCCTGTTGGTTCAGCTTTTAGTCTCAGGAATCCAAAGTTGATGCGGAGTACCCACAGTGACAACTGGGCATACATTTCACCTTTGAAAGCTATCCCATCTTTTCCTCTGAGAGTGAAGATAACTGAAGTTCTTTTTGGGAGGAGATTAGTTTAAAAATGAATACAAGGGGAAAATGAAGGGGGGGAAATCGGAGGGGGAGACGAACCATGAGAGACGATGGACTCTGAGAAACAAACTGAGGGTTCTAGAGGAGAGGGGGGTGGGGGGGATGGGTTAGCCTGGTGATGGGTATTAAAGAGGGCACGTTCTGCATGGAGCACTGGGTGTTATGCACAAACAATGAATCATGGAACACTACATCAAAAACTAATGATGTAATGTATGGTGATTAACATAACATAATAAAATTTAAAAAATGAATACAAGGATATAAATAGGTAGAAGATGGATAGAATCACTGGATAGATAAAGTGGTATCCAGGGATTTGATGGCCTGGGACAGGCCTGGATTCTTGTCCCTCCCCAGATTTTTCTTTCCTATCTTGCTGTCCCCTTCCTTCAACCTTACCTAGTCTGTCAGAACCTGGGAAAAATGAGAAATTGACAGTTGGGAGTGGGGAAGACTTTTCTCTTTTAAGACCAAGATGCATTCCTTAAAAGTTGCTAAGACTTCTAATTAAGAATCAAGAACCCTGTAAGTATGTGATTACCGCAGTAATAAATTTTATGCAAGATTTCAACCTTATCAAAAATTCTAAAGTTTTAGCTAGCAGTGGAAGTGTGAAAGAGAACACTTTAAGCCACAACCAACAAAAATTTCTCTAATAAGCTTATTAAAAATATATACATACCTTATCTTCTTGACTACGAAAATAATATAATGTTTTTCCTATAAGAGTACACCAGACTCTTTTGGAGTAGCCATGCTTTACCTGAAATCATATTTCAAAGAATTACAAATGTAGCTCAGAACTCGGACACCTTGAAGTATAGCATATACACTCTACCTGAAACTCTGTATGTATCCAGTTTGCTCAAGGTATAAATGATATTCCAACTAGATTGTCCAAATGCAGTTTAAGATTGACCTGTTCCAGCAGTAGCAGGGCATGTCTGGCTTTGGTGTTCACCATTTAACACTTAAAAAATGTTTGCTGTATACTATGCCTAGGGTTGAGAATTCAAAGACGGATAAAACAAGATGCCTATTTTACAAGTAAGTGTATTTCATAGTTTCCGTATTTCACAGATTTTCAATAACCTTGTGGCTCTCTGGGTTAACCTCCTAATAATGTTAGAAATGAGAAGATTAAAATCTAAAAAATTCTAGTGCTCTCCCAAATGTTAAAGATTCATTCATTCAAAACATTTGATACCTCCTCCAGAAGGATTCATACAAAATAATAAAATAATATTAAATTCTATAATACATACTGAATTCTGCCTATATGTCAGAACTATGTTAAGTGAGTGGGACAGAATTTGAATCTAGCTCCTGACTTTGAATAGTCAGAGATTGCTCTAGGGTCTGGGAATAGGGATATGAATAAGACACAGGCTCCTTCCACAAGGAGCTCACAACCTTGCGAGGAAGACAACGAAACCAGCAGTATGCTTTATACCATCATTAAGAACGCAAAAAGTTTACATTTATATCTGCTTCATGTGGAAGACATTTAATCAAAACTTTTACTGAATATTGTAGGTTTTTCATCATGGTGGCTTTATGAGGATCCTTGCTGGGAGTTCCTCCCTGCCCCAGTCCTGCCCGGGTACAGGCATCGAAGATCTTTGCCAGACAGTCCCAGCCACACTGTCAAGCCTAGAAAAACACCAAGAACTCCATTCTCTCCAGTGGATAAGATTTACAATAAGCCCTAGTGCTCCAGACCGAGAATGTGGCATGCCTGGTTGCACTTGCCCTATAATCCTACTTCCCTGGCAGCCCTGCCAAGCCTTGAGGCTAGATTCTCTCCCGCAAAAGAGTGCGCTTCAACCCGGAGAGGTCCGCCTCCTAGAAACCAAGACACTGGCCAGTAAAACTAAAGCCTGACATGCGTTGTCAGGCTTGCCCATGGTGATAAGCAGTAAGGAGAAAACTAATGCAGAAGAGAAGGAAGTGCTTGGGGAGAGGGGAGGGGATGTGTTTTACAGTTTAAAAGAAGGGGCTCAGGAAGGCCTCCCTGACATTGAGTCAGGCCCTGAAGGAGGTGGATGAGCCATGCAGTCATCTGAGGGAAGAACACTCCAGACAAAGGGGGTAAGAGTTAAGGCCTGGAGATGGTGTGTCTGAGACTGAGCAGTGAGAGGAGAGGAGAGGTCATTGGGGAAGGGACATGAGGGGCGAGGGTGGGAGGCATGCATGTTTTCCAGGGCCCTTGGGATGACTTACATTGAAATGGCCTGTTCTGACAGTAATACACTGAGAAGAAGAAAAGTAACTGCCACAATAGATTTTACTGGAGGCAAGTCAGTACAGTAGAAAAAGGCCTGGTTTTTGAGGTCAAGAGGACCAACGCTTAAATTCCAGTTCCGCCTTATGCTAGGTGGAGGTCCTCAGGTGACTGACTTAACCTCTCAGCCTTTTTGTCCATACGTGGGATTATTGTATAACTTATTGGGCCGATGTGATGACCAAGGCAGAACATGTAATTAAAGGAAAATAGTAGTTACTCAATAAATGCTTCCTTCCTCACTATGAATAAGGAGAAATAAAACACATGTCATTTAAACCCACACACACAGCCAGCCTTTGGGCTTTCAAAGCTGTGGTTTAAGCAAACACCGCGATCTAACAGTTTGATGGATTTAGAATCCTGCTTGAACAAAAACAAAAATGTTTCATTTGGCAAGACATATTTTAGTTTAATTAAATTTAGAAACATAGATTTACAGACAAATATCCTGTAAGTTTTAAATAGTTTGTCACCCAGGTTTTTTCCTTCCTTCCTTCCTTCCTTCCCTCCCTCCCTCCTTTCTTTCTTCCTTTCTTTCTTTCTTCCTGTAAGTTTTAAATAGTTTGTCACCCAGGTTTTTTCCTTCCTTCCTTCCTTCTTTCCTTCCTTCCTTCCTTCCTTCCTTCCTTCCTTCCTTCCTTCCTTCCTTCCTTCCCTCCCTCCCTCCCTCCCTCCTTTCTTTCTTCCTTTCTTTCTTTCTTCCTGTAAGTTTTAAATAGTTTGTCACCCAGGTTTTTCCTTCCTTCCTTCCTTCCTTCCTTCCTTCCTTCCTTCCTTCCTTCCTTCCTTCCTTCCCTCCCTCCCTCCCTCCTTTCTTTCTTCCTTTCTTTCTTTCTTCCTGTAAGTTTTAAATAGTTTGTCACCCAGGTTTTTTCCTTCCTTCCTTCCTTCCTTCCTTCCTTCCTTCCTTCCTTCCTTCCTTCCTTCCCTCCCTCCCTCCCTCCCTCCTTTCTTTCTTCCTTTCTTTCTTTCTTCCTGTAAGTTTTAAATAGTTTGTCACCCAGGTTTTTTCCTTCCTTCCTTCCTTCCTTCCTTCCTTCCTTCCTTCCTTCCTTCCTTCCCTCCCTCCCTCCTTTCTTTCTTCCTTTCTTTCTTTCTTCCTGTAAGTTTTAAATAGTTTGTCACCCAGGTTTTTTTCTTCCTTCCTTCCTTTCTTTCTTCTTCTTCTTTTAAACAAAATCCAGAAGGGCCTCTCATCAAAACTGGAGTATAATGCATCTGGCTGTAGAGAGCATACTTTTGAAATGATTTATCCTTAAAATAGAACAATGTGTACCTTTGAAGAACTACAAGTTCACAGAGACCTTTGCCAATTCACTGTAAAAGTTGTCTTAAAAGCACAATCTGTTTTTATGTGTACCTCTGATTATATTAGGATTTCTTAAAACTCTGACTTATTCTGAAAAATCCATAATAAAGCAAATTATGCTAGAAGAATCCTCACAAAAGTTTAAAGACAACCTCAAATCCTAGGGCTTTGGCAAATGAAATAATTGAAAGAATCATTTTTTACCTTGAATCCATAACAAAGGTTCTGTCTGAAACTTTAAAGACACGGTGTATCATACCCTAATGATTAGCCTCTGTCATCACACAAAATACAAGCTCCCATGGTCGTCTCTCCCTCCTAAATTCTCATGCCTGTAGCGTTCCCCACCACAAATCCTGCCACCCAGCCTTGCTGACTTCCATATCTATGTGAAAATCTTGTGAGAATAATAGCTAGCATTTGGGGAGTGTTTATGATGTGCCAGGCACTGTTCTAAAGCACTTTATATGCTTAAATAATTCATTTCATCCTCCCAACACCCCGTGATGTTGGCACTATGATTAACCCCCCACTTCACAGATGAGGACAGTAAGGCACAGAGCCTGCAGGTCGCCTATTCAAGGTCACGCACGGGCAGGTGGCAGAGCCAAGACTTGTGCCCATGCTCTTGCCCTAGCCTCTGCTTCACTCCCTCTCTACCTCCTGGACTCAGTTTCTTGCTCTTTTCCTTTCCAATGACCTTTGTTGTCCTTCCATGTTTGCCATCCATCCCCTCCACCACACCCTCAATTTTTTTTCTTCACTGGAAACTGCCTACTTCTGAAATTGACATTCTATTCTCTGCTCTCAACCCTCTCCCCTCCTTCTCTCCTTACTGGAACCAGTCCTGTTCTCTAACCTCATTCCAAACTTTAAGTCCCCTGGTTCTTCCATTTTATTCCAGTTTATCAGTTCTCTCTCGGCCTCTCTTCCTTCCCTACCAACTTCGGGCCCTGAGTTTGGTCACAAAACAACTCTTACTCCAAGGCCTGGGATTGTGTTATGTCCTCTGCTTCTTTTTTTTTTTTAAAGATTTTATTTATTTATTTGAGAGAGAGAGAGAATGAGAGAGAGCACATGAGAGGGGGGAGGGTCAGAGGGAGAAGCAGACTCCCTGTCGAGCAGAGAGCCTGATGGGGGACTCGATCCCGGGATTCCAGGATCATGACCTGAGCCGAAGGCAGTCGCTTAACCAATTGAGCCACCCAGGCGCCCTATGTCCTCTGCTTCTAACATATCCACTCAAGAAAATTTCGTCTCCTTTTGCTTTTAAGTCATCCAGTGGAGAGTGTGGGAAGAGGGAGGGAAGGTAATGAGGGGTTTCAGACATAACATTAGCCATAGTTAATAACTTAAAATTGGGTGATAAATATATGAGGATTCGTTCTTTTTTTTTTTTTTTTAAGATTTCATTTATTTATTTGAGAGAGAGAGAGAGCATGAGCAGGGGAGAGGGGCAGAGGGAGAAGCAGACTCTCCGCTGAGCAGGGAGCCCCATGCGGGGCTCAATCCCAGGGCCCCGAGATCATGACCTGAGCCGAAGGTGGACGCTTAACCGACTGAGCCATCCAGATGCCCAAGGGTTCATTCTATTATTTCTTCTACTTTCACATGTTTGAAAATGCCCATAAGAAAACATTTATTTTAAATCATCATCTTCATAGATATGTGTAAAGCAAGTAAAATGTTAATTGTAGAATCTAGGTGGTGGGAATATGGGTGTTCACTGTAAAATAGTCTTCCAACTTCTCTGCATATTTGAAAATTTGCATAATAATATGTTAGAAAAAAATGACTATTCCCACATCACTACAATGTAAGTTCTCTGCTTTTATTTCTGGGCATATGACGATATGAGAGAAAAATAACCAATATGAACTCAAATCACTAAAGTCAGGTGGGCCCTGATAACACTTAACATTTTTCTGTCTGCCCTTGAGTATTTCCGCATGTCCCTGATTATTCTCAGTCCTTTCCCTCGTTCTCACTAAATAACTTTATCTTGTGGAGTAATCTTCGTCAAGAAAACTGAGGGTATCAGATGGGATCTTACTCAACGCCCCACAAACTTAGATATTTATCCTTCCTCACCTTTCTGCCAGCCTGGCCCTTCCCCCATGCCCACCCACCATGCTGTTCCACCACGCTGTTCCCCCATGCCCACCTACCATGCCCACCCACCCACCTTTTTTTTTTTAAGATTTTATTTATTTATTTAATTGACAGAGAGAGACAGCGTGAGGGGGAACACAAGCAGGGGGGGTGGGAGAGGGAGAAGTAGGCCGCTGGCCGAGCAGGGAGCCCGATGCAGGGCCCGATCCCAGGACCCCGGGATCATGAACTGAGCCGAAGGCAGTCGCCTAACCAACAGAGCCACCCAGGCGCCCCACCACCCACCCACTTCTGAGCTTTGTTCTTCACCTCTCTCCTGGCTTCTTCCCTTCAGTTTGCAAACTCAAGGTATGCATTTGCTATCCTAAAAATGCTTCTCTTGACACCATGTTCCCTTCAGGTTCATTCCTTCTAATGTGCTGGACTGTGCGATCAGTCCTCCAAACTCAAATACTGTACTTACTCATCTCCCCTTTATCTTTCAACATACTGCAATGTACCTTCCTTGGTGAGCACTCCACAGCATCTGATACTGCAGACCACTCCCTCCTGTCACACACTCCACTCCCCGGCCCCCATGACTTGCTTTCCAGGGTCTCTTCACACATCTCCTTTATGTGCTCTCAGCTTTTGTAAAATCCGGTGTTCCAGCAGCAGTCCCCTGCTCTGCCACAACACACATATCCCTGGGTGACTTCTCTCACTGTCACGAATTCAACTACCAAATACATGCTGAGGATTCCCCAAATCCTTCTCTCCAACCCAGCCCCCTCCTCTGATGTAGCCTGGTGTTGCCACTCCCTGCTGGACTTCTAAATTCTTAACTTAGGTATCCTCAAAGTTCTAAAAATTGGCATGGTCCAAAATAGCCTTTGAATCAGCCTAAAACTGCCCCTCCTCTCTGAGCTCTCTTTTCATTTATTTTATTTTATTTTTTATTTTTAAATAGGCTCCACACCCAGTGTGGAGTCCAACACAGGGCTCAAGTATGACCGTGAGATCAAGACCTGAGCTGAGATCAAGAGTCGGACACTTAATCTAAGTGACTGAGCCACCCAGGGGCCCCACCCTGAGCTCTCTTATCTTTCACCCAGCCAATCTTCTCTTTCTCAATTCCTGACCCTGAATTCAAAAAATCTAACCAAAGATTTTACATCCTACCATTATTTAAATTCACCCTCTCCTCTCTTTCCCTATGACCAGTTCAGAGTCTCATCCTCTTCACAAGAACCACTTCTGCTAACTGGTCTTAGAACCTCCAGCTTACCTCCGACAAATCCACCTTCCTCGCCACAGAGTGATCTGATAACAACATGAATATGCCCCTGCCCCAGTTTACCAACCTGAAGAGTTCCACACCACCTTCAGGGTGAAGCATAAAGTCCTTAACAAGACAAAAAAGTCCTCCATGATCAGGACCCTCCCAGCTTTTTCTCCAAAGGACTTATTTTCAGTGGAGATGGCACTGCTTTGAGATACTCTGTCTTTGTCCTCCCGGTCTCTTAGCCTGGGAAACCTTCCTTGCCCATTTCCATTTGGTATAACTATTCTTTCTCCTCCCTGAAGACTCAGCACAAATGAATCTTCTCCCAGAAGTTGTTCCTGATCCCACAGCCTAAATTAGATTTCTCTGTGACCTTACCATGCATCTAATAATTGCACTTGGTACATATCATTATAATATGCTATTTCCCTTTCTTTCCCAATATATGATGAGGTTCTCTGAGGGATGGGGCAATGGCCTGTTTATCTTGATGTCCCTCAGCCCATTGCCCAGCTCGTGGTAACTGCTCAATAAATTTTTGTTTTTTAAATAAATGACTTTTTAGACAGAAAATGTTCTTCCTAAGCATTAAAATAAAAGTTGCGAGAGTGACTATCCAGAATCAAATTAGTCAAGTTCTTAACATCTACCTACATATTTCTGTACTTAACAACAATGTGACAACCTGAAAAAATCTCCTCCCTTCCAAAGTATTCAAGTGCTGTTCTACAGTATCTTAAATTGTAGCCTGAATGTGGGCTCAGAATAAGTCACTCAGAATAACTGAGGGAAGTTTTTCTCTTATAAGGCTCTGAGGGTGAAAATATGGGGGTGGACATGAAAAATGGTAGGAAGGAAACCTAATAAGCATCCTGTCTACAAACCCAAATGGTTTAGTCATCTGATAATCACATCTACTTATCTTCATTTAAAATGCAATTGTGAGATGGGAGGCGGAGAATAGCAGAAATGTAATGTGCAGGAACTGACAATGCCATGTGGATAAAGTAAAAACAACCAAACAAACAGACTGTGGGAGAAGTAACAAACCCTTAGCCACAGGATCACATTAAAGTCTAAGGGTTCGATACACATGGTCCTTGAAATCAGAGGACAACTAGTTATTATGAATTATAGTAAGAATATGATTTGAAGTAGCACTGTGTTCACTGGAAAATATATATTTGCATAATACCAGGGAGTCTCTAAGTCACGGGTAACTGAAAAAACATTTTCATGGTAATGTAACATTTTGGAAAAAACATAGCACAATTCCTTGTTGAATGTATTGGTGAGTTTTTTCTCTTACTTTTGGTGTAGCTGGTCCATCTGTAAATATTATTGAGTAGCACCCATCTATGTTCCCACATTAATGCTAAGTATAAATTACATGGTGACATAGCTTGTCTAAATCTAAATTTTTAACTTCTTACATAAACAAAGCACATGAATGATGAGTGATTATTTAGAGGTTGTTTTTGTGTGTGATATTTTATGTGTAAATATTTTATTGTATTTTTCTTAAAGTGACCAATAGGATTTTTTAAATTGAAAAATAATATTTATCTCAGCATAAACCAATTCTTCCTCATTCTAAAAAAGTGAGAAAACAGAATTAAGCAAGAATAAAATCAGAGTTACAATATATCTTGGTATATTTCATTTTCAGACATTTTTCTCTCTATATATATAACAAAATGGGCTAATAATATAATACTGCTGTCTATTCTATCAACTAACAATGCATCATATTTCTAGAGCACTAAGTATTCTTTTACAATATTTAAATGGCTGCATAGTAAAGCATTATCTGATTATACATACTTGTTTAAACTATCCTCTACTTTACATTTAAGTTGATGCCAATTTTTCTTCATTATAAACTGTGCCAGGCAAGAATCTTGCTGGGGCAAGTGAAATGTTCTATATTGTGATAGAGTGATAGTAAATATTTGTCAAAACTCACCAAACTCTATACTTAAGATATGAATTTTCTTTAACTATTTTTTTTAAGTAGACTCCATGCTCAGTGTGGAGCCCAACGTGGGGCTTGAACTCACGACCCTGAGATCAAGACACGAGCTGAGATCAAAAGTCAGATGCTTAACCAACTGAGCTACCCAGGTGCCCTATGATCTGCATTTTAGTTATTATACCTCATTTTTTAAAAATAGGAAAAAAAACAAACCATGCTGTGATGGACATTCTTACACTTAAATCTTTTGCAAACTAAGACCATTTCCCAAGTATAAATTTCTTGGACTGAGATTGCTGGATGAAAAGGTCTGTATAAATGTTTTTAAACATTTAATATTTATTCATTTCTTCATTCGAAAACATTCACTGAACTAACACTTTGATCAAGATACTACCAAATTGCCATCTTCTTTTCTTTTTCCAAATTGCCTCTAAAGTAATATGCTCACTAGCAGATTTCTTAATTTGTGTCAATACTGTATTTCATAATTTTAAAAAGTATCCTCCCTTTGACCAGATTATTTTTTTCAAGTAGTCCCCATGCCCATCGTGGAGCCTAACATGGGACTTGAACTCAGGACCCTGAGATCAAGACCTGAGCTGAAATCAGGAGTTGGACACCAAATCAACTGAGCCACCCAGGCACCCCTTGAGCAGATTTTTTAAAATATCATTTGTATATTTTATGTCTACCAACTCTACTTCTTTCCCATTGTGTCCTTCGTTCTTTTCCCCCATTGATATTTTTATCCTTTACTTACTGATTAGGAAAAGCTTGTTTTTCACATGTTTTAAACAACTTTCCTAAGCTTTTCAACTATCTTTTAAAAATTCTGGTTAGGGAATTTTTGATGGTAAGAACATTTGGTATCCTAAGTAAAATACCCTTCCTATCCAAGATAATTTAAATATTCAATACACATATTTTCTGACACCCACTTATGATCAGTGGGGCTAACTCCCCAGTTGCCTAGGACACTTCTATGCACGTAAAGGTCCTACCTTGGTGAGCAATCCCTTCACTGTTGGTTTGCCCTCAGGCTGCAGGAAAAGCGGGTTGGCAGCTTGTACTCGGAGAACATTCTGTAACACTTTAATCCATTCTTCCAATATATTGGGAGAATCTGCAGTCAGATAGTATGTGTGTTTTTCAGTGGTCAACTAGAATGGGATGAGAAAGAGATAGGAAAGGAAACTCTGAAGATTTAGGATTATTAACTTTTCCCTGTCTATCCTAAAAACATCATTAATTAACGTAGAAACAAACATGCCATACCTTGAATCCTAGGTGCTAAAAAATGACTCCATAAATAATTTAGAGTAGTTTAATGACTTTGTGAGAATTACAATAGTTAACTTGGTGTTGAAATAATTTTTTCACTTTAGTTTACTTTGAAATTTCAGAGTATTACGCTTTTGAGTCATGATTTTTTATCGTGGTTACTCATTACCTTTTCTTTTTCTCCCTTAAATGTGCTACAGGCTCCTGGCTGTTGAAGTGATATAATATAATAAAAATATATAAAAATATAATAAAAATAAAAATAATATATTTTTAGCAAATAAAGAGGAGTTATTTGTTATAGAAATGAAGAAATCAATTATAAATAAAATAAGAAGACCTTACTTAGAAGAGGAGAAATTCTTACAATCTGTGGTCAGATATTATGAACCCACAATTTAGTCTTAAATTAACCACATTTCAAAATTTCCAAATATTTCAGAAGCTTGTAGATGATTCTTTTTTTTAAGATTTTATTTATTTATTTTAGAGAAAGAGAGAGGGAGAGAGAGAAAGGGAGAGAGAGAGAGTACATGGAGGGGGAGGGTTAGAGGGAGAAGAGAATCTCAAGCTGACTCCACGCTGAGCTCGGAGCCCGACATGGGGCTCAATCCCAGGACCCTGAGATCATGACCTGAGCCGAAACCAAGAGTTGGCCGCTTAACTGACTGTGCCACTCAGGGGCCCCACTTATAGATGATTCTTACTGGCCATGCTTCAAGACAAAACTTTCCCTCATTCTCCCTTCTACATTTTTGGGCAATTCTCAGTATTATCTCCAGAAAACACTGATAATGAGCCTTATTCCTCTCCCCAAAGGAGCAAGATATGAAAATAATAATTATTGAAGGCATTTCAGAAATAAAGTATCTGAATTTAAATCACATTTACCAAACTCTCTCAAGAGTGTTTTATTTAGTAGGCTTCTAGCAAGACTGGCCTTATTGTGTGGGTTAATGGCCAGCAGCTATGTCTCGGGTATGACTTGGTGTGAAGTAGGACAGCCTTCTCCTCACCAATATTTTTCCCACTTAGATGCTATAGCAGCTGAAGTTCATAGAAGAAATGCCATTTTCTGATTCTATATCAAAATGCAAGCTCTCCTGAATTTAGTAGTACATCAAACTAATAATATTGGGAATTCATTTCTCAGATAAGCCTTCCCTAAAATAGCTAGACGGTTGGAAAGCTGAGAATAGCTGGGAGATCAAGTATAGGGAAAGATGAGTGTATGGGATAAAGGGCAAAGGAAGTGCTGTGGACAGTTACTCAACACAAACCTAGCTTATGTTGTATTTTTAACTGAGAAGGCCTGGGGTTTCACACGTTTTTGAGGCATCGCACTTAACACAAAATGAATAAAGAAACACTGAATCATCCAATCTCCTCTCTATTAGCTTGGGTAATTAAGAATTGGGTTTTGCATGATACAAAAAAGTAAGAAAAAAAAAAAGTTAATATAAAGTACCTGAACTGTTTGTTTGTTATCTCCTCTTAAAATACCACAGGATGCACTAAGTTCAATATGGCCCTGGGGTTTTCTAATTACATCACTCTGTAGGAAAGGAAGAAAACCGAAAGGTAAAGTGATTGATTACCTGTAACAGTAATAGTAAGAAATGCTTTGTATAATTAATTGAATTACAGGGAAGAAAATCAATCAGAAGTTTGATTTATAGTTTGAGGAATTCAGCTGTAAACAGCAAGTGCTTCCCACTTACCGGAGATTTATAGTAAAGTAATTCACCACCTTTAAGAACAAACCACCTCCTCTTCCAAGTCTTGACTTTACCACTCATTTTTAATAAATAGCCAGATTTTTCCAGTGGTTCCTAATTAAAAAGAAATTTTAAAAATTTAAGTTTCCTTTTGGAGGCTCAAACTAACAAGATTCATTAATATTTTGTTTCTTTTTTTTTTTTAAACCTGATTCAGTGTTTACATTTTTCCCGTTATCACTGGATGATGAGCAAGTTTTAGGGAGCTTCTGTTCTGGCTGTGAGTACTCTGTGTCTGTGGAGTAAGCATCTGGGGGGATGGCATAATCACTTTCAGATGCCACTGAAGAGAGAGACACACCTAGATGAATAAAGAAATAAATTAAGTCAATATTTAATAATCAGGTGGTCCAAATGCCAGCTGTGAGTTCTCCTAAGGAATACAGCTATTCCAAAATCATAAGCCTTCCTAGACTAGATTTATTCTCATACCTTTCACCAGAAAGAACTTTTAAAGCAGAAAACAGAACTAAAGGGTATGGATTATCAGCAAACCTCCAAGGAAGTCACAGGAATATAAATATGTTGGTATGATTACAAGCACAGCAAATTTTACATAAACTGTACAATATATATACATAAAATATATGCAAGGATACTAATGTATTTTTTATTAAGGATTAAAAACGTGTATTTACATATTGATACATATATGTATAGGCAAACAAATGTTTGATTTTAATTTATCAAAATTTGTACAATCACTATTTTTTTTAAGATTTTATTTATTTATTTTGACAGAGAGAGAGAGAGCACAAGCAGGGGGCCCGGGAGAGGGAGAAGTAGGCTCCCCACCGAGCAGGGAGCCTGATGCGGCGCTCGATCCCAGGACCCTGGGATCATGACCCAAGCCGAAGGCAGACGTTTAACTGGCTGAACCACCTAGGCACCCCTACAATGACATTTTAAACCACTTAGTTTTTGTAATCACTTTTAAAGTAATCCACATCAAAAAGAACTTCATAATTTCAGTAGTATTTTTCATATAAGTTGAATATACCAGTTTATAAATTTTAAAAATCTTTTTGTAAAAGAGAAGCAATAAGACTTAAAGATATAAACAGACTATTTCATTTGCCAGCAGCTACAAAGTAAAATTCAAGGGAACATTTTCATGATAATTCACTTGCCTTTTTTTTAGAAAATGACTTACAAGTTGCAAGCCACATTTGCAGGGTCCCTGCAATTGGAGATTTTCAATATAATAAAATCAAGGACTTACATTATTATTCATTGCAGTATCTGGCAATTTTTAAAAGTGTTTATTAACATTTAAGGGACTTGTCAGGACAATGTCACTATATCATTATTCTTGTTTATTTGACTAACACAAGTAAAAGTCACGACAATAATAATACCTTTATTTTTCATAGAATAACAGAATTTAGATTTATAAGGGACCTCAGAGAGCATCTTGATTAATGCCTTCATTCTCTAAGGAGACTAAGGTCCAGTGATTAAATTAAAATATTTGTCCAAAGTCAAATAGCTAGGCAGGAGCAATGGTGGAGTGCAAATCTCAGGCGCCCAGCCCCAGGGCCAGTGTGCTGGGCACTCCCCTGGGTGCTAGGGATAGAGCAGACAACAAAACAGAAAAATCTCTGCCTTCATAGAACATATATTAGTCAGTGGAGACAGACAAAAATAGGCAGTAAGTGCTAGGAAAAAATATAACGTAGAACAGACTAGAGGGAATTAAAAGAGCTAGTAGTTGGAGAAGAGCAAGGAATTGCAATTTGAATGGTGTGCTCAGGGTGGATCTCACCGAGAAGGCAGTGTTTGAGCAAAGCACTATAGTATGTGCCAGAGTTAACCTGATAGACATGTGGGGGGAAGAATACCAGGTAGAGGAAACAATTAGTGTGAAGGTCCTGAAATCAAAGCATGCCTGGCATGTTCTAGGAAGAGCAAGAGGGTCAGTGTAGCCAGAGCTGAGCAAGGAAGGAGAAAGGAGATGAGATCAAAGACATAAGAGTCACGTAACACCTCATAACCATTATGAGTCTGCAGTGTTTTGAGCAAAAGTGTAATGTAACCCGATCCTGGCTGTTGGGGGCCAAGGTAGGAGTAAAGAGGCTGGTGGAAGCCCAAAATACTAAGTCTATGAAAATTGAACAGTTCCAGCTGAAGTTGAGGGGTTGAGGATTACCTAGGGGTTCCATGGAACATGGTTTGAAAACCAACAGAGCACACTGCATTAAAGGCTTTCATAAAATACAGGTGCCATTTAGTGTGATTATGTCTCTCTGTCACCTCTACCTATGCCAAAAATTTCTTCACAATCTACTAAAACTCATAGACATGCCCAAAATAAAGTTTTTGTTGGTTTCCATTCTTTTTTTTTTTTTTTAAAGATTTTATTTATTTATTTGAGAGAGAGAGAATGAGAGACAGAGAGCATGAGAGGGAGGAGGGTCAGAGGGAGAAGCAGACTCCCTGCTGAGCAGGGAGCCCGATGCGGGACTCGATCCCGGGACTCCAGGATCATGACCTGAGCCGAAGGCAGTCGCTTAACCAACTGAGCCACCCAGGCGCCCCTGTTGGTTTCCATTCTAATATCAGATTAACCACCAAGTTTTTAGGTGTATTTTCCATCACTTAGCAGCATAACAAATTTAGCTGAAATAAGACTATCCCATAAATTATCCAAAATGCCACACACTAACTCTAAAAGAGAAACTCTGTTTTGGCCAATTATTTCACTCTATTCCCGTAATAAAGTGATCTCTCTCTTATAGATAAGGTAAGGTTAAACAAAACAAAACAAAAAAGATCATGTGGCTTGGGTGGTATCACAAAAGAATTAAGAAGAGAACTAGGACTAGAATATAAGCATCTTAGTCCTGGCTAATTCTCTTTTCACTTCGTTCAAAGCAAGTACTTTGTTTTAAAAAGTCCTGTTATGGAGATAAAATTCCTATTAAATATCCTGAATTACGTGGAGTTGTCTTGTACTCCTGAGACTTTCCCTCACCTCGTTTCATGGCTCTAGGGCTGCCTGGGCCACTCCGACTGCGCATGTCTGACTCCGACGTCCGTGAGCTGGATCTGGAACCATCTTCTTCCTCTGACCCAGAGGAGTCATCCAGGAATGGGCTGCTGCTTATTTGTGTTGCCTTCTAAAGAAAAGCACAACAGCCTATATGTGTCCATCTCTAAAGTCACCTCTCTTTTTAGACATGAAATGTTTTACCAGAAGTCATGGAATACGATTTTTTTTAAAGGAATACAAGAATATACTTTGGCATTTTCAAAGTCATTTGTTAAATCCCAAATTCTCATTAGCAAGGCATTTGTCAAATATTAAAGATTCCTGAAAAACATAAGGCCGTTAATACTTGACAATACTTACTTTAATTAAGTACTTCAAGCAAGGGAAGAGAACCCTGGCAGTGACAGAAAAATCTTTCCAAATTAGGAGCCTTCCCTACATCATTAATAGTGATATTTTCTTTAAACAATTAACCACCATGGAGGGGGTGGAAAATCACATGGGGTAAAATAAAAATGGGCCCAGACCTCTAATACTCTGAGAAGCATAAATATCTTCTCTAGATCTTTCCATTTCTTCTCTTTTTATGATATATTAGTGTGAATGTCTACAACTTCCTATAAAGGGAGAGTCAGAGTAAAATGTCAAGAATGGAATCTGGAGCTTGAATAAACAGTTTTCTCAATCCACCATGAAGAGAGCTACATGCTTAGCAGTAACAGTAATGACTTACCCCCTTCAAAGTTGTATACACAGGGGTTGTCATATTCTTGTATATCAGAGAGGTATAGAGTCCTGATGTGGTATAGGACAACAGAGCAACGGAATCTGAAACAGAAAACAAAGTGATTTAAAAAACAAACACAACAAAAAAAACCCTTCTCTCTAGCACTTAGGTCTATTTCTTATGGACGTGAGCTAGCAAAATTTCCAATTAAAGAGAAGTTGGATTAACATGCATGACTGTTCTCTCGTCTGCTGTAAGAATGATACACTCTCTTCCATGGCTCATTATTTCCTCACATGTGCTACTTCCCCAACCAGACTGTAAGCTCTTTGAGAGTAAGGATCAAAGCTTTTATTTCTTCAGCAGGCATCTCTCTCCTGCTCAGGCTGGGCAGAAATAGCACAAGCACCTGCTGATTCAGTGAGCACTACCCTATGAAGATATTCTCCAATTCTTCATAGCTCTATTAGTGATATGGTGTTAAAACACTGACATGCTTAAGAGTTTATCAGGTGAACTCATGCTGAAAACTTAGAATCTAATTTCCCAAACGGTAAGAACAGAAGATCGCTGAAATAGAACATCAATGGTTGCCTCTAAGATTTGAATTAGTGTTGGATACGGAGGAGGCTAAGAGAAGGAACCACAGGAAAATTTCTCTTTTTATTCCAGACAGTTTGCTGTTGTTTGGTTTTACTTTTTATAATAGGAATGCATTTGCTTCTTCAAAATTTTTTTGAAGAAAGAAAGAAGGAATGTGTTTTAAAATGGAAAAAAGGATATAGAGACTGATATTTTTGCAGCTTTAAACAGCTAAAACTCCACAGCTTCTTTGCTTTCTCCTATTTTAGGTAAAAACAAAAAGAGTTGAACATAGATGGATGTGCCCCTATATTGGGTAACAATGAATTTCAACTTTAAAATGTAAACCGGCAACCTTAGAAATCATTTTCTGAAAGTTTTACATAATTCTATTCCAATGATTTCAGACATTTAGAAAGTTGTTGGCTAGTGAACTGGGAATACAAAATCACTTATTTTTTTAAACATGTTTTATTGTAATAAGAAACACATGACATTAAATTTACCACCTAAACCATTTGTAAGTGTGCAGGTCAGTTAGTGTTAATTATAGGCACACTGTTGTGAATTGGGTCTCCAGAACTCTTTTATCTTGCAAATCTGAAACTCTAAACCCATTAAGCAACGACTCCCCCACTCCCCCCTCCGCCCAGCCCCTAGTCACCACCATTCCATTTTCTGTTTCTGTGAATGTGACCACTTTAGATACCTCATAGAAGTGGAATCATACAGTATTTATTTGTTCGTGACTGGCTTATTTCCTTTAGCATTATGTCCCCAACATCCATCTACATTGTAGCATGCAAAATCACTTACTTTTATTAACATTCTCCATATTGAAGGCCTCAGACATTCGCATGCCTGATTTGGCTACAGCATAAATTCTGCTCTCCTGATGTAAAAGAGAGATTTAAACTGGATATTTAAAGCAAAGACATGATTACTTCCAATACACATGCTTTTCATTTGTTCTTCATTTAATATACAGCAGAGCGGGGCATTATTATAAAACTCTCAACAGCGCCAACTCAAATATGCGAACAGCACAGCAGACCTTTTCCATCCATTAGTCATTCCATTATTTATCTTTGTTCCCAAGTTTTTGCTTGGTATTTTAAGTTCTTTTGAAGAGATAGGAAAAAAGTAAGAAAACTTATTCATGATCACTGCACATAAACACCACAGTCTTCTACCATTCTAGAACATGGGTAAAGAAAAAAACCCCAGAAAACTTCGAATGGCTGTAGCATGAGGTTAGAAACCATTCATAATCACTGACTACACATAAATAATACCTTTAATATCCTACTATTCTAGACTATGGTGAGAGAAAGGAGAAAAATCTGGAAGTCAGAAATCATAGAGTAGCATTAAGCGCTATCCTCTCCTTATTTCAACGTACATTTCAATGAAATAGAAGGAACACCTGAGGCCAAATAAAAAATGAATTTGAGAATGGCAATGGAATTTATAATATTATTCCAAAAGCAGGTTGTTATTTGGCTTTCTCTTCTTTGAGAGAAATCTCTGAGATGGGTACTGGAAAGGTTATTAGCCCTGCCCTCTGTAAGGAAAGGGATTCCGGGCTGTTCTTAACGCATAATCACCATGTCCTGAATTCTGCACTGCATCTAACCTGGACATGGTCGCCTGGACCAGGGCATAGCAGGCAACTAAGGCAGTCCTCTTCAGGACTGTGCCAGCCAGTGGCCTGCTAGGTAACGGGCAGGAGATCCCAACTGTCTGAGACGCTTTGGTTTGGAGAATGGCTGAGTGAATGAATCAGATGCGGTTTCTCTGAGAACAGGATTGTGAGATAAGCACACAGAGAGGAAGAGCAGAGTCAGCGGAACATTAAGATGTGTAAACACAGGGCAGTGAGCAGGAGATGAGAGGCAGCTGGAAGCACGACAGAGTGGAGGAGAGGAGTTAGCAGTAGTGAGACAAGAAGAGTCACTGCAGATGGGAGAGGTCAAGCTAAGCCACTGGTCCGGGGCATCGGGTGTCACCTGTTGCTAAGGAATTGATGACTATTAGAGGTGCTGCTGAATCCTCACGTTTTCCCACTACAGTAACTATTGTATTTTGAAAGATATTCCAGTTCAGTGAGGATGGTCTGTGCCTTCAAATAAACTCTTAAGAATCCTTAAAATAAACTCTCATAAATTGAGGTAACTGGAATACATCTCTTTTCCTTGAAACCTGAAAATACCTAACAAACAGCGAAATAAAACCTCAAACTTGGCCAGGCTGCTAGAAGGCTTTTGAAAAGCACTACTACTTTTTCAGGATTGAATAGCTTCAGAAGACAAACTGAAGAGAGAAAGGCAAAAGAGTAGGAAAATGGTTTGCCAAATAAAGCGAACATGAAAAGCCTAACCTAAATCTCTGAAAATCTCAACATAATAAAAGAAGCAAAAATTTCAAATCCTCACTGCCTAAAGGATAACATAATTGAAATTCCAGAGATTCACATGCTAATAATGTCTACTTTTTTGTGCTATCCATAATTTAATAATGAACTGCAGACGGTTTCATGTAGGCACTGCAAAGAAATGTTCTTTTGAAAGTAAGTAAGAGCAGATACATCTCAAGGTCCGAATTTACAGTAGGAAAACATGGCTGCCTTAATTTGCTTAAAATCACACTGGTCACTAAATAAAAAAAATAATAACCACAAAATATGACCCCCAAGCCCCAAAAATACTGCAATCCTGATGCTTCTCTGGAGGCCAAAGGTTAAACTATGTCAATATGTGAAGGAAAAGTTAAATCTACAAGACAGATAATTTCAGTTTGTTTCAAATATAAGAATAACTTTTTAAATATAGTGATATAGATATTCCTAGAAAGAATCACACAATGATGGGTTAACTATTGTATTAATGGTCAGTGTTTTCTTTTTTTTTTTTTTATAAAGATTTTATTCATTTATTTGAGAGAGAATGAGATAGAGAGAGCACGAGAGGGGGGAGGGTCAGCGGGAGAAGCAGACTCCCTGCCGAGCAGGGAGCCCGATGCGGGACTCGATCCCGGGACTCCAGGATCATGACCTGAGCTGAAGGCAGTCGCTTAACCGACTGAGCCACCCAGGCGCCCAATGGTCAGTGTTTTCAATGGAAGAAATTTCAATGTACTCTAGATACACAGGAAGATGCTTTTGGTTAAAGTAATGGATTTATAAGCTCATGAAGAGTAAAATTAAATTTCTCTTAAAGTCAATCAAGTAAATGATTAAGTTAAAAAACTGATAACCAATAAGAGTTAAGTGTCCTGGTTCCAAATTTGCCCAAAGTATTACACAGGTAAGAGAAACCCTTTTTCCCCACCCCTGATATTTCCTTCCATATGGAGGCAACTCCAGTAATATTCCAGATCCTTCTCCAACCATTCATTTCTCCCTCCCAAGAAGAAGGAACGGCTTAACGTGACTGGCAGGCTTAGAAGGAGAAACTGGGCAGGCACCTGTCTCTCTCCCTTCTCTTGAGAAGTAATGGCTCAGGAGACACCATTTGTTCTTTCTCTGGCCGTAAGCTACTTTGGAGGGGCAAGCATCTCCTGAGGAAGCCTCTGGAGGTCCAGCGCTACCTGGGACTGGGTTTATAAATCTAGAGAATTCCAAGTTCAGTGTCGGAAAGCTCATCTGCCCACCAGTTCTCTAAAATCAGTTTTCTCAGTAATAAAGGTAATATTTTGATCTCCCACCTGTCTTCACCTTATTTCTCAACTGACTCACAGCTAGTTGGAAAAGAGAAGGGAAAACGGCATTCTGAAAGCTGAGATGTTTCAGAACAATCTGGATCCTAAAAGACACAGGAAAAGAAGTAAAGTAAAACTGGAAAATGGGGGTTAGTTAAAAACCAGCATGCACGTGTTCATTTACCCAAGAGGGAAAGCGGTGCAGGGGCGGGGTGGGCGGTTTGCCACATGCCGGCTTCTTGGCCGAGTCACAGGGTTCCTGGTCTTCGGAGCATGGGGATTCCAGGGAGTCATAGGAAAACAATCCGTCATCACAACTGGTGTCCATATTCTCTAAAATTTCTGTACTGTTGTCATCAACTAGATCAAGGTCCGTTTCCTGAGGTCTGAGTGGGCGTATCATGCTTATGGCATTTCTGTTTGTACCAAACATCCTATCGGAACTTAACTGTGGCTGGCTTAAGTGCCTTTTGGCTAGTGCCACACTTATGCTGAACACATTAGGAATCCTTAACTTTGGGGGCGGGAGGTTTGATGAAGGCACTAATTGTGTACCTTTTCCAGGGAGCAAATTAGGATGCTTGGGAGTCAAAGCTGGAGTCAAAATAGGGCTGGGGGTGTTGGCCTCACTCGACGACGATGAATAATCCAGTCTCTGAGACTGAAATTTTTTATTCAGTTCATCTGACGAACTATCGTGCTCGTTTTTACTTGATTCCGAATTTCCCTTTATGAGAGGACAATTCTGAGCTTTCCACTGTGCCTCCTGTTGCCAAGAATACAGCTTCTTGTGTTCTGGTCTCTTTCTGCCAAAAGTCTCTTCTTCGAATATAGAACTGCTGTCATCAGATGCTGTCAGGTACGCCTCGCTGCCCATTCTGCTACACTGGACCCCTTCCTCTGACGTGTGACTGGAAAGAGTGGACGTGTACCTGCAATTGGATCTTCCTTTGCTCCCGTCCTCCTCATCAGAGCTCCAGTCACTCCCTGGAGCCCCAGAATTCTGGGATGTACCACCATCTGTTGCAAAGCTCGTTCTTGTTTTCCGATTCTGTTCCAGGACACAAGGGGTTTGATGCAACGTTCTCTGACCCAGGTTGTTTTCTTGAATTTGGTTCTCGCCCGACTTTTCTGGAATTTCCATTTCTAGAAAAGTATACATCATATTGGCACGTTGCCTTTGATAATGTAATCTTTCTGTACATTTAGCTTTATGAAACTACATTGTAAAAACTGGAATTTTCATATGACTAAAGTTAATTTACATTATCCCTTTTTAGTTGTATGTCTTGTTTAAACCCAACTTTGAAAACTGTAAGCTTTAAGATAAAATAGGAGCCCTAGCACTTCAATAGAAGAGTATCAAAATTAAACTGCTTTTTACAAAGAAACATGTTGGGGGGAAAAGGCAACTCTATCAAAGAAAGCAACCATCAAAGGACACCACTAATTCTATTTTAAAGCAAAGCAAAGGACAGCCCTCTTTCAACTAAATTTCAAAATTATCATAAGAAAATTTAAACATAATAAATATAAAGTTATAGTCTAAAAAAAAAAAACAACCTTTGTTCCCAAGCTTCAATACATGAAATATGCAAAGCCACGAAGAAACATAAACACAGAAAAGCTTTCCTGCCTCTACTTGGCTTATTCATATCTCCAAGTGTGTTTTATAACAAGAATAATGCTCTTTAACAATGTCTTTCGATGAGGCTTACTTTTGTTTTGAATATAATTAATAGAATGAACCACTGGCTTCATAAACAGCGAACTAAACATTTGTACAATTTATAAAGAGTACAAGAGGAACTTTTAAAACATATATTTAACCTTCATAACAAGGAACTAGAGGCTGAACAAATAAGCTCGATGATTTGGTATCAGGCAATTTGTTAAATTTGCAAGTGAGCAAGAGCTTCGGGATGGGCAACCTTGGCTGTACCAAGCTATACTCAACTGACTATTAGAAAGTGGAAGGGAAATCCAAATGACTTCTCAAAAAAGAAAAAAAAATTGCAAGCAACAGCATAAAAGCAAGTAGCAAAGGAGAATTCTGATTGGAAAAACATTATGCAGTTTTCAGGATTTCATAACCAAGTACAGAGACAGCTTTTAGGGCTATAGTTTTTCTCCTTTGGAGGAAGGAAGCGGGAGCTGAAAACAGAGACAATGTCAATTCAAGCCTTTCTAAAATATCTGGGCAAAGTCACACTACATGTGGCAAAGCCAGCAGCTGAACAACAGAGCAAAATTTAAAGGGGCTTTATGAATAAAAGAATGGTGGAAATCTGCACACAGGTCCAGGACTTAAACATCTATGCAAATCTTTTCCTCTTTGAAGCAAAACGGGAAAGGGAAAATCAAAGCAAATATTTTCCTCTTTGAAGCAAAACGGGAAAGGGAAAATCAAAGCACTTACTAAATTGTCCCCTGGTGTTCTTTTTCTTTATAAGTTCGCTACGCCATATTTAACTTCATATTTGCTATCAGGTAATTTTTAAATATTTTAAGTAAATAATAGAAAGTTCATAGTTCTAATGTGAAACTCAGCTAAAACAAGTACCTTGTAGGTACAACCGTGAACTTTTTAATTTTAAATATCACTGCTACCTACCGCAGGAAAAAGTATCAAGAGGGGAAAATCAGTCCTTTCTATGTATCCTTGTCAAAGACTCCCCCAAACACACAAGATAACTAGCTATACAAATTAAAGGCTGGATTGCTCTTTAAAAATATTTTCATAAAACATCAACTTGTCAAGAAAAAAAACAAGGAAAATTAAGCTATATTTGGATGAATCTTAGTAAATTATTTTTCCTTTTTAAAAGCCGTCAAAGTAAATTCCTGTAGTCCATAAATACCTTCTATGTCTTTTTCCTCAATGAACTCGGGTTCTTTAGATGATATCTTGCTCATTTCCTCAGATTTTACTACTTGAGGAGGACTCCTTGCTCGGGATAAAAAGCACCCAAAGGTCAAACTACTTAGGCGCTGGCCTTCCAAAAGCTTTGGTGTGGAAACAGTGGATGACTTCTTCCCCTGAACCTCTGCAAGATCATTAATCAAAATCAAGATCTGAATTTTTTATGACAGTTTATTAAACACAGAACCAAAGCATGTAAAAATCTGGACAAATCACTCTTTATGCCAGAAAAAAGCCTGAATTATTTATGTCTAGTAATATGGACCCCTCAATGTCTAGCATTACATACTAATGTTTAAATCTGTTTATATATTTTGAATGTTCTAAATATTTTTTAACTGTAGAGAGAATATCTAATCCCTTTAAAAGTAGTGCTTAAACAAAAACAAAACCACAAACAAATAAAACACAGATTATAGACAAGGAGAGGGTTATAGCTTCTTGAAAAATCGTGGTACTGGTAAATAGCAGTCAAGAACTGGTAAAATTTGAATGGGCAGTAATGCTACTAATGGTGAGGGAAGAGGGACTGAGGTCCTGGTTGCCAAGACAACCAAAGGAAATTCAGATTATCACTGGGGCAAATATCACATGATCACTGTAATAACTTTTGCTATCTTAGTTTTCAATTTGCTTCTCCCAAAAGAGCAGATGAAGGGGCTTGATCTACAATGTCCACAATATGGAGGGCCTTCATCACTTCTTTAGAAGAAAAAAAAGGGGAGGGGACAGTTTCTAGATAGAGAATTTAGATAGCTCAAGGAGTGATTAATCATGGGTTTAATCCATCCTCTAGGAGTTGTAACAACCCTGCTTGCAAGATTAAAAGCATGGAGAGGGGTGCCTGGGTGGTGCAGTCGTGTAAGTGTCCAACTCTTATTTTGGCTCAGGTCATGATCTGAGTCCTGGGATCGAGTCCCACATCAGGCAGACTTAAGATTCTCTCCCCTCTCCCTTTGCCCCCCCACCACACTCTATTTCTTTCTCTAAAATAAATAAATAAAATCTTTAAAAGCATAGAGATCCTAGTGATAGTAAGAAAAGTTTCCCCCCCAAATTAAATTCTTAATTAACTCTGGAAGAACACCAAAGGGGTAAATTAAATAGCAGCTGATAACTGAGTAAAGCCTAAGAAAAATATCTTTATATAGTGTATTCCTTTAGGTGTATCTTTTATTATTTTCATGTTGATTATCTCTCACAGAACTAATCCACAGTATTTTAATAACCATAGATATGCATATACATTTTTAAAGTACTATATTATATCTACATACTTGTATCTATTCTTCTCTGGTCCAAGTCTAGGCTCCAGGGATTTGTACCGCTTAGTCTACAAGACCTAACAGACTGCCAATGAAGACTAGAATTGCAAGTTAAGAAGAGCAAATAAAATAACAGCCTTTTGAGAGCTGGGCTTAGTACATTCAATCTATGTCAGTGATTCCATATGTAAATATGGAATTCTAGATCAACTATGTGGATACCAATTTTCCATCATATAGTTGGAGGAAGCATGTGATATAAGAACTACATATGTTGGTCTTCATCCATGGTTCCGGGCACACAGCTCCTAAAACCCTTGGAATTTCCTAAGTGGTAAGAGCGATAAAAGTATCTTTTGTTTTCATAACAAGCCCTTTCAACCACATCTGATTTTATGTTGATGAGGTGATTTTTGGAAAGCCCCTAGACAGCCTCAGGATGGGGGCTGGTTGCCAGGGGAACCAACCATGTGATCAGAGGACTGGAACTTTCAGCCTCATCCTCCACCCTCCTACCTCTGACCTCAGGGGAGGGGAGAGTTCAAAACTGACTTAATCACCAATGGCTAATGATTTAGTCAGTCAAGCCTACATAATGAAGTCTTCATAAAAACCCAAAAGGATGGGCTTCCAGGTCGGTGAATGTGGGGAGGTGCTGGGAGGGTGGTGTGCTTGGAGAGAGCATGGAAGCTCTGCGCCCCTTCTCCATACCTTGCCCTCTGCATCTCTTCCATCTTGTCTGTGCCTGAGTTATATCCTTTGTAATAAACCAGAAGTATAGTAAGTAAACTGCCCGAGTTCTGTGAGCTGCTCTAGCAAATTATCAAACCTAGGGCGGGTCATGGGAACCTCTGATTTATAGCCAGTGGGCCAGAAGCAGGGTTGAGAACGGATACTTACAATTGTGTTTGAAGTGGTGTATGAAGTGGTGGTGCGGGGGGTAGTTTTGTGGGATCAAGCCTGTAACCTGTGAGATCTGACGCTAACTTCAAGTAGATAATGTCAGAATTGAGTTAAATTTGAAGGACAACCAGTCGGAATCCCCTGGGAATTGGAGAATTGCTTTGTGTGTAAAAAACTTGCATACATCTGGTGTCAGAAGTATTGAGGGAAAAGGAAAACAGGAGCTTTTTTCTTTACAACATGATGGCAGTAAGTATGAACATGCAGTAGACAAAATGCTTTCATATGTCTTACAATCAACAAACTCCCATGAAACCAGGAAGGCACAACTACCATTATCATTTTACTGATGTAAAAGAAAAAAATCTGGCAACATAACAGTTATTAAGTCATACACCATTAAGGTTGACTCCAAAGTCCATGCACTTGCTTCGGTGCCAGCATTTTTCTAGTGCATTCTGGGAACCCCCAGGGCTTTGTGGAAATGTCACAGTGGGTGTAAGAAGAGGCACAGGTAAAGCTGAGTCTGCAGGACTCTAGGCCCCTCACCCAACACTGCTTCCACCTGTTTTATCTCTTGAGAGTCTACAGAAAAAAATACTGGTTTAAAAGGAGTCCTGTTGCTAAATAAGTTTGAAAACCACTTTAGCAGGCCAGGATCTAATAACCCTGCGGATTCATCTTGTCCTCGGCTCAATGTGCACTTGAGAGGTGCTCACCAGAACAATATATTAAGTAAATCTCTATCTCTAACTCTACCACCCATCTTGAAGCTTTGATGCTGAAAAGAAAGAAAGAACCCTAAGCATTGGAAAATGCAGAGTTTATTATTCATATTATAAAATTCTGCTGAAAATATTCAGGCTGTAAGAATTTCACTCACTATTGATCACCACAGTACAAGTGAAAATAGAAAATAACTGATTTTTGAAAGCAAACATACCTGAAATTAAACATTGAAATTAGTATTACCCCTTTTGAGTTATTTGCAATTGTCTAGCTATGCTGTCTAATATGGAAATGTGGCTATTTAAATTAAAATCCATTTAAATTAAATAAAACGTAAAATTCAGTTCCTTGGTTGTGCTAGGCATATTTTAAGTGTTCAACAGTAAAATTCCATATAGCCCAGTAAGCCCAATTAAGCTATCTTAGTCAAAATACTCATACCTTGTAGTTTTGACTGTATTGTTCTTATCTCTTCTGTTTGGTTTTGGTTGATCAAACGAAGATTCTGATTTTCTAATTCCAGCTGAAAGGACATAATGGTATCCTTTTATACAGGAATAACATTTCTAAAATGTACTAGTAAATTATATTATTTTAAAATGTTAATACCTAATTACATGTAGGCAAAATACAAAAGAAATGATGAGCAAATATCAGATGAATTTATCAGTGTAACTATCAACCTAGATAATTACGGCTTTGATATTTATTTTTGCCAGACTGAGAGTTTCAAATATTTTCACCCCAAGGCATTTTCATGCCTTTTCCACTGTAAAATTATTTTAAACCAAATTATTTCAGCATTTAATCTGCCATATAAACCAATGTGTACTTCTCAAGATACGGAACACATTAATTTTATGATATACACATATGTTCTATAATTATTTAAAATTAACTAATTAGAACTAAAATCAACTACCCAGAATGAGGCTACTTATACTGTTTACTAGGAGTCTATCAATATTTTTAATTTTAGAAATACATTGGACATAAAAATGAAAGCTACCTATCTCATGTTTACCAAAAGACAGCAGCACCACCAACTGATCAGAATTTTGTTTCATTCAAAATGATCAGATACTCTGATGACTTATCTATTCAAAGGAAGTAAAAGGTAAAGAAAAGGCAAAATATAGCGATAAATACCTCATTTAATTTAAGTGTTACCCATTCTTTGATCTTAGCTGCTTTCTCTTCTATTATTTTAGCTTCTTGTATCCTGATTTGTTTCTGAAATAACATTAGCAGTGTGTTTAGTTCAAACATAGGCTCACTGGTCTGGAAATGTTACATCATAAATATAAAGGACAAATCCACTTAAAACCTGTTTCCAAGTTAATATATCTACCTTCAAATCATCAAATAGAGTAAAAAATGAAAGCCATTGTCCAGCAGATATAATAATAAACCACAAAGGCATATGCAATATTACTAGTTTTAACTGTTAATTCTCTTTCTCTGAAAGATCATATACTGAAATCCAACTGAATTTATCAACAAAATAAATGATTTCTGGAAATGATGCAGGGTTTATAACAGTAGAAGAGGGGTCAACCAGGTCAGGGAGAGGAGAATCAGAATCTCTTCTGGAGCATGGTTTGTTTTCCGATTAAACACAAGTTTCTATTTTTCATATATCTTATTTTATTTTTACATGCAAGTTTTTAAAGATCCAGAAAAATGAAATAAAAAACTCTAGCTTGGGGCGCCTGGGTGGCTCAGTTGGTTAAGCGACTGCCTTCGGCTCAGGTCATGATCCTGGAGTCCGGGGATTGAGTCCCACATCGGGCTCCCTGCTCGGCAGGGAGTCTGCTTCTCCTTCTGACCCTAACCCCTCTCATGTGCTCTCTCTCGTTCTCTCTCTCTCAAATAAATAAATAAATAAAATCTTTTAAAAACAAAACAAAACAAAAAAAACTCTAGCTCACATTTACCAACCTTAAAATCTGGCTATGCTCACAAAACTATGAGAATGTGACTGTCATATAAATCACAGTGGGTGGGGGCTGGGGGGTGGTAAAAAGTTGGAAATCACTGACCTACAGAAATACTGATCCGCAGAGAAATGGAAAAAAATGCTGAAGATAAAAAACAACTTAGCATATTTAATAATTTCATAGTGGTCATATTTAAATGATGCTAAATGATGACTTAAGCAAATGACCTTAATGCAATTTTTTTCCTAATAAAATTTTAAAACAAACTAAAAACTATACTCGATCTCGGTGAAGTGGTTTAAAAACAGTGTACACATTTTTAAACAGAAGGATTCACATCAAACATACCTTTAAAACACAATGTTCCATAAATATTTCCAACACCCTAAAAATCTAAAGCAAAGATCTATTTCAAACATTTTACAGACAGAAATGCTTGCTGATAACCAAGTGTTTTCAAGTTGAATACTAAATTCAAACCCTAAAAAGTCTGAGCATTAAGGAGCACAGTCTCTTCCAAAAAATGTTAGATATGGCCTTGGAATAACCCAGACTTAAAGAGAATGCCATTTTATTTGTACTTTTCACCAATAAATGTGATTAGACTCCATGAGTTGACCAAATAAGTGAGATTTCTGACCCACATTTAGAAGTGTAGGCTCCCTCTCTTTAACCTTTGTGATTATGCATAAATAAATGCATGTCTTTAGACTGTGATGATAAAATTCTTCCAAACCTGTTCTTCAAGCTGCAGTTCCAAGTTTTGAATGATGTCATCTTTTTCTTGTATTAGGGTCTCTAGATCTTGACACTTTTTATACAGCCTTGTCTCTGATTCACTGGTTTGAATATTAGCTGCTTTTAATTTCTCTTCCATAACTTGTACCTAAATTCAGAGGTTAGAAAATTAATATTAGGTATGTAATTAATTTATCATAGTATTAAATTTAGCATTTTACTTTAACATTAAATAGATTCCTAAAAGGTATCATCATAAAAACAAAATATGAACAGCATGTTTTAACAATGTAACAATTATAAAGTCTGAAGACTAATGTATTAACAATTATAAAGTCTGGAGACTATTTTGCCAAGTGGTGTTTACCTTTGAGGTACATAATGTATGGTGATTAACATAACATAATAATAAAAAAAAATTCTGAGATAAAAAAAGAGCATCACATGCTAAAAAAAAAAGAGATTCTCAGAATTTTGCTATCATATAAAGTAATGCACATGTTTACTAGAACAATGATATGTGAAGTATTTCATGTGAGTATAGAATCAGAAAGTTTGCAGCCCTCATTTTTTCATATTTTAAATGAAGTAGGAATATAAAGTAAAGGTGAGTAGTGAGAAAAGATCAGATTGGATGACCTGGTATAACAGCACATTTTGGAAAAAAAAATTGAACTTAGGTGAAAAACAAACACATACACAATGGAAAGGAAAAGGAAAACAAAAGTTTTAAGGCCCAAAATGACGGAATCACAAAAAATAAAAAACTATGAGAATCAAGATATAGGTAGGAGAGTATGTTCAGTGAGGGTTTATTGATTCATTCATTTAGCAAACATTCAGTGAATAGTCGCCAAATGCCAGGCCCTGGGAATCAGTGAATAAAACGGACCCAAAATCTCATAGAAATTACATTTTAGTGGGTAAGAGAGATCACAAATATAAGAAAGATGTAAAAATCATACAGTACGCTACACAAGGAGATAAAGGCAATGGGAAAAAGTAGAGCAAGATAAAAGATACTGGTATGTGACCTGGGGTTGAGTGATGCTTTAATTTTAATATGTAAGATACACTGGCTCTGCTTGGATCTTTTGCAAAACACATCTAGGCATATGAAGGAATGTGTGAGATGTTAATGATAAGAAAGAAAGAAAATAAAGTACTGGGCATTGTATATTAAGACTTCCATTCCATATACTCCATATACTCCAAATGGGTAAGAATGTAATTTTTGTAACGTTTTAGATTGTAGGGGGCAAAGAAGAAAAATATGCAAATGCATTTGAGAAATTAACAATGATAATTAAGATGAAAAATGTTAAACTGTTAAAAACACCTCTGAAATATCATGATGAATCCACTTAAAGTTCAAAATACTTGACTAATGAGGGTTTCTGGAAGGAGGGTGTTAAGGTTAGTTTGGTTTTGTTTTTTTAAACATGAATATAAGGTGTCATCTGTGGGTTCACCGGAGAAATGTAAATTCAACTCAGATGCCAAAGTGTCCTACCGAAATACCACATAAATGTCTGAAAACTATAAAAATAAAAGTAGATTTTAAAAGTAGGAGAAAAATCCTGCATTCCATTATCCAAATGATAATTTTAAGTTATCTTACAATTTATATTTTTTAACATAATATAGTGGGTTTTCTGCAGGAATGGCAGACCAAGAAGTCAAGGACAAAGGTCTCCATCAGAAATACTACCATGAAAAATAGCCAGAGGAGGACAGAGGGCTGGACAATAAATACCAAGGATCATTCTTAAGATGGCTCAGCCAGTTCCACACAGGACATTCTATAGCTGTGGAAGCAGAGAAAGAAGGGCAGAGACCAAGTTCAAAATGGTAGTTCTTCAGGGACAGAGTAACAGATGACAGACCTGTAGGGGAGCAGACTGTGCCACTCCAAAATATGCCACTTCGGCATACTGATTATTCTGAATTTAAGTTACCTAAGAAACAGCTGGTGTAAGAACACTCTGACCCTCTTTTGTTCCCCTGAAAACTGGAAATAAATCCCCCTCCTGTACCAGGAAGGAAGAAGGCATCCTTATCACCAGAGATAGGAAATTTAGGGCTGAGAAGGCTATATAAACAAACCTTGTTACTTCTTCACTAATTTACTACCCCAAGCCCAAACCCCTTTGTCTTGTCAATTCTTCACAAATGTATTGTTTTTTTGTCTAAACGGTATAAAAGTTGCTGCTGTCTGAAAGGTCAAAAGTTGCTGTTGTCTAAAAGGCATAAAAGTTGCTGCTGAGCCAGCCAGGTGCCCCTGATTTGGGAGTACTCTTATCCCCTTAAAAATATATTCCATTTAGGGGCACCTGGGTGGCTCAGTCGTTAAGCGTCTGCCTTTGGCTCAGGTCATGATCTCAGGGTCCTGGGATCGAGCCCCACATCGAGCCCCGCGTCAGGCTCCCTGCTCAGCGGGAAGCCTGCTTCTCCCTCTCCCACTCCCCCTGCTGTGTTCCCTCTCTCACTGCGTTTCTCTCTGTCAAATAAATAAATAAAATCTTTAAATATATATATATATATATATATATATTCCATTTAAAAGGTATTCTCATTTTATGAATGGGTGCTACAGTCAGAGCTCCTTAGATGCATCTTTGCCATATACAACTATTTAATTTGACCATTACTTTTAGCTAAACAAAACTTCCCCAAGCAAGAAAAATACTGGCAAAAATGGCAAAATCTCTTAGGAAGAGAGATCACAAAGTAGTGACGGGCAATCTATTTGCCAATTGGTCCTGTTAGGGCCAAGTTCCACAGGATCCACCAGCCTTCCTTCATAATTTGTATGAATAATAGGTCTACAGAAAAGATAAGAAGCCTACAGAAACACCAAGCAGCCTTTAAAAATATCTCACTACAAGTACACAGAAAACAGCCCAGTTCTTTCTCCTGTCATTTAACCTGAACCATATAAGAATTTCAGCTACTCAGAGACTGACCAATAACAAACACCTACGAATTCAAATTGCTCGTTAAAGAAACCCTTGCGATTACCTATATATGGACATCCTCTGGTGAAGAATGCTTTGCACTTTTAGGTTACCTTTCTCCTTTTCTTCTAGGAGAGCCTCTGGTTGCATCCATGAACCTCAATCATTTCCCCAAAACCTTTATTGCTTCTGAGGTCCCTAAGCTATTCTGTAGTAAAGGATTAACTCAGCAGACTTGGGGTGCTCAAACCCTGCACATTCCAAAAAAAGAACTGGCATTTGCCTAGCTCCTGGAAAAAAATAACCTCTGAGCCCTTGTCATATCCTGCCTGATAAGACTCTATATACTTGAGATATTAGGCCACACCAGATAGTTAATGCCAATAATATGATTTATGGTGAATGCCTCTCTCTCTTTTTTTTTTTTTCCATTCACCTAGGGTCCTGAGCCACACTGTATCAGTTTGACCTGTGCAAGGCTGGAGACTGAGTAGCTAAGGTCAGTCACAATGCATTCCATGCCTACAAAACTGACACCAACACCCCAACCCCCTGCCAATAAAAATTCTGGACACCAAGGCTCAGGGGAACTTCCCTAGTCAGCAATACTTTGTATGTTGTCACATATTGTTGATGGGAGAATTAAGTGCATCCCTGTGTAACTCCAGTGCAAGAGGACAACTAGAAGCTCATACCTGGTTTCTCCTGGACTCTGCTCCATGTGCATTTTTCCTTTGCTGATTTTAATCTGTAACCTTTCACTGTAATAAACCATAACCGTGAGTATAACCGCTTTTCTGAGTTCTGAGTCCTTCTGGGGAATCATCAAACCTTGAGGGTAGTAGTCTTGGGGACTCTGACACAACTCCCAATGCTGTTTTCCATTTTCCTGCCCACACTATTCCTATTTTTAACCTCATCTCTCACTACTCCACTACAGGAGTGGGGGATGTTTTCAAGGGGGGGCTGTTTGAAAGTTTCTATTTCCCTATATATGTTGCAATGGCATGCCAAAAATACCTGATCATTCCAAAATAGAATGAAGAAAGGAATTATAAGGATATTCAAAATACCCTTTTGAATCCCAGACCATTTACCAGTTATTGGGCTCCTTGCTCAGCGGGGAGCTTGCTTCTCCCTCTCCCTTTGCCCCTCCCCCTGCTTGTGTTCCCTCTCTTGTTGTCTCTCTGTCAAATAAATGAATAAAATCTTTGAAAAAAAAATACTAAAATAAAATTTACTGCAAATTAATTAATTATTCTATCACATCTTAAACACAATTATTTTGGAAATAGTGCTCCAGAATTTATGCAGTAAGGCCAGAAGCATTCTCACTGAAGGTGAAAAGGAATTGCACTGGATAAAGTATGTTTCCATGTAATGAAGTAAATCATTAGAAGGTTCTGGATAATAGCATGACTGAGTAGTTGTCACTTACTAAGAACCACAAGTGACTTGGAATCTAAGTACCAACTTCACAGAGATGGCAGATTAGTCCACATATTAGAATGGTCAGAGAGAACTTTAAAATCCTACCAAGTCTGCATCAAACACAGGCAAGAGATTGAGACTAGAAGGACAGGATGAAAACACAAATTTCTATAGGGGAAATTATTGTACCCCTTTTTCGTTAGCATAAATTAAAGATTTTATTTATTTGTCAGAGAGAGAGAGAGAGAGAGTGGACAAGCAGTGGGAGTGGTAGGGAGAGGGAGAAGCAGGCTCCCTGCTGAGCAAGGAGCCTTATGCGGGACTCGATTCCAGGACCCTAGGATCATGACCTGAGCCAAGGCAGATGCTTAACCGACTGAGCCACCCAGTGTCCCTGGTTAGCATAAATTAATGTAATAGATTGGAATATACACCTAATCATATACTTAAGAATGAATCCTGTGTATCAGTATCTCCCACATGTGCAATTTGCTGCTTTTCTCACAGGAATACTCATAAGTAATACGGGATTGATGTGCATGTACTGCTTTCCAAACTTAGAAGAACTACAATAAAAATGTACTACAGTATAATGATTGCCAAGATTTCTCTGGAAAAATGTATGATTTCTTTTCTACAGCCAACTTATTTAATGGTTGTACAGGTAAGATAATGCCGCTCATTAAAAACAAGGGGAAAAATGAAGAAAGTTAAAGTGCAGAGTTGAGTTAGTTTCAGCTGACTACTGCTTTTAGTGGTGAAATGTTCCTTTTTGGTTAATATAAATACAGTCTGGTATTAGGATATGACTCAATGACAAAGGACATGCTGAATTTAAACAACATAAACAGCAGATAGGGCACAGTCCCATGGAAACTGTTAAAGATAGCAAAGGATGTGGTTACTCTATGTTAATAACAGTTACTTAGTCATATGAAGGCCAAAAGAAGGTAATATAATTGGTACATGAGAATTCATTTGCTCTCTTTATATTTCCTGTAAACTTAGAATCATTATGTACGTAATACGGTGAATAATATGTAATGTATATAATGTATAATATATAATGTATAATATGTATAATGCACAATAATATGATATATAATGTAATATAATGTATCATTATGTAAGGAAAAGAAATCCCTTCTGAAGCATAACCAAATAGGCACTGAATAAATTTAAAGTGTTGTGACAAAAACAAATATCTACCGATTTGCTAAATTACATAGAAATTTGGGGAGATTTGTAATTCTCACTCACTCTTTATGGGAGGAGGGTTTGATTTAAGGTCATTTAGCCAATCATGGTATCTTTTTGTTTTAAAATGTAGCACACAGAATTAAATAACTTTACACCTGATATCCTCAAAGAACAACCTCAAATAAGAAATTCTTCCCGTTAGCTTATCAAGATCAGTGGTAGGACCCTAATGGCTACAAATGGTCATGGCTTGCTTCCCTTGAACTGGAAATGTGGATTTTTTTTTTCTCTTAAGATCTAGTGAATCACAGAAGAAAACCCTGAAAATCACAAATAGGAAACACATACTAATTTAATTTTCAGAGCTAAACATACGCTGCACATATAAAGAATTTTAATTTAAGAAAAGGCAAAACAGGGCGCCTGGGTGGCTCAGTCGTTAAGCGTCTGCCTTTGGCTCAGGTCATGATCCCAGGGTCCTGGGATCGAGTCCCACATCGGGCTCCCTGCTCGGCGGGAAGCCTGCTTCTCCCTCTCCCACTCCCCCTGCTTGTGTTCCTGCTCTCGCTATCTCTCTGTCAAATAAATAAATAAAATCTTTAAAAAAAAAAAAAAAAGAAAAGGCAAAACAAAACCATCCTTAGTTTCTTCCTTTTTTTCCTATACTATGAGGCATTAAAGGTAAGAAAGAAAGGGAAAGGAAAGATGGGGAAGAACAGAGAGAGAGATAACCATGGGTAGAGGTAAAGAGAGATGTCACCAGGGAAGGCCAAAGTCAGAAAGGGAAAGATAAAGAGAGAGATAAGAGAGAAAGGTAGACAAACTGCTGAATGTGTGCTGCTAGGTATGGGACTAAACAGGGACATACATACAGAGCCCACAATAGATAAAAATGAAGACATTTAGAATATAATGGCAAAGAGGGACATAAACATGGGAGTCTTTCTTTACCATTACTACTCGAACTTCTACCATTACTACTCGAGGTTTTAAAGAATTACTGGTGTGATGATGGTACTATAGTTATGATTTTTAAATCTTTATTTTCAGATTAGTTGCTGAAATACTCACGGGTGAAATGATACGATGTCTAGAATCTGTTTCAAAATAACCTGGTGTGGGGGTGGAGAAGAATAAAGTGGATGGAGGTATTGATTAGCCTTGAATTGACTAATTGTTAAAGCTGATGATGGGGGTTCATTATACTATTTTCTCTACTCTTGCACTGGTTGAAATATGGCATAATAAAATTTTAGGAATTTCTTTTAAGTATAATTAAGAAAATCAAGGATTTGGGGCGCCTGGGTGGCTCAGTTGTTAATCGTCTGCCTTCGGCTCAGGTCATGATCCCAGAGTCCAGGATCTAGCCCCGCATCGGGCTCCTTGCTCGGCGGGAAGACTTTTTCTCCCTCTCCCATTCCCCCTGCTTGTGTTCCCTCTCTTGCTGTCTCTCTCTCTCAAATAAATGAAATCTTAAAAAAAAAAAAAAAAGAAAGAAAGAAAGAAAATCAAGGATTAGGTTAGATTGGGTTTGTTTGGAAATTTATCAGGCAACTAAATCAATCTAATGTATAAGATTAAGTCTGTTAGGTGAAAACAAGATTTGGTAGTACTTAAGTTGAAGAGAAGAAACATGACAAATTTAGAGCAAGTATAGGAAATTTAATATACATTTCTTAGAAAAAAATGATAATTTTGAAAATCCTGGCTTGCCTGAACGTGACAAAGATCTTTTCATAAAATGTGAAGCTATGGATTGAGGATCTTTAGACAAACTTTGAGGCTGGTAGGCTCATCCAAAAACACTCATTTTAATGTTGGCAAGGCCCAGATTGAGTTAAGTGACTTATCAAAGCTTTGACTTTTCTCCCACATGCCTATTAATACTAAGTATAAGTTTTTGTATATAGTTTTCCTGATATAACTCTAAGCATTTTTCTATATTAGCATGTCTTTTGTAATAATTATTTTTAATGGTTGTTTAATATTTCATGGAATAAATATAGTTCAGTTATTCATTCTCTTATAATACGGCATTCATATTATTTCCAACTCTTTATTTCTATGAAAGACACTGCTTTGAACATATTTATATTTAAAAATCATTATGGTTAGAATTGCCATAAAAATCATATTTGATTTTTTCAGAAGATAAAACCTTCTAATGGAAGCATTTTCATCTTTTGGAAATCTGTTAAGGGCAAAATAAAGTTAGATTCTCCATTTTCTCTATGGATCCAGCTCACAGAATAGTCAAAGTGATAGGATGTAGAGAAAGGTTGAAGAGTATTTTGAGGATTGTTTTGGGCAAAACAAGGTTTATATTGGTAGAGAGAAAAGAAGATTTTTAAGATTTTATTTATTTGAGAGAGAGAGAGAGTGAACATGAGTGGGGGTAGGGGCAGAGGGAGAAGCAGACTCCTCGCCAAGTGCAGAGACCCTCCTGGGGCTTGATCTCAGAACCCCAAGATCATGACCTGAGCAGGTCAGACCTTTAACCAACTGAGCCATCCAGGCACCTGAGAAAAAAAATTTTTTTAACTAGAATTATACTCTACCTGTTGAAAAGCTTTTTCTGCTTGACGTTCAGCATCAATAACTTGTCTCTCAAGCTGCTGCATCTATAAAGTGAGGAAAAACAGAGAAAATATAAAAGTTCATATTTCACGTATGAAAACGACCGAAAATTCTTGCAATGCCATCAAATTCTTTAAGGATATTTTAAGTAGTTTAATGGGTATGAATTACATAAAATTTATCACATTAAAGGCTTTCAGTGCATATTTAAAAATTGATCAAATAACATACCAAAGGTTTCATACTTCTAGTACAGTGTAATATATACTACATGAGTACTCATCCATAGAATTTTCTTCATTGAACTATAAATTACTGGTCAACACATATTAAGAACAGTAAGACCTCAAATGTCATATTTAATTTGTTGATCAAAAAGTCACAATGATATCAGAAAGTGGGTATTCTCATAAGCTCCATAGCTGGTATGTTTAAACTCTGGGTAGTTTTTCTGGGAGAGGGAGAAGCAGGCTCCCCGCTGAGCAAGGAGCCCGATGCGGGGCTGGATGCGGGGCTGGATGCGGGGCTCGATGCAGGACCCTGGGATCAAGACCTGAGCCGAAGGCAGACACTTAACGACTGAGCCACCCAGGCGCCCATTAAAGCTCTGGGTAGTTTTAATTCTTATCATACATTGTAGTAAAGTACAGAAGAGATTCTGATTTAACACACACACACGTCCACAAATGCGTACAGCACAAAGAATCAAAAAAAATCTCGGTTTTTGTTTTGTTTTGTTTTTTAAGTTCTGTAGAGAAAAACGTTTGGAGATTTTTTTTTTTTTTTTTTTTACTTTTGAATAATATTTTAATGGGACTTCAATTTTTTGTTGCCCAAAAAGTTTGGAGATTTAAAGTAAAATACTAAAATGACGATTGTAAGTACAAAAAAGAAAAGCCTTAGAAAGGACCCGATGTAAATTACGTAAGAGATGTGTACCAGGTCCTGAATACACAATTGTGATGTAAACCTCAATTCTAAATTCTTTTTTCTGAGTGTTGAAATATGGTCAGCCCCCGAGCCGTCAGTCGCCTGATCTTTGCTCATTTTCAGTTTCATTGCTGGTTATTGTTCCACCGCCTCCACCTCACCTTATACTCAAGAGCATCCGCGGTCCCACCCCAACGACTGACACACCGGCTCCAGCCCCGCCCCCTTTCCGAAACCACAGAGAAGCGGCCTCCGGCAGCTAGAGCGGCCCAGCTGGGAGGGCGGCCATAGCTCCGCCCTGAGGGGGCTGCAGGGACCGACTCCACGCAGCGTTTGATCCGCGCGCTGACCTAACGCTTGATGGAGGGTTTCCCACCATGGCTGGTATTTTTTTTTTTTTACCAGTACAGTGCTTGGGAGCGTTTACTCTGTTTTGATAACTATGTGGCCAATTAACATTCACCAGAGGTTAACAGCTAGGATCACCATCACCTTTGCCCGCCAAACAGAAAAGATTTCTTAAATATTTCAGTAGTGCAACGCACGGATCTTCATAACAGTAGCTGTGTTGATTCTATCAGCCTTGGAGAATCCAAGATGAGCATTACTAGGCTGTTGCGGAAAGAGACTTGGACCAAACACAGTGACAAAGCAGAGCCCCGCAGTACTAAAAATCTGTGGTTACAGATGAGGACAACTCAGAAACATGTCTTTGAAAAGCATGGCGACAACTACAACTGGTTCTTGCACGTCCCACTACATTTGCTGTCATTGGCAATTCAGTGTACCTGTTGTTTACTAGGGCTTTATCACAACCTTTCTATCTGGGCCACACTATAACATGGCAACCTCCCATACCTGACCTTGGAAAGAGAAATGGTCAAGTATAGAGTCTGAAATACAGCCTTCTCTGCCAAGTCTGAGAAGCGTGCAGATCGAAGTGTGATTTGGAAGTTACCTGAAGACCTTCAGCCAGCAACTGGCCTCAAATAAGCTGGAGTTCTTGCAGAGAATGCAGAGGATTCTGAAGGAAGAGTTGTATTTAATTCAAAACCATTTGCACATCTTATTCAAGAGACAATGTGTAATAATCCTCAGCAAGTAGGAGAAGGCTGCTGTTCAGGTATGGCTATTACTTTTAATGGACCAACTCCCAGAAAGATGATAGTAATGATGTGCACTGGCTCAGGGCATTCATTATTTCAACAGTACACTGATTTTCTTACCTCCAAATGGTTCAGAAAATGACTGAAGGCTGAGGGATAATAGAATTGTGCTGTGCAAAAGCACTTGAAATGTGGATCCACTTGAAGTGTGAATTGAGATATGTAAGTGTAAAATACACACTTAACTCATTAATACATCTATTATTTGAAAACCTAATATGAAAAGTATAAACTCAGTAATTTTTATATTGACTCGCATTGAAATATTTTCAATATGTTGCATTAAATATAAAATTATTTTTCATTTTATTTTGTTTAATAGAAAATTTTAAATTACATATGTGTCTCATATCATATTTCTATTGGATAACAAAAGTAAAACACTCCATTGCCACCATATATGGTAGTTTAACCATTTGTCCACACAGCAACATTTTTAAGACCATTTATTGAAGGGATCTAGCTTCTAAAAGAGGTTTCAAATATTTGGGTGTATAAACAGATATTTCCTAAGTGTATTCTCTGGACCCCATATCATCTTTAATTTTTGTGAAAATATTTCAAATGTTTAATAACCCAGTACTGTTGTCTAAAAGCATTTTATTGAGTTACTGTATGGACTGCAGCACTACGTAAAAGCCGTTGGACAAGCACTATCTCCTGTGTAGGATAGTCTTTAAACCAAAAAAACCAACTGGCAGGCACATCCCAACACTACATTCTTCCACTACGGGCAATATGCTGATAACTGTCACCTCTACAATGTAACTACTTTATGTTACTAGGGAAAATTTTGCACTTGTGGAGCCTTAACCTCAATTTTGAATATTGTTGAGGTTGCCAGGAAAATCCACAAACAAGTTGTTCATCTGTAAAATTCTGCTGGTGAAAAAAAAGACTACTGTCACACCTATTACAATGGCCAAAATCCAGAACATTGACAACACCAGATGCTGGCGAGGACATGGAAAAACAGGAACTTTCATTCATTGCTCATGGGAATGCAAAATGTTACAGCAAGTTTGGAAGACAGTTTGGCAATTTCTTAAAAAACTAAACATACTCTTACCATACAATCTAGCAGTCATGCTCCTTGGTATTTATCCAAAGGAGTTGAAAACTTATGTCAACACAAAACTGCATACAGATAGATGTTCACATCAGCTTTATTCATAATTGCCAAAACTTGGAAGCAATCAAGATGTCCTTCAGTAGGTGAGTGGATAAACCATGGTACATCCAGACAATGACATATTATTTGGCACTAAAAGGGAATGAGCTATGAAGCCATGAAAAGACATGGAGGAAACTTAAATGCATATATTAAGTGAAAGAAGCCAAGTGGAAAAGACTGCATATTGTATGATTCCAGCTGAGGTGGGGGATAAATAAACAGGGCACAGAAGCTTTTCAGGGCAGTGAAAGTACTCTGTATGATATCATAATGATGGATACATGTCACTATACATTTGTCCAAATCCATGGAATGTAAACCAAGAGTGAAACTATAGACTTTGGGTTTTTATAATGTGTCAATGTAGATTCATCAGTTGTAACAAACGTACCACTCTAGTGGGGGATGTTGGTAATGAGGGAGGTTATGCATGTGTAGGGGCAGGGAATATATGAGAGATTTCTGTACCACCCAACTTTTTTTTTTTTAAGATTTTATTTATTTATTTGACAGAGAGAGACACAGTGAGAGAGGGAACACAAGCAGGGGGAGTGGGAGAGGGAGAAGCACGGAGCAGGGAGCCCAATGCAGGGCTCGATCCCAGGACCCCGGGATCATGACCTGAGCCGAAGGTAGATGCTTAACGACTGAGCCACCCAGGCACCCCCCCACCCAGGCACCCCCCCACCCAACTTTTTTGTGAACCCTAAACTGCTCTTAAAAAATCAAAGTCTTAAAAAAGACTGAATGGCGGCGCCTCTCTCTCTCTCTCTCGCTGTGTCTCTCTCTGTCAAATAAATAAAATCTTAAAAAAAAAAAAAAGACTGAACAGTTTCTTAAGAAGATTGCTATGGTCTGCATGTCTGTGCGCCACCCCCCACATTCACATTGGAATCTTAACGCCCAATGTGATGGTGATTAAGTCCTGAGGGTGGGACTCTCATGAATGGGATTAGTGCTTTTATAATAGAGATCCCACAGAGCTCCCTAGCCCCTTCTGCCAAGTGAAAATACAAGAAGTTTAAGACCCAGAACCTGACCTTGCTGGCACCCTGATCTCAGACTTCCAGCCTCCAGAATTGTGAGAAATAATTTCTATTGTTCATAAGCTACACGGTCTGTCATATTTTGTTATAGCAGCACAAACGGACCAAGGCAGAAATTGGACACTGAGACTGGAGTGCCACTGTCACAAATACCTAAAAATGTGGAAGTGGCTTTGGAATTGAGTAACTGGTAGAAGCTGGAAGAATTTTGGGTGCATGGTAGAAAAAGCCTACATTGCCATGAACAGACCATTTAAAGCAATTCTGGTGAGAACTCAGAAGGCAAACAGCAAAGAAAACTATAGAGAAAGCCTCAGTCTTCTTAGAGAGTACCTAAGTGGTTGTGAACAGAGTGTTAGTAGAAATATGATGGATGGTAAAGGCCATTCTGATGAGGTCCCAGATGGAAATGAGGAACATATTATTGGAAATGAGAGGAAAGGTGATCCTTGTTACAAAGCAGCAAACAGCTTTGCTGAATTGGATTCTCCTCTTGGGGTTTTGCAGAAGGTAGAACTTGTGAGTGATGAAACTGGATATTTGGCTGAGGAAATGTCTAAGCCAAGTGTTGAAGGAGTGGCCTAATTCTTCTTGAATGCTTATAGTAAAATGTGAGAAGAGAAATGATTTAAAGATAGATTGTTAATCAAAAAGGAAGTAGAATCTAAAAATCTGGATACTTTCCAGCATATCCATATTGGGAGAAATGGGAAAAGCTTGTTCAGGAGAGGACAGGGTGTGGCCAAACCACCTTTTGATTAAGGGGTCAGTATGGGTTTGAACCACAGAGTTAGGTAGCAACCGAAGAAGGAAAAGTCCGTGTGAACTGAAGAGGAAGGAATTAGGCTGGCTGTTGGACTTGGGATTTTACAGGTTGGGATCTTAGAGCTATATGGCTGTGACATTGGGCTATTCTTCAAGACAAGGAGGAAGGACCCCAGCTCATTAGAGCTGCCTCCTCAGTTTCACAAGGCTGAGACGGGACTTTCCTGAGTTTCAACAAGCCACACAACCTCTACCCAAACCAAAGTGGTGCTGCCCAAAGCCATGGGGGGCCAACCCCTGCCCAGGAGAGCCATGGGAGCATGGCTACCTCCATCTAGATTTGGAAAGATGAAGCCACCCAGAACTGTGGGTGTACAACCCAAGCACAGGGCCACCTCTGGCGCAAGGGCACCAGAGAGCCCCAACCAGGGCAATTCCTAATGAAGCCATGGGGGTGAGGCCACCCCTGCGATCCCAGACTGGTAGAACCATCAGCATGCAACTTCAACCCATGAGAGCTGCCCTGCAAAGCCATGGGGCTGCAAATACCCCTGAGGGCCCAGAAGGTGAGACCCTTCCTCCCCCCTCCCCACCCCCCGAGTTGGCCCAGAAGGTAGGACCTCCATCCCAGAGGGCTGAACATCTAGTTAAAATTATTCTCAAACCTTAAGATTTACCATTAGTTGCCTTGTGGGGTTTTGAACTTGCTTGGAACCTGTTACCCCTTCTTTCTCTCCTATGTCTCCCTTTTGGAATGAAAATATCTATCCTAGGTCTGTCCCACCATTGTATTTTAGAAACACGTAATTTGTTTGATTTCATAGATTCACAGCTGGCAGGGATTTCCTTAGAATGAATCATACCTTGAGTCTCACCCATACCTGATTTAGATGAGACTCTGCACTTTATAGACTTTTAGGGCTGTTGGGATGGAATGACTGTATTTTGTATGAGAGAAGGACATGAATTTGAGGAGCCAGGGATGGAATGCTATGGTCTGAATGTTTGTGTCCCCCCTAAAGTTCACATATTGGAATCCTAACACCCACTGTGGTGGTGTTAGGAGGAGAGGTTTTTGGGAGGTGATGAGGTCATGGCGGGGGCAGGGGGCCTCGTGAATGGGATTAGTGCCCTTATCAAAGAGATCCCACAATGCTCCCTAGCCCCTTCCTGTGTGAGGATACAGTGTGTGAGGATACAATGAGAAGTCTGCAACTCCGAAGAAAGCCCTCACCTGACTTAGCTGGCACCTTGATCTCAGATTTCCAGCCTCCAGAACTATGATAAACTTCTGCTGTTTAGAAGTTACATAGTCTATAGCATTTAGTTATAGCAGAACAAACTAAGGCAAGGACTATACAAATATCTGGTCAGATTTCTCTTTCTGAAGTTTGGTTTCTAGTGTTAACAGGGCAGAAGCCTTGTCTCTTTGCCTCACTGTTACATACCCTATACAGGTCTTTATATGCAGTAAGTATTCAATATATTATACATTACTGAATGAAATTACCTCTATAAAGCACTATGCATATATGAATAGGATAGTATTTTTACCACTGCCAAATAACTTTTCTTCTGCTCCTATGGCATTGACTTTCTACCTTCTATTATTTTCCCAACTATATTGCAAGTTGCTTGAATATGGACTTCATGTGTGAGGACCCTTTATATCTTCCATAACACCTTGCATATACCAGCCATACAGTCAAATTCTAAAAGCTCAGTAGCAAGCAATAACCTTATAAAAAAAAGTTTATTTCCATTATAAAAAGCATCACACCTAACACACACACACACACATACACTATTTCACAAGACTTGGGATATAAGTTTATATATAAACGGGCTAAATGTGCTGGAAGAAAACATTATATGTATATGACTTTGAATACAAGTTAAATAAAGCACCTATTCAGAAAGTCATTTTTGCTTTTTTAATTAAAAAAAAAAAGTGTAGGGGCACCTGGATGGCACAGTCGGTTAAGCGTCTGACTCTTGGTTTTGACTCAGGTCGTGGTCTCGGGGTTGTGGGATCAAGCCTCCTGTTGGGCTCTGCGCTCAGTATGGAGTTTGGGATTCTCTCTCCCTCACCCTCTGCCCC